TGAGGGAGTGCCAGTTTTGGGGAGAAATCTTGAATGTAAACACTACCCCTCCCAGCCAGATTTCCCCTCAGCTCCTCCTCTCCCCTCCGTCTCTGTTCCAGCAAGCTCCGCCCACAAACAGACGCTCCTGCTCGCTTGTATAGTTTCAGTTAAATTCAGATATAATGCAGATAAATACTTCAGATAATTACAAATGGGGCCCAGTCAACGTGAAAGTAAACAGCATTGGTGTGACTGTAGATGCCAACAGACGACCAGCAAACACAATGTTTGCAGGAATTCTACAACTAGGATAAAGTGACATACTCCAGGACCCGAGGTAAACAGTTAAGCAGCGCTACAACATGCAGCAGGTCTTGTTTGACAAGAAACACTTCTGTTACTTGTTGCTTGGCTTACTTTGTTAAAGCGGTTTACCTGTCCAGCAAAAAGGTTACAGGGTCCGTAAGATCCCGAAGCGTCCCCCATCATTGTTGACCCGGCTTCTTAGCTCTTGTCTAATCTGCCTTCGTTTTAAGTGCCCGTTATTCCACCAGAGTCTCTGGTATTTACTTCATTTTCTTGCTTGTGTTGGCGGTCATGGCTAAAGGAGTATTCAGACAATTTTCTGTACTTTCTGGTTGGTTTCTACTGTCCAATATTGTTGCACGCCAACTTTGTTTGGGCTCCTGAACGACACGGGGGAGCAGCATCTGCCTCACAACATGAGGGAGCAGCGTCCACCTCACAACCAATCAGGATGGGGGAGGCGGGGAATGGCTCTGTTTACAGTCAGAAAGAGCGGAGCGCTCTGACATTTTAAAATGTTGACCACACAGACATTACAAAATACAGCAATATCGTTATATTACCAAATGTCATTAATAACTAATAGCTTTTGACTGATATTAAAAGCTTTTTTGTATAGACACCATAAAAAAAGATGCTTCTTTAACAGATTCCTGCCTACCCCACCTTTAGTAAGACAAATTAAATGAGAAAAATATTAAATACTTTTCCTTCATCAATTGAAAAATGAAAAATAAACACACGCATAAAAATCAGCATATAAACCTGATGACTGGCTATACTGCAGCCAGTCACCAGGGGGTGTGCTGAAAGTTTTGGCTTCATTTAGGGTAGACCTTGAACCGTCCATGAGTTGATATAGTATTGACATACGTATGTCCTTTGTGTTTTTCTGCCGCTCCTTCTTTTTACAGTTAGTTTCTTTTTATTCTCATTCTTTAAGAGCCTTGAACACAACAGCTTGACTCTTATGACAGCTTCTGAGCTTTCCAAATGGTGCAAGATTGAGGGAGGAAATGTGGTAATGGTAAATTGAGAAAGTACAGGAGCAAGTGAGTGAGATACGTGTAATGGGACTATCACTGAGCTCTCTATTATAGGCAGTCCATTTAAATTATCAGACATTCAAATCAGGAGCTCCACATTTCACCCACCCACCAGCGCCCCATCCCATCAGCCCTCAGCACATCTGAAAGGACGCTTTGAGAGGACTGTGTGGGGCCATCCAGGACATAGGATCATCAGAGGCAGCAAAATTGAGCAGGAAGACACCAGCCTGAAGGTTCAATCTCCTCAATTGTGTAATAAGGCAAGATATAAAAACCTCAGATTAATGAGAAGAAAGAAGGGGGGGCTTTTGTCTCAGATGGGGGAGGGGTGTGGGCGCTTTGATGAGAGAAAAAAAAACAGGAAACTTGGAGATAAATTGCAAATTACATTCCATGTGTGTTGTGTGGGCTAAGGCTGGAGGGTTGTAGAGCAAAGGACTCTGGGGGCAGCAGCATTTGATTCTTTGTCCCCGTGGTTCACAAGGGCTGGTGTTGGCTTACAGTGGAGTGAAGGGAATACACTTGTAAAGGCAAGAGCTTTTTTTCCCTCTACTGTAACACGGTGAACCCACTGACCCTTTGATTTAAGTTATTAGATACTGTTTTGACTTTTTCAATCACCTTTACCAAGCAGCTTTAGCATGAACAATGAGAAGGCTATAACAGTGATTTAGAGTCGGCTGTCAGTGCAATTACACACCTCATTCAAGAGTGTACTTTTTCTGTGTATGAAGAAGGATGCTGTTTGTCAGTATCAGCTGTCACTTTTCCAGAGTGACACTTTTCAGATGTGAACAGGGTGGGTCTAAAACCTGCAGGGGTTCAGGATCAGGTGCTCTTCAGAGGCATGGGAAGTGATCACATGACATAGAAAAGAGAGATAGAGAGAGAGAGATCAGATTGCTTATATGTTGTGATTTGTTTGCTGTACATTTTTCTTTACTCATATCTCTCACAGGAATTTTTTCTTGTGTTGAATCAGGCCGGTCTAGCTTGGTCTTTGTTTCCAGGATCGCGAGGATCTGTTCAGTGTCAGTGCTGTACCAGATGCATGTCGAGATAAGGCAACAACCGGATGTTGACACTGTATACACTGGCATGTTGTGCGCTCACCTTTGAGGTGAGAGGCATTCACTTGCTAGATTATCTAAAAAAAACACGAAGGTTAAACCTGGATTCACAGTGTAAACATGCATAACAGGCTATTTAATTTAGCAATAGTAGCAGAGTTTAGTTCACATTCATGTTATAGTATACTGGGATAACCCTATCCAAAAGGAAAGTTATGTAAAGTTAATGAGTTATATCACAGGTTTTTATTTAGCACAATGTATGCACCCACCTTTGACTACAAGGAACTTTAAGAGCCCTTATTAGTACATGCATTGTGTCTTGATGGACACAGAGCGCCTTTGCAGTTGGTCTGAGGAATGTGCACAGTGAACTACAGTCCTCCTCTCAGGGCATTATTTCACTGGGGATGGAGGAGAGATTCCCTCTGGGGGAGAAACTCCTGGAGCGTGAGGAGATGTAGAGTGGGAACTCAGCTCATCAATTAGAGGAGGTCAGTGAAGCCAGATTTTAGCCACGAGTCAGCCAATAAAGCAGACCTGATGATAGGTTGCACTTTGCTACAGATGTGTAAAAATAGGGAGTACGTCGAGCTGCAGTCGGTCTCTTGACACCAAGGGGGGTTGCTGAGAAAAAGAGGAGAGATGGTTCTGGGGGCTTAGGGAATTCAAGATACTTTTTTAAAAGTCTGACCTGTTGCATGAACTCGCTAAGGGGATTAAGAGTTTAATGAACGGCTTGTTGGATGCCAGAAGTTTGAGCGAAATATGCAGTGGAGCACTGCAGAGAGTGGCTGTCACAAGAGTGCTCATGTGAGGGTGGGCCATGCACGTATCAGCCTTGAGTAGTATGGAAAGAAACTCTGAATTTCATAGAAGGGGAGAGTGGGGTAAGTTGAACCAAAGAGTAAGTTGAGCCACCCCCTGTTGCTTGGAAATTGTAAAAGAAATTGATCATGTGACCAAATATTTAGGAGATGGGCATCAATTCATGGAGTCTGTGAAGGTTAGAAGCACATGAGTGAAGGGGTTAGACATTTATTTCCAAAAAACATTTTTCACTCTTGAAAGTGAATTTAATCTGTTTTGTTAGGAAGTTTTGTTAGAATGGCGTTCAGACCAAAAAAGATCATTTAAAATTTGTTTCCTACATCAGTTGTGGTATCTATGAGCTACAACATGAGGTCAAAAACTTAGCATAAAAGTCCACCATTTTAGCTTAGAGGACTAATAAAGTCATAATTGTAGTTCTGGAGTGAGTTGATCCAGTGGCTCAAATGAGAAAGTAAAGGAGTCTGATGAGAGGATCAGAGTTTCAGTTCAGATTGTTGAAATGTTTTACTTTTCTTTTCAAAAATACAGCTGTGAATGTTCTGAATCACTTAAAGGCATTCTCATGTTAAAATGTTTTTTCTTTACAAAACAGCTTTTTTTTAGCAGTTATATGCAATAATACTAAGAAGAATTATTGTACCTGTTGAATAGCGTATAATAGATAAAAATACACATGAATGTGAAGAAGTGACTGTTATTTAGGGGGAGAGAAGGTGAGGGAGGGCTGGGGTGGAGAGTGTGTGTATGTGGGGGTGGGTGAGGGCGTAGTAGGGATAAGGCTCAACTTACCCCGCTCCTATGGTCAACTTACCCCATACACAGGGTAAGTTGACCATAGGAGACCACTTTTTTTTGGCATGCTATATTATCAAGACAGTTATGTTTACACTCATTCTGTTGGTTTGCAGGGATGCATAACATCTTGAAATCTATGCAGATACACTAGTTAGAAACAAAACTTTGATTACCTTGATGTAGTGATCTGAAATATGAAAACTGGCTCATCTTACCCCATTCTCTCCTATATAAAAGTCAACCCACTGTGCAAACACATTCCTAACATACTTCATTCAGTTATTTGCATTTACTGGAAATGTTGTCTTATGTGTTAAGTGAAAAAAAGTTCATAAATTTCAAATCAACTTAAATCAGTTTCAACCTGGTAAGTTGATTGAACAAGAAAGACTATATAGCTATAACAACACTTATTTAAGGGCAGATTAGAATGTAATTTAAAAAATCTAGACTTAAGGCTGAAATGATTGGACAAATACTCTGCTATGATACTTAAAGTTAAATTGTATATGACTTAAATTATGCCTTAAAATCCCATTCATGTTGCCTGTATAATGCTATCCTAAAATGATTTTGAAAACTTACTTGAAATGAGAAGCAGACTATACAACAGCAGTTTCTGTTATTAATAAGGAAACCAAACCATGCGTGTAAAAGGGACTTTTGAAAGAGATGGGTTCAAAGTGAGAGACGGAGGTTTCACACAGCTAAACACAGCGCAGTGTGTTATAGTTGTAGATGCACTTGTTTTAAGTGGGTGTGGAGGACAGAGAGGAAGGGAGGCAGAGCAGGGGAGGGCGACAGAGAGAGCCAAAGGGAGGCAGACACCGACACCTTGGCAGTTGCACTGACGGCTCTCAATGGGGAGGTCTCTGTGAGGAACAAGCCTACCTGTTGGAGCTCTTAGCGGGACACAACGGTGCCGGACCCGCGCTGATCGTGGATCTGCTGGAAGCCCAAAAACATGTCTTTAAAACTCTTACTATGCGCCGTTTTGGCTGTGTATCACGGGACTCAAACCTGCAGTGGATTTAATATCGATGAACGGTTTCCTGTGATCAAAGAGGGAAAAACCAAAGGGAGCTTCTTTGGATTCTCAGTAGCTCTGCATCACCAGACAGAGGGCTCAGCAAGGTCCCTGTAAGTTTTCACTCATTATATTTGAGAAAATGTTACCTTTCTTCTTCATTTAAAGTTTCAAATAACCTAATATCCGCATTCAGGCAGGCTAGGCACCTGCTTAGACCGGGAGGCGTAACGAAAAACAACTATTTGATCCACCTCGGCGAGGCTTCTATTGCGCCCACTTACTGTGGAAACCTGTACGGGAGCGAGCCTCAATTCATGCGTTTAACACCTGTTACTGTTTTATGAACTACGCTGACTTGTTAAATGTCTCCATTTGTGTTACAAACTTCCTTTTTCTGCGCGTAAAGTTGTTCCTTCTCTGTCACCTGTCTGAAGACACAGAGGTTCGACTCCTCTCTATACACGCTTGTTTCTGGCTCGTCACCACGTTGAAAGAAGCGGTAGAAAGAGAAATAAACTAATATTCTATTAACTATTATTGCCATAGCACAATCTGTTTTTATTGAAACTCTAATTTTAAATGAAACCATACAAAAAACAACAACCGTATGTTAATTCAAAAACACAATTTAGACGACAAGGTGTATTTATTTCTTCATATTTGAATATTTATTCTGAATTTTACAGATAAAAATGAAAATAAAACTCTTAATTTCTGTCACAGCATCTTTTAAATGACTATAAAGCCTACTGTAGATGTGCAGGTGGACATTGTAGTTTAGTTGAAGAAGTGTCCTAAAGGTCATCACAGGTCATGAAAAATCTAATCCTCTCAGATCAGTTTGGGTTATCACATTGTGACTTTACAAAATATCCAGTCATGTTACTTCTTCTGTGTATGATGCTCAGAATTTGTAGCCTAATGCAAAGCAAGCTGAGACACGGCTGTTCTGCTAACCTGTCCTGAGGCTATGACTTTCAGCTAAGTCTCGGGTGGGTTAGTGTTTTGCAAAAAAAAATGTTCACTGGTCTGTAACACATGTAGGTTTATTATTTTTGGAGACATAAATGCTCATGTTAAGTGTTTTGAGATTTTAGAAGTAGGTCTTGATGCTTATTAGAAATAGTTTATGCAGCAGGACAAGAATGTGTGTCACATATTTCCTTAGCTGCAGCGTCTTTAATGAGGATCCTCAAGCAGTATCATTGCTTTGTATAGGATTTCCCTCAGCTAATTACAGCGGGCCCCTCATCCTTCCGCATCCTTGATCACACAGCATGTTCATAACTAGCTCTTATCTGTGTCTTCGTTCTGCTCTGAAGCGTCATGCAGGAAGAACATTGTAAACCAGGGCCCACTTCCTCTCTGCTGTCTCCAGTGAAGTGTCTGAATGTAAAGCTTATCAGTCAGATCTCCATGCAAAGTGAGGAATTCATGAGCATCACAGATATTTTCTGTGTGTACTAAATAGATTTCAGTGTCCAGATGACACTCAATCGATGTGCCATCTTGGTCCTGTCTCCGGAGGAATGGCGTCATAGTCTAAAGACTGCAACCCAAGAAGGGGACCACATGGCTGTGGTAATTAGGTGGCCTGCTGGGACAAGGAGGCTGTAATAAAAGTTATCAGTCTTCTGCTATCTATTTTCCTCTCAGGTGTTGTCTTGAAATCTCTGCTAGCTTAACTCAGGCTAGCAAGGAGTCATGTCAGTGATGCTAGCAGTTGAAGAAACATCTGCTGCATGTGTTTTCTTTTTATACCATTTTGAAGAAGTGACACTCTTTATACTCATTCTGACCTGTGAATCAAAATGAGAGTTTTAACACCTGTAACCAAGATTTCACTTTCACTCAGGATTCTTCAGTCACGAAATCCCTTCCAAATGTAATCTATGTAACCCCCACTCTTGGGTGTAGGTCCTGGTCTTGGTTGTGTACATACTCAGAGTTTCTATAAAGACAAATCCAAGTGTGCTGATGGTGTTTCCTATGTTTGTCTTGGGCTGATTTTTACAGTCCTGCCTGTTTCCTCTGTTGTCTGGTTTCTTATGTGGCCCCTGATCTGTCTCACCACACCACAGAGCTGTGTGTTGCCTGGTTCCTCATCATTGGAGCAAAGCTAGAGCATGAACATTTAAAAAATGCAAGAACGAGGCATATAAACCCGTTGTGACTTGTACAGTGTTTAAAGTGGCCATTCTCGGAGCCAAACAGAGTCACAGATCAAGACGTCAGGTTTCCACTCCCTCTTCTGCAAATAAGTCAGCACAATAAAGTTTTTATTTAACCTCTGAAGTTGGAGCCTATTACCCAATTAGTCTGAAAAAAAGTACAAAGAATACAAGCTCAAAAAAAGCTTTTTTAAAAATGCCTGTGCAAACTTTGCGGGGGTACATGGCATATTAGGAGAGCAGCAGTGCTGTTTCTTGGGGAAGGGCCTCACCTGAATAATCTCAAAGCTACCTGAGGCCAATTTGTACAGGGGTATTCACCTCTCTGCTCCCCCCTTTCTCTTTAAATCACCCATTTAAAGACTCCCAGAGATATTTTTCCCTGAGAGGGCTTTTTTTGTTCTCAGTCATAAAAGGGTGGAGGGAACGGGCAGTCAGCTGGCCACCTATTGGCTCTTCCAGTCCCCTGAGTCAGTGGTATGTGAGGAATGTATTCCCCTTCTCCACACAGTCACAACCTGCCAGGTTTCAGGTTGAGACAAGACAGAGAGAGTGTGAATGATGTTTCTGGGGGACTATTAGTGGGGAACACACACACATACCCCCAACCCCAACTCAATGCTCATCTTATGGTACACAAAGCTGCCTTAATTTACTAATAGGATCATGAGGGGAGAGGAAAAATTCATTCCTGTGTCTGATGAATATTTAATTAGAGTTTGAGGGCCTCTGTTTTTCCAGATCACCTCTGTCTGACTGCAGCAGCCTGAGGACACTAAAATCAGTCATTTAATTTGGTGGGGCTTTCCCCTCTCTGTTATGAGACACAGATTTAACAGGTCCTGCTGTAAGGTTTATTGACACTAACGGGTAATTATTTTTTATGTCTAGTAACTGTACCACAACAGGTTGTCATCATCTAAACTTCAAGTTTTGAAGACAGCAAAACACTCAATGCTCCAACCAAAACCGTGATTTGAATCCATAATTGGAAGCTAACACTTTTTGACAGCTGTAAACATATCAAATATCTATTTCTAAAGTGTGCAGAGGCACTTTAGGGTTGAGGGTTCAATGAAGACAGAGCACGTGTTAAACTCAAAAGTTAAATATTTGGGATCGTATAACTCAATGTCCTGCTGTAGTGCAGACTAATGTCAGTGATGCAGGTGGATCTGTCTGACTTGGCTGTGGTCCAACTTTCCCCTTCACAGAAATGCTTGTGGTCTTTGTCTCTGAAGTATCAGAGCACCAGTGTTACGCCTGAGTGAAAGTCTTTCAGATAACAATGCCGTGTTGTCCATTAGACCCTCATACATTTCACTAGAGGAAGTTGTTTCTCATGTGTCCCATTTAGTAAAAGGAAGTATCATGAATGTAATTTGGAAGACGTTTGCTTTGCAAATTTGCATCCGACAGAACTTTTTTTAACGTTCAGTTGCACAGATATTAGCAATACGATCCAATATAATACGATACCATATGATACTATATAATAATTGCTTCCATGGCAACAGATTCTCCTCTCTGTGTTGTGTGTTGACGTTAACTGAACATTTTAAATCACAGTCATTAGCCTGCTTATTCGTTATCTTGCACATAAAATGAAGCACTACCTTTGACAGTGAAGTTAGATAAGTCTTTTAAGAATATAATATTAACTTTTGTCCTTACGTGGCCTTCTTTCCTCTCAGAGCTTTGCAGTTGACACACCTTTAGATATAAATAAGGCAGATTTTTTAAACTCTGCTGCTATTATCTTTGCCGCTATTGGCTCTTTGTATCTATGAGTAACTTGGAAATGGACTCACAGCTTTACAGCCACTGTCTGGATTGCAGGGACAATCCCAATACTAGAATATTTATATAATTTAAAGTAGCAGTTTCAATGGAAACTACATTTTTTGCTACATATGACGGTAACTGCAAATAAGGTTTTGCCCCATTCTTAACAAGCAAAAGTATAGGTGCTGGAACTATTTTCAGTGGATTGATTTGAGATAACATTCAGTAGTGATCTGGTTGTTAAAGGCGTTGCTTTTGCTGTTCAGAGTGAACATCCATTGTCAAGGGGCTTGATGAGAGGTAAGACAAGGCATTCAATAATCAATCCTTGAAAATAACCCCCCTCTGAAAAACTGTGCAAAACAACTTTCAGAGAGATGATTTAGCGTGTTGAATACCAGTGCATAAATCCATTGAAATCCAAGCCAACATGACTTCTCTGAAGTTAAGAGCAAGTTTGTTGATCATGACCGTCCCTAATCTTTTATTGCCTGTGTCCAATCAGTTGCTAATGGCATGAGTAGCATTTTGTTTAGCAGCCGAATGAATGACGGCCTCTAATAACACGCTGAAATGGATCCCAGCGGGACCCTGTGCCTCCTGCTGATCCGCACAGAGTAGATTCTTTATGGTGCGGCTTTCATTGAAAATACCTGCAGTGAGGACTGTGTCTATGTTGACAAAAGTGTAAGAGATCCCTCCTCTCTCCCCCTACTTGTACAGATGCCCTTAAACAGCATGGAAAAGGAGCTAGTGTAGCTGGCCTCTGGGCTAATGAAGGCTACCTGGAGCTAGAAAAACTATATGCTTCAATGGCTTCCCTCAAATTCCATTTTTCATCTTTGAAGCTGAGATGGTCCTGACGTATTGGTTTACACTAGGAATGTGACGGTGGAAGTCATTGTATGCTAACACATGTCGTATGTCCTAAACTATTTAAAGTGTGCTTCAAAAAGAAGTTTAAAAATGCATCCTTTTATCCAGTGTTTGAAACATTGATATGATATTTCCATGTCTAACAGAACTTGGCTGGGTATTTTCCCCGACAGGTTAAACAGAAATTTCATGCACACACCTGTGCTGCTTTTATTAGCTGAGTAAGACATAAGTGGAAACTTGGCACCTCACAGGCACGCTAACAGTGTGTGTTGTCTGCTCTCTTATAGCTGTGAGCTAGTCCACCTGTAATCATGCTCTACATACACTTCCCCTGTGTTATAGCTTCCTTATATGCAGCTGGGGTCAAAATGTTAAAAGAAAAGCTGTGACTGATACCATGAATCTCTTCTAAATTGTGCTCCTGCTGCATGGTGGGAGTGCACAGACGATGCATGAGCGTGGGTCACTGCGTCCACACTCAGTCCAGCTGTGTGAGTCTGTTTGTGTGTATTTCTCCTTGTCACTTTAATATACAGCATGTTTGTGTGTGTTTCTCATTTGTAGTAGCAGTGGGGGAGCGAGGTTAACGCTGGGTGGGCAAAGTTAGCACACAAACCTGCAAACACAAAACCAAAACACGTCTTTGTCAGACGGGGTTTCACTGGCTGCTGTTGAAAAGTAAGTTAGTTTATTATCAGGGGATGAGCCGCCATGTTTAATTTGTCACACTGGGTCCAAATGAGTTTGCTCTTCTGTTACTGTTTCACTAAAGGCAGGTGGTGGTCTTTAAACAGGATGTTTGTCCAGCTGAGAGACCCTGCTAGACCACTATAGGAGCACAGGTGCAAACTGATATTTTATTTAATCTACTCTTCACTGTTGGATACTTTCTCCTAAATTTATCACAAGTAATGTTTGCATTGCATTCATTTCCATTTGATGACCCCCCCATGAGACCAAATCACCATTTATCACAATGCTATCAGATTTTTTTTTTGTTTTCTCTTCTTCTTTTTCATCATTCTCTTCTTTCTTCTTTTAAAACTTAACAGAGATCATTAAAAGAAAGCCAAAAAATTCAGTTTTTCTCCCTTTATCACATATCCAAACATTAGTGCCCACAAGTGACTTGGAGGGATAGTTCTGTTATTTTTAGGCAAAGCTGTAAGGTACTCGTCAATAAGTGTATTGGCCACAGGGGATCCCTGCCAGCTCTGCCCTTTGTTAAGAAACCGATAGGGGAGCAGTCATGGGCGCTATTAATGGTTGCAGACGGGGTCAGCTCAACCGCATATCTTAACCTATTCTAAGAAACTTCAAACTAAACACTCATGTTGGTGTAAGTGCACGCTGTAGCGCTTTACTTTGCCATGGAAAGGCTCATTCATTTTTACACCGCTCTTGGATGTTATGAATACCTGCAGTACACTGATCTGCTATTTAGGTCTTTGATGACTTAAGGTCCTTACACACCGGGACCGACGCAAATATATGATGCCAAATTACTAAATATTCAGAGGCGAATTTTGAGGCGCCTGACTATACACATCAAGCCCGATGCGATTTTGCGACTTTCGGGGGGAGGGGGGGACACGCGTCCCGGGTAGAAGCGAGAAGACTGACACAACAGCAGACTGACTGTTTTCAGTTCTGATTAGACACTAGTGTTGAGTTGACTGTCTGTCATGATAGCATGTACTGAGTCGGGGCCAGTACCAGATAAGCACATTAAACTATAATCCATAAACGTAAGGTAACAACCGAGACCTAATGGTGCTGTGACAGCAATATGATTAAGTTTGAGACAGTGAAAATACATATGGTATGTTGTATCTGAACAGGTTAGCTTACGAGCTAAAGTTACTTAGCACAGATGAAAGTTAAAACAAAGACGTTTAGCAAACTGTTAAAGCACACAAACTATCGTCATATGAGAAATCTGACGCTATGACTCTCCACAAGTTGTCCTTCAGGTCGTTATCTTTGTAATGTTTGTGTCTTTTATCAAAAAGCACTCTATTCTCCAACATGTAAAAAATCAGCCGGTCGGCCATGTTGGATATACCGGTGAATCAGACGTCGCAACAACACGCAATCTGATTGGTCAGAAGTGGACACACAGTACGCGAAACTTTAGAAAAATCGACTGTGATGTAAAAAAAATAAATGCTGCAATATCGCAGGACGGGAAAACATCGCTGATGTGAACACTTGTATTGACAGGATACGGGTTCGAAAAAAAATATTGACGTCCGAAATAATTGCACAACAAAAACAGTCCCGGTGTGAAAGGACCTTAAGTCACAGATGTAGTGTAAATTTTGATATTTTTGCATCTCAGTTCGACATAATTTTAAGCATTAAACACTGTTAAATATCCAGCACACACAGTAATGGCTGTCAAGTTTGTTGTTTAGCTCAGTCTTCCTCTCCTGTGTGTTTTGATAAGGGAAACAAATTGTGTGGATTATTTGTTGAGTGAAAAATTGAGAGCCAAAAACTTGTTCTGAGGACAAATTTTTATTCAGCTTGTCTGGTTTTCTGATTGAACTTTGGGAAATTGAAGAAAGTGGGTAAAACACTAGCATTCAGTGAGGTAGGGCTGCAGCTGCATGTGAGCTGCTGGTATCACCTCATTAACAAGACAGGTCCTGAAATACTGTCATAACCAAGACTCAATCATGGCAACAGCTAGTTCTCTGGGTTTGGGGCATGAGCTTGAGATTTACACACACTTGCACCACCAGATAATTGAGGTCTCTCTTGCTCCTGCTTAGTGCAGCTGTTTCACCTCTCCCTCCTTTCAGACAGGAGATAAGTGTCCTTGTTCTTGTCTTTTTCTGCCTCTATAAACTCCAGTTTGTAAAGGTGTACCTTACTGTCCACTGTAAAGATCCTATCATCGTCTCTGGTTGAATCTCTTAGTTTTTGGTTTGGTTTTATTTTCACTCTTTCAAAGCTGGCAGACCCAACAGCTGACCCAAATGCAATTTCTGGTGGCAAAGTGAAGCTTCGAAAATTTCCAGATGAAGACTAGTGTTTGGGTTCGAGCTAGCTCATGACAGAGATGATTCTGCCTGTAATGGCTGACAGCCGAGCTTTCATGCGGGTTCTCCAGACTTGTTTCTTAACAAAGGAGCACAGCTGACCAGAATCCTATAATTTAAACAATAAAATTAAAAAGACCTGTCACCTTAAAAATAAAGGCTGAAGGCTCTAAGACACAAGAATAGATTAAAACTGATGCAGCCTTTGTCCCATGAGTGAAACCCTGTTATTGTGAGATTACAGTTTAAGCTTGACTGGCCACAGGGATAATGTTCATGGTTTGCTTGGTGCAAACAGTTCACCACTAACTTCCTTTCACTCAAGCAGACTTGCCTCGTTAATAATTGACAACCTTGGCGGTTATACTGGAGGATTTGTCTTAATATGAGACATTTACTATGACTTATTTCTACTTCTTCTTTTGAGACAAGTTTGTTTGCCAGAATCTTGATGTAAAGGTTCAGTTTGAGGTCAAAGGGTTTCAGGCTGGGTGATAGACTCAAGATTGATGCCTTCTATACTTTTGAATTGAAGTTGCACCTGCACTCAGGCTTCAAAAAGTCATGAGTTGGGGGAGTGGGGGCAGGTGAGGTGTGCGTGACCAATACTTTTCCTAGCAGCAGGTTGATCTATAACTTTGTCCACAGTAGACTCATGCACTTGTTATGTTCTTCATTTCAGCATGTCTGTGGTGAATAGTCTAATAGCAATGTGTTTACTCACTCCCTCCTTCTGGTTTTTGAGACAATTTCCTGGAGGAGAAATACCTGGATTTATCTGAGTGTCTTTGTCATACGAGTGAAACTGCAAAAAAAAAAAAAGGCTAAGATAAACACACTTTTGTGTTTCCTTATCATCTAAGCAGTCTCTCCTCTTTTTCTAAATTCTTTACATCATTACAGGAGCATAAAAAGATCTAATTCCTGCTCTGCTATTGACCTGATGCTCTATCCAATCTGCAAATTGAGTCCCTCAATTCAATATTACCTCCATTTATCTGTTTAGAGAGTTTAAGTGGCATTATTTCCCTGGAATAGCCTGTAGTGTAATCGCTTTATAACATCCTGCAGAGTAGGTTTGTGTATTGAGTACGTTCATAAATGGATTTAGGATCAGAGTTTAGGATTAATGTTGTTTCACACACCCTTTCCTTGCCTGTACTTGTTTAGGATTTGATGTCCTGCTTTGTACCACAGTTAGGGTTTGAAAGTTTTAGGTGTGTGATGCAGTGCTGCTAGTGACTGTACTTTGAATCAGGTCAACCATAGTTACCGGTTTGACTCTCTTTCACACAGACACGGAACAAAGAAAAACACTTATTGTAATAAGTGTTTTTCATGAGCTACAGCTAAGGCTTATACTGTTTTTCACAAACAATCATCAATGCAGCTTAAAGCCCCTGTGAGAAACTTTTTTTTTTCCAATCTTGGCCCCGCCTGTGGACAAAGCACTCTTTGCCTATCTTTTCATAAACATGCTTGGGTCATGTCCTCTAAAAAAAATCTCATCATGATGACTTCTGACCAACAAATGTTGTATTTATTTGAATATTTTATGAGAAAAAACTTAAAAAAAAAAAAAGAAAAAGTTGGATTCATTTAGCTGCTTGGCTGTCACCACTTTCAGGCATTTTAATATGGCAAAGTAAAAATAGTCAATCTCATTGCTGCTGATCTTGTTTGCTCTTGTATGTCACAGAAAGGCATCTATAGGCATCAGTGTTAATTTTAGTCTTAGTTATTGACGTCAAAAATCTCCTGACAAGAGCTTTTTTTCAGATGGATTAACTAATGATAAACTCGATTATGGTTTCGTCCTTGGTTACAGCAACTTAAGAACCTAATACAAAGTCATGGCTTTGGGTACTTGTCAAATGCTGGGCAAAATATGTAAATATAGATGTTACGGCTTTATACTTTATTTTCTGGCTGATGTTTTTATGCCTGTACATTGCCATCTGGGTGTTTGGAGCCAACTTAAAGAAGATGGGGTGTATAACAGAGAGCAATTCTGCTCTAAATTTCCACCATCTTTTACAAAATCCACAACATGCTGTGCTTAGAACTTGAAGGTAAAAAGACAGTAAATTTATTTTAAAATGTTGCACGAAGCGATAAATCAATTGAAAATTGGATCACTTTCTTGATTTGGTTCTATATGGTTGGGCTACTCACTACAATGGAGTCATCCACATAAGGAAAAAATCAAGTTTGAGGAGCTGTTTTCACTTCTTATGTCATTTCTTGGCTGATACTGAAAGTCTGTCCTAGTGTCAAAATACTAAGCATTATATCTGAAAGTGAGAAAATGGGCTATTTGTGGGTGATTTGTTTATGAAAAGAGTGACCATGACCTCAACATTGAAGTTCTTACTTTAAAAAAGCAAACAAAAAAACAGTAATTTTGTAGATTTAGCAATAGACTGTTGGTTTGTAACTGAGCGAGTGTGAAATATCTTAAAAATTATCCAACACTGCAGCTTCCTCCACACAGAAAACTTGGAAAAAGGTCACCGGTTGGCTGCAGGTGTGTGATGTAGTCTGAAAAGGAAGTTGAAACCAAATAATTTTCCTTGAGCAGCCAAGAATCAACACAGATGTTGATGAACAATTGACAGTATTAGATCATTGCATCATGGTCCTCCCTCACCTATGTTTAATCTCAGTAATCCTCTCTCTGTTTCCCTATTCAACAGAACCTTGTAACCAGGGGCAACATCTTCATGTGTCTACTTGCTTTCAATGGGTCTTATAAAAGCAAACTGACGCATCAGATTTATAATTGCAGGAGAGGCTGATGTGAAGCTGTTCATAACTCTGTTGAAGAGAGACATGGCTGGTTCATTTTAGTCTGAGGCATAATTTTCTACCGCTCAGAACAGTTGAGTCATTATATTTCTATATATATGTTGCATATCTGCAGTGTTTGAAAGCTCTTTGGAAAAAATAAACCCTGAGGTTCTTCATTGTGGAGCTGAAGTTTTCTTCCTATTTCTTTGCCCTAAAGCTGCTCGGCTGCAGTCTTAGCTTATCTGGAGAGGTGATCCATCATTTGTGTGAGGCTGACTTTCTTAAACACACACACAGCTACACTAAACTAAACAAAACACACACAACAGCCCAGAGAAAACAAGTAAAAGAGAGTTTCCTTTTTGCTCTTTGTGCCTTGTCATTATCTTTCATCTCAGTCTCTTTGTTATCTCTGTCATCCATCTCTGTTTGTATCAGTCACCCATTCTTAAATATTTATACCTGCTGACATGTAAAAATAGGTCATCAGGGAGGCAAATTGTTTGTTAGAGGCCCATGTCATGTTCGAAGTACTCCAGTTCAGACACGGATCAGATTTAGATGGAAGCGTTTGTTTTAAGAGAAAATTTATGTTTTAAGACCACTACAATAAAAATGTTTTCCAAATTGATAATTATTCTTTCCCCTTACACCCCCTACATTTGTGCTTACAGCCTACTTTTCATAGATCACATATAAAATAAACAACTGAATTTAAATTCAATTAATCAATAATCAATCTTTATTCATGTTACGCCAAATCACAGCAACCATTACCTCAAGACTCAAAAGAGCAGGTCTAGATCTAATCTTAGTTTGATGTATTACATAGACCCAACCTCAAGATGGGAAACGATTGAGTCCCATCAAGAAATAAGACCCTTTCTTAACCCATCTCAAACCAACACGAGTGAAGCACTCTGCAGTATTTAGCAGGTTACAGCGGCAAGAAAGAAACTTCACTTTAAATGGCAGAAACCTTGAGCAAATTTGCACAAACACATGTAGACGTGTCAGTACTGTATCAGAACTCAGAGTCTCCCCCTGAGACACTGAAACAGCTGCGTTTCCATTACATTTTTTCGCAAAATAAAAGCGATTTTTATCAAATTTCGACAAAGTACAATTGCGATTTGCGGGTGTTTCCATTGAATGGTGTTCAGTGCATAAGCGAGCCGTCTGCCTCTCGCGAGCCGTGTTTAAATGGCCGTTGCCTAGCAACGAGGTAAACTTCCTGCCCGTGCGACCTCGTATTCCTTAAGCCTTTTTGCACACCAACATGGACGACACACAAAACATTTTGCGTTTTGGAGCAGCTATTTCTGTGACCATTACTGCTGTTGCCGCTGCTGTCATCAGAAGACGAAGGCAGCGGGTGATAATTCAAAGGCAAAGCTCGTATGTATGGGAGCGAACACGGATGAGCGATTTCTGGGAGAGGATCGTTAATGAGGAATTCACAGACGAATTGTGGATTCAAAACTTCAGAAAAATACAAATACAATTCAAAACTTCAGAAATAACTCCGTCTCCTCCCCCGTCCACATAAACCGTGCCATCTACGCTTGAAATGAACTGGTCACTTGACCCGCTACGTCACGTCCGGTGACAGAGAATTGCGAGAAAAGTGTTTCCATTACACTTTTGCGATATACTTCTATATCGACACATTTGAAAAACCACCTCATGAGAGCGTAAAAACTTTTTAGCGATATTTGGGAGGTTTTTCGAAATGTAGGTGTTTCCATTACCAGTTTTCTATTGCGATATTTACGTTTTGCGCAAATCTATGGCTAATGGAAACGCAGCTAGTAACTTGTACTGTCTCTGTTTCTAACTTGTGTCTGACTTTTTTTTTTTGTCTCAGGTTCTATTTTTTTGTCATTTCAATTGAAAAAAGGGACAGTTTGTTCCTCTGTGAAATCAGCTAACTCACCCTGCTCATTGTCTCATCTTGTTAGTCTTGCTAAAGCCTGTAAGATGCACATAAAACTCAGGGTTTAGTCATTTTCAATTATGTTGGGTTTGGGTTCTGCTGATGCTATTCTGAGTCAGAAACAGGTGGGAGTGTGTTTCATGAACCTCTAAGGAACAGGACATTTTACCCTGTGTGGACTCACATAGAATGAAACTAGTTGAAGTTCCCCTTTTTCTACCTTGTGAGACAAGAAGAGATGAATCTCTTCACCTCCTCACTCCTCTCTCCTCCTTTCCATCACCCCCGACTTTTCAATACATCCTCCCCCTCCTCCTGCATGTGCTGCTGTGAGGAGTTTGCTGAGCAGTGGAGATTAAACTGACAAGATAAGTTGCCTCCTGTTTGTCTAACCAAACAGAGCAGATTTGGATATACAGTAGTTCCATCAAGCTACCTCCTCCTGAGAGTTCAATTTTCCAGAATACAGGAACACAGACACACTCACCTTGTCAGGGTGTGCTAGCTGTGGTGCATGTTTGGTCTAGCCAGGATCACTTGTTAGGTGGAGGGGGCAAATTTCAACATGTCCTCAGAGTAGGAATGCAGCTGCCGGTTGCCTGCGCCCCCCCTCTCGTCCCTGAGCCTTTGACAGGCTGTTTATGAGGAGGTGATGAGCAGAGAGTGAGATAGAGGGAGTGCACACATTGTTGCAGTACAAACAAGGCAGGATATGAGGCGTGTTGCCAGGCCTGAATCAACTCTGAGTGGGTCAAGTTTCAGTGAATTTCATATATTGGCCAGTAAGTCTTTGTTAATCCTTTCAAATTCCCTCACATAAACTGAATAACTCTTGGTCATCAATAAAAAAAAAAGCTTTTTAAGTGGAGAGAAGGTTTGGCCAGATAAGAGTGTTATGAAGGACAGGCTGGTGGTGTTGTTAGGTCCAGGCACTTCCACTGTTCAAACTAAAGGTTTCAGATTTTGGGAGGTACATTTATTCCTTTTCTTTTCATAAGTCAGAGATGCTAAAATTCAAGCTCCAAAGATACCCCTTTTTTAACAGTCTGGGGTCCCGACCCTGAACAGACAGTCTTAATAGACGGGACAGGCCCAGGAAGGACTCATCAGTGAAGTGGCAATCATATGCTCTAATGTGACTGTTTCCCCTAAAACTTCAAAACTTCCCACAGTTTCATGTTTCTTTGTCTCTGAGGGGAGAAAATAGTTGTGGCCACTGTGCTGCAAATGCAGAACTGAAAACTTCAAAAGCACATGCAAAAGTCACAAAAAAATCACAACAGTTAAAATGTTGAAACTGAAAAACTGTGCTGCAAAAAGCCAAAACAACTCTACAAACCACAAGAGTTGTTGGCCACCACAAAAAAATTTCTGTCAAGCAACTTTTCCTGACATACTGAATCAACAAAGTGCAGAACAGAGGCAAAAGATAAACTGGGTAACAGACTGTCCAGCTCCTGGGCAGGTGTGTCTTTGACAGAGCTGGATGGTCTCATCCTCTAGTGCTGTCCCAATAGACAGGTTTCTTGTGTACAAACAATACTAGGTGAGCGCGCAACAATGGAGCAACCATGGGTCGAAATGTTTGTTGATTGTTTGTTTTGCCCATTCGTGCAGTTTACAGCACAACAGCTCCTTATCATTTTCTTTCTCTGTTGATTCCGCTTGTAAACAAATAAGAAATGTCCCGCTTTCTGCCCCCTGGCTGCGCATGCATACCTGCGATGACATTGCACAGAAACTCGTCTATCGGGCGGCATGACCTGACATCAGTGTCTTTAAATGAGCTGTTCAGAGAAGCTGGAAAACACATGCCGGAATTACACCACCATCCGCGTAGCTCATGGTATGAAACTCTGCTCAAGTTTAGTATGGACATCCAGCATTGTCACACTGAATGTATTAAAGTACTGATCAGCATAATAGGTCTACTTTAAACACATAGTACTTGGTTTTTAAATAACTAATGAATTATGAATTGATGATAAATGATGGTCCTGTGTGGGTTTGTGTCTGTATTGCAGCGCTCTGCAGTGCATTGTTTACGTCCAGTCTTCTTTTTATATCTGGGCTTTCAATGCGTTTATTGAGAGGTGGGACAGTGGGTATAGTGGGAAATGGAGAAGGCAGGGTAAGGAAAGGGGCTGTGGGTTGGACTTGAACCCAAGACGCCACAACTCTGAGAGAAAACGGGTGTGTTTCCTCTTTTTCTGACCTGATCATAACAGTCAACAGGGTTCATTTTCCAACACTGCAGCTCTTTAATACGGTGATTAAACAGTGAGTGTGCACACAAGGTTGGGTTGGACTTGTTCTTATTTGTTGGTTTCAACAGGCCACTTCATCTGAGTTACCCAATGTGTGATAAGCACCTAACTCTGCTCCCCAATCCTTAATGATTTCTATGAGAGCAAAGTTCAAACTAACCGGCCTCTAAGTGTTTTATAACACTGCTGACCCTTTTCTTTCTCATTCAGTCTGAATGCTTTGATTCTGTGCGGGGAGGTCTGACCTTGTGAGCCTGTGTTTTGAGACACTTTGTGCTGGTCTCAGCTGAAAAACACTTTAGATGGCCATGGCTTCTGATTAAACCACTCTGGGAGCAGAAAGGCAAGACGAATGTAGAAAAACAAACCCCACTTATTGTCCCATGTGTGTTTCTGTTGTATGAAAATGGACAGGGCTTCTGAATCTCCACGTATCCTTCGGTCTGTCTGACCACTACTGACTTCTGTGGAATCTCATACGCTGTCTACATTACTGAATGATTACATGAATCAAGGCTTTTCTCTCAGGGCCCTTTGGAAATTGCCGACCCTCAGAGGCCATCTTCGCTCTTACTGGTTGTCATCACTATGTCAAGATCATAGTGTCTTTGCTTGGTAGCTGAAAGAAGGGATGATTATATTTTTCTGTTTTGAATGATTTTGGCTGGAAGACGTTTCATACATCAGCTGAAAATATTTAACATATTCCTCTATTGATTTAAAGCTAGTTGATACTGATGAGACGGAGATTTTTGAAGGGCAAAAGGATCAATCATTGACCTATTTAAGTTTCTCTTTGTCTATAAAAAGTCTGGTTATTGAAGTTTCCATGTGGTTACTTTATTGCCTCTTCCATCATGGAAGGAGCGATTCAAGTAAAGGACAACATTTAAGCCACAACTCCTGATCTGAGATCAGTGCGTTCTTATTCTAAGATGGTGAGACTTCAAATTATTAGGGGTTAGTTTTATCTTACGACAGCCCCCGGAAACAAACTCATATGACTGGAAATCTCTGTCTGTTCATGTTCAGGTGATGCATCACAGAAGAAATATTTCCACCAGGGCTCTTCAGATGCTCTCATGATTAGAGTTTAAGTTTGTATGGGGGCATTTTGTCTCTGTAAGGGTGTGTATAGATACAGACGTCTGAGGTAGAGAGATAGAGTCTGGTACAGTCACAATACTAGAGTATTATGTGTGCCATTTTTTACAGAACCTCTGAAAAATATATTTTTCATTTGTTAGTTTTGTATGACTCGTTGTTGTCGTTTGAAGGTGCAGGGGCTTCGCTTTAAAGGTGTTTTTTCACATCTACACCAATCAGCCTAGTTTAATTTACTCATCAGTGCCTGTGAGGGGTGCAGGTGGCCTTCAGTGAGTAAACCCACAAGTTTGAGTAATGGCTTCACTCATAATTTTCCTCTTTCAATTGTTCATTGCTGCCAACAGCATTTCAGCTCCAAACAAGCAATCCATGAGCAGAGGTTTAAATGAAAAAAAGCTTCAGTTTCACTCCAGTGCCACATGCTTTTGTTTCCCACTGCAGTGGGGTCATGTGTCACACACACCGTAAACAAGACTGTCTGCACCTCCGCCTACAAAGTGGAGCTAATAAATCTTGTGCTGACAGTAAATAGAGTGTCCCAGCACAGGGTTGTGTAGAGGGAGTAATCCCTCCACTTCAAAGTTGCGTGGTGTGTCTAAAGGTGCTGATGTGGGGAGTGTCCGGCTGAGCGGACAAAAAGATCAGGTCCATCACTGAAGCTGGGCTGGAAGTCTTTGTGTGTGGGAGTGAGCATGTGCGGTGCCTAGACTTGTCACGGGTCGTGCTCTGACTACTCCAGTCTCTCATTTTCAGTTCACATGGGTTGGTCTTGAAACCTCTTGTCACTGTAAAAGCAGTTTCTGAGGTGACATACTTAATAATTCATTAACCGTCAGGGCGAAGTGTTTTACTTTTAAGGTCAAATGGAAGAGGGTATGTGGATACTAATTTACCAATACAGTTTTTTCCCTTCTAAATATGGACTCAGATAGCTGGAGGAGCAAATTCTAAATATCCTTTCCATAGGTCTACAATATAAAATGAACCTACACTCTTATTCTGCTAACCCCATGTTGATGTGGTGTGACAGCTATGAGTGCTGTAGCCTGGCGGTCTCGGTCCAGCGTCCAGACTCTTGGCTTACCTTACTTTAGATAGGCCAAGATCTTTTATGTGGTTACTGTCTCTGTGTTGTAATGTCTAACACCGTGACAAAGCTGATATAATCTTATCCTGCTAATCTGTCTGTGCCTTTCTCTCTCCCTCTTCTGTGTGTTTGTCTGTCTGTGTGTGCAGACTTCTTGTAGGAGCGCCCAAAGAGAAAGCCTTATCTCTAAAAAACGTCAATGAGACAGGTGCTGTCTACTCCTGTCCCATCACCACCAACACCAATGACTGCACCAGGATGGACCTGGTCAGCACAAGTAAGCACTACTCAAAACTCAGGAAGGACTAACTGGTGAATAAAGAGTTTAGCATCATAATAAAACTTTTTATTGATGTCTGAGCCTGAGAAACACATTTGTAGGGGTGCTGATTTGACTCTGAACCAGCACAGACTCTGAGGGATTAACATAGATGTGAAGAGTCAGCAGCCATGTTTGCTGCTCTCTTAGTGCACAGTGGTGCTTTGAACTAATTCATTTGGCCACATGAACACATAATCACAATGGTAATACTTACATAATGGTGTAACCAGCAGGATTATTTCAACCTAAGAATGTACAGTTAGAAAGAGTAAAGGTTGGCTTGCATTTTTTGGTGGACTAATGCTGCGTTCTAGTTACCTCAGAAGTCGGATGTCAGAGCTGGGTATGATGTTACACCTGAGTTGACGGCGTTTCAGTAAACAAGTCGGAAAACCAAGATGGGTGCCTACAGTTAGCCATTGTTAACAATTGTCAACTGTTGTTAGCCGTTGTCAGCTGTTGTGAGTTGTTGATAGCTATACCAGCTGTAAACAAGGCATAACACAGTATTTCACTCCTACAAACACGTTGGACAGTACAACATATACCACTTATTTAATTTCATAAAAACAAAACAGAAGTGCTAATAAATAGTACATTACGAGAGCTTTCACTGTTACTCTTTACTGTTGAGGCACTGCGCTGCCATCTTGGATTATGACGCTGTCGTCAAGTCGGGGTTAGTGAGAAAATCTGACTTTCTGAGTCGGAAATCCAACTTCAGGGGTGCGTTACAGGTGAATTTCCGGCTCGGAAATTCCAACTTCCATTTGAACGCAGCATTATTCCTCTCCAATCTCTTTTGTCTGATTAGAATATTTTTTAAGTTTTAAATATTTAACTTTAAATATTTGTATAATTTTGGCATAATTCACTTTTATAAAAGGTAGAGGCCAGAAGGATTTCGCTGATCGCTAAGTGAGCAGCAGCTAATAATACCCTACAGATGCTAGTCAGTTCGCTTCTTCTTTATTCCCAGGACAAAGCGTGCGTGTCAGACATTCTCAGCCTAATCCCCAGCATGTCCCATAGCATCCACAATCATACACTGCACCCACAAAATGAGCTGCAGGTTATAAAACTCTGAAAGAGCATCCTTCCTTAATTGAAGGTTATTAACTTATAGACTTACTGCTCACCTACCTGCAGGTGAATAGACCCCCTGGAGGCTAAGAGTAAGAGCCATAATAAAAGGATTCCTCATCACTTTTGATGTTGAGGTCGGAGCGACTGTTGCCACAGTCACAGCACATTTTTGTGGTTAATATTTGTCAGGGCATGTCATGATGGGGGCTGGATGAGCTCTGCTGTTTGGGTTAGTTTTCCTGGGACTGTAATAACTGTCATCATGTGTTGTATAAAATATGTATGATGGGGAAACGAATGCTAGTTTATTTGGGGTAAAAATGATGAATTGAAAAAAATAAAAAAATAAGAACTCACCTTGTCAATCACCAGGACGTTTAACTGTATTAACAATTACGTTGTAATCCACAGCAACCTCCTCTGAGATGGTGGAGGGCATGTGGCTCGGTGTGACAGTGGCCAGTCAGAGAAACCAGGCGGGTGGACGCGTGCTGGTGAGATAATGCTGTTTTTTTTTTTCTTATTTGTTATTAGATGGAGTCGCAGGTGGCATGTTGTGAACATAGAGGGGTCCAGTATGAGATAAATAATTTAGTCTTAATGTTTAATATCACAGATGACACAGAGTGCATGTTGCAATATTTATTGCATCATCTGCAAACAAAATATTGTAGTCAACTCCTGCACACACCTTAAACAGAATGACTCATGTAGGTCGGAAATGCCATGAAGATAAAACTGATGATGACAATCTTATTACAGGTCATGTTTGTATTTTCCTGAAATGATTTTTTTCCTTTGATATGGTTAATTTCATTTGTATTCATGTAAAAGTATTTCAAGAGTGAAATGCAGTGATCTGATTCCATCTTTGTAAATACACAACAAGGCAGTAAGAGAAAAATTCACTCTTGTTTTGAGTAGCTGCTCTCAGTTTCTCTCAGTTTCTTGATTGATCCCAGTTTGTATCCTTTCTCCTTGGCTGATCTGACACATGGTTGATTCAACCAACCATACAGTCTGTGATCTCCTAGAATAAACTTTTTTCTCTCCAGGCATGCGGGCATCGCTATGTGAAGGTCATCAAAGGCGCTACAGAAGAGCAGAGACGGATGGTAGGCAGGTGCTACGTTAGAGGTAACGACCTGACCTATGACCCCGATGATGAATGGCAGGCCTTCAGGTATGAGGTCTGCAACCCCAACTTTGACATGGAGCTGGAGGGGATGTGCAACATGGGCATTTCGGGCGGCATTACGGAGACTGACGTCTACATCGGTGCTACAGGCAGCTTTGTGTGGCAAGGTGAGACCCGAGGAGTCGATGTTCAAATCACTGTGGAAATAATTACCTGGGATTGGGATTAAAATGAATGCAAGTATTCTAACAAGGATAACAAGGGTTTTATTCTCAGCTGAGGGGAATTGTCCATATTGCATGACACAGGAAAAAACACTACTGTCTGTTTGTTTGTTTGTTTGTTTATTCATTCATTTATTTTTCCATTAAGGAAATGTTCATGTAACGTGGAGAGATCCAGATCCACTCAATTCCTGGGACTCCAAAGGCACTGAGTTTGGACAGCTGGGAAAAAGAAACAACTATATGGGTAAATTTGAAGAGTTGCATCACAAAATATTGAAATCATAGCAAACTAAAAGTTGAAAATTCCTGCATCTCGATTGCAAATATATATGATGTGTTTAAGAGCTGGTTTTGATTCAGAACAACCTGTAAATTTCAAAACACTTTCTTTATTTCTTTAACATTTCTTTAGCAGTGTCTTGTTAAAGTCTAGCAGTCATTTTTAAATCCTATTATCCGCAGGTTACTCTGTCATTGAGGAGAAAAAACTGCTGAGCCATGATGAATACACAGTGGTAACAGGGTCTCCCAGGGATGAGTCCAAGGGCTCTGTTGTGTTCGGGGCCAAGACTGACAAAATAATCAAGCCAGAGCTCACCATCCGGGGAGAACAAGTGGGCTCATATTTTGGGAGCAGTCTGGCTGTCACCGACCTCAACAATGACGAGTGCGTAAATGCACAACACACAGTGACAATACTCTCATTCACCTTTGCTTGATAGTATCCTCACTCTTCTATAACAGGGATGAAAATAAATATAATTTGATCCTTTAAATAGAAAACCAGTAAAGCAAAACTGTCATGTCTGCTATCTTGTCCCTCTGGGCTGCATCATGCTTGAATGTCTTGTAGCTATGTGCCGCCCTGATATTCAGAGAATGTATGCATGAGCTCAGAGGAGGAGAGAAAACCTGTCCTTTCAGCAGCTGAGATAAGGCGTTCATGCTGACATCATGGTGAAATCATGTGTCCACTTTGAAGCAAGAGAGAAACTTTTTTTTGATGTGTTGGATCTTAAATATTTATGTGTGCACGTATGTGTTTACATATTAACATGTACTTTTGTTATTTCCTTTGAACAGCTGGAACGAACTGATCGTTGGCGCCCCATTTTACTTTGATCGTATGAAAGATCAGGGTGGAGCCGTGTACATCTTCATGAACGAGAATGGATCTTTCCAGAAGACTGCAAACGTGGTGCTGAAGGGTCCAACAGGCTCTGGTTTTGGTTTTGCTGTGGCGGCAATCGGAGATGTCAACCAAGATGGATTCCAAGGTATAACATTTGTTTCAAGTTAACTTGAGGACAAAGAAAATGAAATAACATCATGTGGAAAAGACGCTATCTGCAGCTTTAAAAATCCAGATCAGTAAATATTGGAGGTTTATCTCTAAAAGAAAACAATTAGACAATTGTGAAGTAGAGCTTCTTTTTAAAATCAGTTTGTTACATTAACAATATTGTTCCTGTAATATTACATACACGTGTTTATTAACAGGTGGTTTTATTTCTCTTTAATGTTTTGTGTGATTGATTTTATGAGTTGCTGCTCGGCAAGTGCCTCAGCAGTTTGCAACATGTGCTGTGTTGACAGATGAACACTATAATAGCTGAACAAAACTTGGATACATACATAACATTAAGAAGTATTAGGCTGCCACCTAGAGGGGTAAACAAGCACCTCCTTGAATATTTACCTCTCCTCACGTCTGCAGACATTGCAGTGGGAGCTCCTTTCCACGACACAGGAAAAGTCTACATATGGATGGGAAGCAAAGAAGGAGTCTCAGAGGAGCCCAGTCAGGTAACATCTAGCTTGGTTACATGAATGTAGTGTAAACTGTATCTGAAAGTATGTGGCTTTGTTGTGTTCACCTCCTCTGTTTCATTGCTGCCCTCTGTAGGTGATAGAGGGTAAGTCGGTGGGTAACGGAGGATTTAAAACCTTTGGCTACTCCCTCAATGGAGGGATGGACATGGATGGCAACAATTACCCTGATATTTTAGTCGGCTCGCTGGATGACCGTATGGCTCTGCTCAGGTACTAATAAGAAGTGAAACATAATGTTGTTTGGTTAAGATTTCTATAAAAAAGTGACACAAAGTATTGTGGAACAGGAATATTCAGAGTACGCTTGGACAGTATGTTTGTTCTATAAATATCATGATACAAATTGAGGTTTTCACCAAAAAGATGGCAGTCAAATTTTTAGGATTCTTTTAAAGTATGGCGCCATTATAAATAGTAATGATGTCAAGTATTTTCACTGTGTATGACCCTTTGAAAGCTGGATTTCTCTTGTTATCTGGCTTGTTTTCAGGGCTCGTCCAGTGATCCACTTAACCAGGAACTTTACTGTTGGGCCAGAGATTGTAGACCCTAATCAGTGCACTGGAAATACACCATGGTGAGATGTCTCCTGTGAAGTTTTCGCACGGTGGCTGTCGTGTTTGTTCTGCCTTTTTAAATTACTGTGTTTTTTGTTTGCAGCATTAAGGCAACTCTGTGTGTGTCTTTCACTCTGAGCAATGGAAACAAAGACTTCAGGAAAAATTTAAGTAAGAAGTCTTCCTTTAATTCAGTTTTTAGATTATTATTTTGAAGATTTGTAGAGAGGCTGCTGAATAAGTGTTGTATTAAGTTACAAACTGCAAGGACAGTGGTTGGTTTATGAGAATCCTCTGTGTGTTGTGTAACTGCTGTATTGTTCACTACTTTGTTAACCTGTATGTGCTTACTTTGTTCAGAGGTGAAGTACACAGTGGAGGCAGACATGGAGAGGAGAAGGGCTCCACGTGTTCGTTTTCAGGACAATAATGATGACTCCTACACAGACACACTGAGTGTGCCATCTGCAAAATCTAAGTGTCATACACTGAAATTGTTCATAGTGGTAAGTGGGACAAAAATACTTTATTTTGAGCATTGGTAAATGTTCAAGATTCAAGAGAAACATTACTTTTATGTTTTAATTTACCAACATGGATGTTAAAATAACCTTTTTTTGTGCGAAGTGTTGTTCTTGAATCGCCATGTGCTTAAAAAGACTTCAGTAAAACTCAGGGGTTATTTTACAGACACCTGTGCAGGACAAACTAGAGCCAGTGGTCTTTTCCCTGAACATGTCCTTACACGAACAAAAACCGAAGTCCACATCGTCCCTTGAGAACCTGGACTCTTTCCCGATCCTCAGCCAGAAGCATAAACTCTCTGAAAAAACAGAGGTATGGAGCAGACCATACACTAAATCACAAAGAAATATTCATGAAGCTTCATAGTGTGAGGAATAACTTATTTGTTGTTTCCTCTAGATCCACTTTCAGAGGGAGTGTGGCTCAGACAACAGATGCAGCAGCAACCTGCAGATGAAAGCCCAGTATGTTGATGATGATGGCAATCCTTATCCCAGGTAAAATTAAAATGTGAAAATGAAAAGATTATTTAGACATCTCAAATCATCCATACATGCACATTTTACCATGTTACTCTTTTTTCAGGCAAGGTGAAGTTCAGGTACTACAGTATAGCAGCCATGTCAAGAAAATAAGGCTGATGGTGGAGGTGACCAACAGACCTGATGGAGGGCGGCTGGCTGAAGATGCTCATCAGGCCGCGCTCACCGTCACCCTCCCTGATACACTGAGATACTCGGGTGTCAGGTCTCAGGTACGTCCAGTTGGGGGCAGCAGATAACTGAAAAAATGTTCATTTATTCTTCATCTCTTTACCACCAGGACTACAATCTGTGTTTAGTTTACTTTTGCCTGTAATTTTCCTTGTTTGTTTTTTAAGTCAAAATATAAACACAATATCACATCAACTGCAAGTCCATTTCCAAAAAATCATTACAAAATATTTCTTTTGCTGCATTTGAGCAATAATTAAGTTTCTATAAGCCCCAACCAACTTTGTGCTGAGAATACCAAGAAAAGAAAAGCTGAACTGAACAAACCAACAATAAGAACAGAAGAGGGAGACATGCCCCTCAGTGATACAGGTGTTAGTGCTATCAGAGTCGCAAAAGCAATAATATTTCATAAGTGCCAGATGTTACCAACTGCGTAGGACCAGGTTTTAGATAAAGACCAAAAGCTTCATTCAAAACTACAAATAGAGAATTCAAAAACTCTCTTACCTTTGACTGCAACCAGAACATGTTCGTTAAGTCCAATATGGTGGCTTTACAATGATCACAACCTTACTGTGGTGAACAGGATGAAGACCTTTTGACTGGATCAGATTTAGTCGTGCACAGGAAGAGTTCTGTGCGATCAGTTGTCTCTTGTGATGTCATAAAACAACATGATTAAGTAATACAATTTAGAGATTTGACTTTTTGAGGTTGAAGGAGTCTGTGATATGACATCCAAATATGATCTTGTGGGTAATTTAGGGGATAATGAATTATGAGTTTGATTTAAACGGCAGATCTGAAGATATCCGTAACACTATCTTTAGAAATAAGACTATTGACTTAATCTATGAAACTGGAAAAAATATGATCCATGAAAAAGTCCATGCATGTAGTTAGTCCCATTGCTTTTGCATTTTTAAGTATGTTGATTTTGTGTTCAGGAAAACAGTGTATTGTGCTCTTTGACTGATGTACTGGAGTGTGATGTGGGGAATCCTGTGAAAAGCAACACAGAGGTAACTTTAGACATATTCAATTCAATCAATTTCTTTTCTTTTTGGCCTGTTTCTTCTTCTAAGTCGTATCTGACATTTTATATACTGTTGTTTTCATGACCAGATGACATTCTACCTCTTGTTTGAGACATCAGCGATTGATCTGTACACACAGGAGATTGAGTCCCAGCTGCTTCTGTCCACGTAAGAGCTTTACATAGAAACATTACTGTAACATTTCTGTAACCAGAGTGGAGTGCGTTGCTTTACATTTTGAATTTAAAGTTGCATTTCAGTAGTGTTGCTATAAATGCTCTAAAAATGTAGTAATACAGTGGCATACATGTAGTTATATGTGCTGTTTTTCAGTGTCAGTGAGCAGAGTGACCTAAAGCCTGTGCCTCTGGGCTTGCTGATCGAAAGCACCATTTTCCCCTCCTTCAGCATGTGAGTCCTATTATCTAACAACCCCTGACCCACTGTATATACAGTAAAGAGCACAGAAATGCCATCTGTACCACAGTTTTTAATGTCACATCCCATTATTCATCACCCCGGCCAGAGTGAAACCTGTGGTGCAAACACAATTTGACGGAACGGTGATGGGCGAGTCAGCCATGGTCAACACCAGTGACGTGGGCAGTCTGGTGGAGTTCAACTTCAAAGTGAGTCACCTTCACCACTCAAACCATATTAGACCTCCAGGATTGCATTTTTTCATCTGTAATATGTGTGCTACTCACCCACATTTCTCTCGCCGCCGCCCTGCCTTTGAAGCCAAACTCTTATTCTTCAGAAGTTTAATATTGCGGGGGAAGGGACTGTTATGTGAGCCATGGTTTGTGGCATATGCAAGACCAGGGGCGGATGCTATTTATGAATTCTAAAGTCACAGACGAGTGCCGAGTGTTATTTTACACCATATTGTTATGTCACAGCACGGCTTTAATTCCTTGTTTCTTTTTTGGCATTTTCTTTGACCACCAGGTGAACATGTTGGGACAGCCCTTACAAGACATGGGGACCCTGGCTGTGGAGTTTGAGTGGCCTTCTGAAGTCAGCAACGGGAAGTGGCTGCTGTACCTGACAAAGATTGTGGTTAAAGGGGACTCAGAGATTGAATGTAACCCTGCAGAAGAAGTTGTCAACCCCCTTAACTTAACTGTAAGACTCTTCTCTACATACATACTTTAATCCTTTTCTGCTAGAGCCAAGAAAAATATAAGCTGAGTTTATAACTGAATATTTTTCCATACCCTGAGACCAGTCAGAAGAGCTAGGCTTCGTTAACCTCTGAACTCCAAACAGATACTAAAGATGCAGATTGTGAACAAAGCCTTTTAAAAACAAAAGGAAAATATACCAGTGATTCAGCCGGTTACAAACCACATGAAAACATCCTGTGTTTAAGTTCAGCCTTTGACCTTTCGTACATTTTATGCCTTCTCATCTAATCTTTCCTATCTCTTTGTACCGTCAACAATTTTCATTATTTATACAGCCTACACACTTACGCACATCTGAAAGTTTCCCATTGCGCAATAGCCACTGACATGGTTACAGAAACGCACAGCTTTAATGAAAGGCCAAAAGCAGAAAAACTTGACCAAAGATCTACGGTCATGCTAGTATCTGAGGCACAGCATCACTGAAGCTAAAGGCTAATGCTTGAATGCTAAAGTGCTGCCATTTGCTGCACCAGGTTTCTGCCTGTTAAAAGGAAGTTTTTCCTTGCCACTGCTACTCATGTTAGTTGAGATGGGCCAAAACCCATCTTAGGTTGGTTCTTGATCATCAAACAATGAGCGTGGTCTAGACCTGCTCTTGTTCTTTGAAAAGCATCTTGAGATGACGACTGTTGTGAATTGGCGCTATATAAATAAAATTTGATTTGATTTGATAAACCAAAGTGTAAAAATTACAGTAGCCTATTCTGCTTAAATCAATCTGACACAATAACAAAATATTTCTACATGTCTAAGAGGCAATGCTAACCATGCTAACCATACTAATGCGAACCATACATGCTAACCATACTAATGCAAGAATGCTAATTCACTTGTAAGAGGTCAAATATGTCAACTTTTTAATAACTTTGGTGTAAATGACAGACTGAATGATGACGTTTGCAGATCCTATGTGCCAAGCAGCTAACAGCTAGCATGACTAATTTCATTGTGATGGTTACTCAGAGTTTATTTGAGTGATTTCACTGCTCAGATAAAAAAAGAAAATGCCCCAGCGTATTTTATGAATTCACTGCCCTAGTTTGACATCAAACAAGAGTAACTTCCTTTAAGCTTTGAGTGAATTGTTGTGTTCACAGGATTGTTTTATGTGCTGTTATTCCTTCTGACATGAGCGTGAACTAAAGCTGTCTGAGAAGTATGAGTAGCAGTCAGTGGCAGCAAAGATGTGTGAAAACAGTCTCAGAGCCAAACCTCAGCTGTTCAGAATAAACTTTGGAAAAAACATCCATGTCGCCACACAAAAACCTCACAGCGCTCCAAATAGAAAGTCACAATGCGTTCGGCCCAGATATAGACTGTGGAAATGAATGAAACTGCTATTCTGAGAAGAATTTGGTAATGTTTTTATCAAAACCAGCAATTACTATGAGCCCTGTGATGTCATGTCTCCGTGTCCTCCGCTGCCTTCTTTAATCTATATTTCCCTCTCCCTTGTCTTCCAGCTGTCTGAGAGTGAACGGAGGCGCGTTAAACGGCAGATTGTGGTGGATGATGTGGATGATGCTGATGATGCGACACAGCCGCATATTCTTGTGCCACAGGCAAAGATAAAGTCTCTTAGTTATCCCAAAAAGAGCTATGTGTTGGTAAGAGAATCACCAGAAGTCATCTGCCTTTTAAAGCACATACAAACACATTTACTGTATCTCCATAATATGTTGCACCATACTACATAAAGAAAATGTGAATCATGAATGAAAACTCTGAATCATGACTGTCAGCACGCCGCTGGAGTAGAAAAGTCAGGAGATCACCAGTGTCAGTAGGATTATCTCTCTGCGGATGATATATATCTGTACCAATTGTCAGGGCCATTTATTTTAATAACTACAGAGGTATTTTGGTCGGTTTAAAGGACTCCTGAGCAGCACTAACACTCCTAGTTCCTACATAATTTTACTCAACATACACTGAAATTTATAATCGAGTTTTATTCTGTCAGTCTCCAAAAACCTTCAACCCTTGTAGCAGGGTAACTAACTCTTAGTATTCTGGTTTTTAGACTTAACCATTAATTCAGATTTTCTAGTATTTGGTAAAGTTGTGTACATCCAGTCAATTCAGCAGAATGATCCTGATGTCAATTTGTCTAATAGCTGTATCTCCTTTCTTGTGTGTTGAAGGAATGCTCCAAAAGAACAGCACGATGTGTGACATTTACCTGTCCACTGCTCAACATGACAGAGACAGCAAAGATTTATGTCCGCTCTCGGCTGTGGAACAGCACCATGCTGGAGGTGAGCTTGACATACAAGGCCGTACACATGCACCAAACCCTCCCCCTGACCTTTCCTTCCCATTGCTATCTCAAAGACTAAGAGTGAACACATCAACTGAAACAAATATTTTTGCACGCCTAGCACACAACCAGATGTGGATCTTAGATTTTGTCTTGCAAGCTTGGAAAAATAAACAGAGCATTTTTCTACAAATTTGACGATGTTGAGCTGTAGGAAAGATGTTGAAAACTTGTCTCAGACTATTTGATTAAATGTCTATATTTAAACTTTATTTCACTGGGCCACAAGATCCAAGTATTAATATAAAGTCACATCATGTAGTGACCATGTAGTGGGTTAGAGTTAGGGTTTGGCACCACACAGTCTCTGGTGCAAAGCTTTGCTGAGATAGGCCACTTTGTCCAAATAGGCTTGATTGCAGAAACCATCAATCATTTCACATGGCCTTATTTCGAGGTGTGTGTGTGTGTGTGTGTGTGTGTGTGTGTGTGTGTGTGTGTGTGTGTGTGTGTGTGTGTGTGTGTGTGTGTGTGTGTGTGTGTTTTCAGGACTACTCCAACGCTCTGAGAGTGACAGTGAGAGGTCAAGCCACCCTGAAGCTCATCACTGATAAACCAACGTTGAGGATGGACAGTCTGACCAACATGGTGTGTGACTATTATCACAGTGATGATGATAAAGAGGGTGACTGATACTGTCACTGTGCACTGACCTTTTTTCACCTCTTACGCAGTTCTCAGTTGAAATTGAGCCAGTGGAGAGGGTGGAGATACCATATGAGTTCCCACAGTGGATCATCATCTCTGCGGTTGCAGCGGGAATCACTCTCCTGGGAATAATCATCGTTATATTGAAGATGGTGAGACTACTTATTGTATTTGTACTTACTGATTAGACACACTGTAAACCCCAGTGCATCTGCACTTTTGTATTTTTTTACCCACACCAACTTCCATGTCAGACCATCAGTCTAACCTTTGACTCACCCTCCTCCCCCTCTTCCACGCACCCTCCTCCTCCTCCTCCTCCTCCCAGTGTGGGTTCTTCGAGAAAGCCAGCAAGAGGGAAATGTATGAAGCCAAGGCCCAGAAGGCTGAGTTGAAGATCCAGCCCTCTGAGACAGAGAGGCTGGCTGATGACTCCTGAGGCCCTTGTGGGTCCCCTCCAGCACACACCAGTAGGGCTTATGGGTAAAACACCCCAACAAATAGACCTCTTTTATGGATTCTTTGTACTAAAGTGCTCAGCTTGGGAGCGATTGAAACTGCTTAACACTTTGACTTATCTTTCATGCCTGCTTTTTGTCTCTAACACTGCTTCTACTTCTCTTCCAGGCAGACATTATGTGCCTTTACTCTTCAATATCCTGTTTTTCTTTTTCTGTGTCAATGTGGGTTTTCCTCACTTAAATTTCCTTGGTCTCTGAATCCTAAGTCTTCCTACTCCAATCCTCTCTGCTTTCATTAAGTGTTTCTCCTTTAATGTCAGTACCTCTTTTCTTTTTCTCCACCAGCTTGGATTCTTCAAGCGAGCCATCTACTACCGGATAATGCCAAAGCACCACGGGGTGAGAATTTGCAAGGCAGAGCGCTACCAGTTCAGTCTGGGATTGCAGCCTGGGGAGCCACAGAAAAAGTATTGGATCACCAACTGGACAGAGATGCAGCGTTACTACTACTGAGGCCCTCACTTTGGACCGTTAACTGTCACGCTGGTTTGACACGGGCCAAACATTGAACACTGGGCTCAGTTGGGCCACATAGACTGCGGGACATGGACCAACTGTGGATAGGGCATTTATTTTTTTTACTTTCCTAGACTTCATGAACTTTTTCAGTGCAATATACTGAACGCTTGTTTCAGAGATTGTAATTCATGTTTTTTTAAAGAATGCAGTTATGTACAGTGGAATCTGAGCTGCATTCAGTTCTTAATTTTTCTATAATGATGCAGGCTTTCTATGTACCAAACTTCTGTTTGTTTTTTAAGTCGTCTTAGCAGAGTAGCTGGTCTTTCATCATGTTTTTTCCCCCTCTAATCAGAGGGATGAGTCTTTTGATACACTCCGTCACTGAGTGTGTTTTGCCTTTGCTGTCTCTAGGCATCACTTTGTGGTCAGTGGTTGAAGGCTATGTAAGGATTTCGACCTACATCAGTCTCACTCAGACTGGACCTAGAATATGAACTGCATCCCCGGGTGAACAAGCCTCTCTGAGCGAATGTCCACGTCATTTTCAGGCAAACACTACACCAACTAAGATCTGAAATACAGCTATTGTTGGTGCACAGAGCTGAAAAAGTTTCTTTTACAGACTGCAAAGAAAAACTTCTACAAACCAGGGACTGTATATAAACATGGATACTGCACCCTAATCTGTTCTCTTCCCACTGTGGACCACAAAGCCAAAATACTGCCGCCATGAGCACTGACATATTTTGTTGGTGGAGCGAAAAGCACATCGGGCCTGTGAAGCGGCAGAACTGGCCTCTGATGAAGTGTCGGAGACCTTCAAGTTGATCTGGTCCACAGCAGACCAGATTCATGTGTTGAACTGAAGAAGACACTCATGGTTGTGGGAAGTTCAGCAACTCCTCATCAAACTTACTCAAGTCACTCGTTCTCCACTCTGCAGATCGAGTACAGAACCCCACAGGAGCCCACATTTCCTAACAGAGCTGTCAACGTCAAAAAAATTATTGAAACCATTTTTCTCTAAAAAAGCGAACCCTTGCACATACTTGTGTTTATCAAAAAATAGAAATATTGTGGGAAAAGCTTTTTTTGTAAAAATTTCGAATTTAAAAGTAGCTGGAAATGGAATACCCTAATGTCGCTTCCACACCAAGCCCTCATCTGGACGCGGGGGGTTCCTGGATGTAAGGTCAGTCTGTTTACATCAAACATGGCAGAGGTTGATCACACTGTGAGGATCTGTTGAGTTTATGTAACTCACCAGATAATCAGACCTCCCCGCTCTCTTCCTGCTGAGCTCTTTTTTTACTGCTGTCTCAGTGTCACAGGCAAGTTTTATCCTCCAGCTTAGGTGGCCGCAGACTGTCACAATCGGTTAATCCTCCTTTTTCCACATGTATGAATCATTGCTGGTCTGTTGGTGACATTTGTCATCGGGGTATCTCCATGCTGATTGGTTATTGTGGCACAAACATTCACTTGAGTTGAGATATTTTCAATTCTTTTGAATAGGCATTTGAAGCAAGTGGACATGAGTTTGCTTCCTTTGCACTTGTGATCCGCTTTATTCCAACTGCCCAATTCAAGTCATTCACCTTGCCTGACTTGAACCGGGGTCTAATCCTGTCTTTGCTTTGGCTTTACATGTAATTCACTTGCGCGAATGATTTTACCCGTGCTTGGTGTGGATGCGACATAATGGTATAAGATGCTTTCTTTAGCTGCAGGCAGTAATTGTCAAAAATAAGAGAAACATGCTCAAAACAATTTAGGTTTCTTGTCTTGAATCTAGAAATTATTGTGTTTTCACCTTTTTTTAACAACTGATGAAAAATGCATTTTAGACACCATGGTAAATTAGCAAGACAAGTATTAGCTAAAATGACAGGATCTGACAGGAATTTGAAGTCTTTAGTTTGACCGATCGGGGAAAATAAAATTAATAAATCAAAGCAGCAGGTTTTTGACTCATACTGCTACCACTCACCAGGAGGTGCTTTAAAAGCTTTGGCTTCACTCTGGGATAGGTGTTGTACTGTCCATTGTTTCATACAGTCTGTGGTACGAACAGATACCGCATAAAGATGGTACTTAATGTTGGAAATGACATTTAAAGACCTAACTGCGCTGAGATGTAAAGCATTAGCTACTTGTTGGTAGCTAAAATTAGGTAACGTTTTGATCAGCTAATGGGAGCACACTTGATTCTTATTTATTACACTGTCTTGAGTTATTATAGCAAAGAACGTGTCTCTATATGTCAGAAAATATCAAATACAGGGAGTCGTGACACTGGATTAGTAAATACATGATCTATTTGTCTGCAGACTGTTTGTTTTAGCATAGTCCGTGACATAAATTGTACAAATTGCCACTAAGATTTGACTTATGTGAATGAATACTCATGTGATTGGCCTTTGTTGGTATACTGTCCTGCAGCTTTGTGTTTTTTCTTCAAGACAATAAGCCAACACTTGGACTGAGGCCCCACTGAGCTGACCTGTAGCACTGAAAGTGAACTGGACCAAAAGAGATCCTTTGTTGGGACTAAGTGTTGTGTTACCACTGTACTTTGTGTTATATGTGAGACCACAGGTTGTGACTGTGGCTGCTATAGACTCTTAAGTAAAGAGGGAAGGGCTGAAACTGATGCACAAACTCTAGTCTCTGTGGTGTTATTCTTTCCTGTGCAGTTTCAATGTCATTAAATTGTTTGTACCAACCTTTGGAGCTGATTATTTTTAAACACAAAGGCTGAAAATGTATTTAATATCTTTATTGTAGAAATGCAGAGGGTCAAACAAAAAGAAACAAAATCAAATATTCCAAAAAATTCCAAAACAATCAATGACTTTACAAACATTCGTTTACAACATTTCCTCCCTAAACATTCAAATATTGCAAATAAATTACAAAAGTGTAATAATCTTTTGCATAGGCAAAAATAATTCAACTCCAAGTGTATACAACAAAATGTACAAGACCAGATAACGAGGCAGACCAAAAAGAAGAGCAGATTTGATCAGATGTACAGAACAGTACACAGAAAACACTGATGTTCACATTGAGGTTGGCACTGTGCTAGCTACAATAAATCAGACCTTAAAAAAGCTGTGTTCCATCTCTAGTCCTTCTGCTTCAGCTCCACCATAGAACTGGACTTTTCAGGCTTTTTTGTCGTGCTGTATTTGTAAGCCAAAATGATGGTGGCCAGCAAGAGGACCACACCAAGGACCAGCAGGACCCACTGACCAGCTACAGCTGCAGGACTTGTCACACTCATTCCCAGGAAGTCCACTTTAGTATTCGTAGGAGTTTCAGCTGTAGGAGACACATAAAATGTTTGTTTTAAGGCTCTCAAACATGTTTAAAAAGTGACTTTTTTAAAAATATTATTTTCTTGTTCATATTTCTCTTGTTCTGCGCAGCAACTGCTGTTTTCTTTTTCCTACTATATCTTCTTCACTGTATTTCTCATTAATCCAATCTAAGCGCTGCCCTTCTTGCTGCAGGATCTCATCAGTAAAGCAAGATTGACTCCAGTGTGAGTCTCAGCTCAGAGGAGAAAAACAACATGAATGCCTCTGTGTGAAGACATTGCACCAGAGTTTTTTTTCCTTGGAAAGAGTTCAAACACATTTGGCTCTGCAATTGGAAAACTTATTTAACACAGATTTCCTGTCTACATGGGTGTGCTTTTATTTGTGTATCTATGGAAGTATTTGTTTGGATGTGTTGGACATACTTCCAGGTTTCCAGTCGTACTGAGGCCATCCGCGTATGTCATTGTTCTTGTTGTTCTCCTCCTCTAGCCACTTAATGAGAGGTTGGAAATACTCCATGAGCGGCTGGGCGCTCATTTTGGGCTCGCCGGTGATCATGGCCATCGCCTCGGGCCAGGGTTTGCTGAAGCCAAGCTTCATCACATCGCTGATTGAGAGAGGAGATCAGGGAAGGTGAGAGGAGAAAGGATCAGTGGAAAGAGACATGACAACACAAATGACATAAATCCCGTTTTTACAAGCAGCCTGCCTCACAGTTATGACTGTAATGGATCAATTTGTGTGATTCACGTTTCTTATAATAAATTGCAGTTTAGCTGTATTGTTTCATGTAAACTTAGTGAAATTAATAACTATTTTCTATTTTAGAAATCCTATTTCTTACCTTCTTATGGAACTTTTTATGATTTGTAATATATGATCTGTTCAAGGATGACATTACAATATTTTTGTCTTCTTTAGATTAGTTTTGAAAATTAGGATCATTTCTTAGTTTTTAGTTTTTAAGGTGTATTTTTTATGCATACTTCTTTTTTTGACAAAAAAAAAGGATACAACTGATGAAAAAAGAACTGAGATTTCTAGCATCAAGTCATATCATTACAGGAATGATTATGAGATTTTATATGACTTAAGAAAATAGGCAAAATTTCATTACAAACAAGTTTTGAGAGAAAAATTTGCAAACTTATGAGTAAGTGTTACCTGTTGATGTTATGACAATTAACTAATAATTTTATGCAAAAAGCAGTCACAAGACAGAAGAACTGTGATTTTGCATAAAGTCTTAACTTTCTATGAAAAAATGATCAGATTTAAGTTGTATATTTTTTGAGTATAATGTTATGATATATTCAGAAGTAAGTGGGTATTAGAGGCTACGGTTTGTGTTAAATATCATATTGGAGGATATCAGAGCAAAAGCCTGCACTAAAAGGGGGGACTTGGGTTATCTTGCGAAGTTATACAACAGAGTTGTACATCAGACAGCTGATGACAAAGGGTCTGCAGAGCATGCACAGGCTGCCTATAAGTCTGCCTGTCCTCAAATTAGACTCAGTTATTAGCACAGTCTATTCTTTTCAAAATAACCACCATGTCAGAGGATTTTATGATCTTTTTATTCATCTGTTGTGTTTGATTTCTTTTTTGTCTTTTATTTAAAGTGGTTGCAGTGAGTGTACTCACCCCAGCAGCTTTCCTGCTTTCTGGGATTTGTAGATATCACAGGTATGGAGTGGCCCTGTATGACCAGCAGCTTTGCACAGAGCTTGGTGGAACTGAAACTGGATGATGAAGCTGACAAAGTACCTGATGGAAAACCAACAAACATATTACCTCAAGACTGGATCACCAGGAACCAGAAAAAATAGCAAACAAACTCATATTTACTGCTCCTAAGGATGAAAGGCAATTTTTTAAGGCCAGCTAAGCAAAAGCACAAAATGGAAATAAAACGTCTTTATCTTATCAGTGCACAACATGTGTGATTGATAGAGCAGTTTTTAATCTATCTCTGCTCAATTATCGGTTGCCCTGTTTAATCTGATGAGTCATGAAGATTTACCTAACATAAGGCACATTAGCAGGGATGTGGAACTTTGCACCGGGATCAAAGTCCTCCTCAGTTCGGGTTACTGGTGGACACAGACCCTGGTACTTCATCCTGCAGAACACGAAACCATATAACTGAGCTATTATCAAAGTAGTAAAATAAATGTATAATTAACTTATGCAGCAATTCATTAAACAATAAATCTTCAAGTATAATCAGCTTTGTAATAATCTTTTTTTTTAATTTGATAGCTGATAAAAAAATGGTTCATGGTTTATAAAGACATGCTGGGGGACTTTACCTGAGGTTCCACCATTCTTTGTTGTACTCAGTAGATGGGATACGTCCATCAAACACCTTCCATCTCCACTGATCCATCAGGTAGCCAAAAGGTAGGAAGGCAATCTTGTCGAGCGCCATGCTCATGAGGAAGTTGATATCACTCTCTAGAAGAGGGGGCAGAAACATCAGATCCATTTGCTCATGATGATATTGTCATTTCTCTGTGTGGGACTTTTAGTCTTGAAAAACTCACCATGATTGCTTTCTACTTTGTCCAGGAGGCCAATGCTCTTCAGATGTCCTGGTGTAGACACAGACAGGGCAAGTACATCTCCGATGGCCTCGTGGAAGCCAGGGTTGGCTCCGTCACGGAAAGACACTGGCTGGTCTTTATACTGCAGGAAGTACTGGACGTGTCCCATCTCGTGGTGCACAGTGATCAGGTCATCCATTGTCACCACAGTGCACTGTTTGATCCTGGAGGTACATACAGAGTTATAACATCTGTAAATCTGCCCTAAATGGAACTTTATTCGGCAGTAGTCACATGCACTCATTGCTTAAATTAGATTCGATTAGATTAGATTAGATACAACTCTATTTATCCTTTTGGGAAATCCCGTCAAAGAAATAAAAAAAAAAAAGTTAGTTTACATAAAGATAAAATGGGTCATAACTGTTTCAGCAGTATAATGTGTACACCCACATGTAATCACTGAATCAACTGAGGCTATCATCATGTGTTTCGCACCGTTTTAAAAAATCTTTAGCCGTTTATGAAGCAGACTGGAATTAGAAATTGTGTGTTTTATGCAACCTGCAAAAGCAAGAGGCAACAAAATGAAACAGATTTATTGTTTCAATTTTTTTGCCCTTGAAAGTGTCAGACAAGAAGATTACTAGACCTAACATCACACTGGATATGTACAACACTACTTCTTCCGGTTAAGCTTGTTTGGATACATGTTCAGATGCTTATTAGAGATGAAAATTCTCTGGGTGGTTTGAGAAAGATCATCATTTAGGCTTAAATTTTGAAGGTAAGAAGATAATATATTGTATCTGAACCAGCTATCTATCCCCTCATGAACACTGTTAATGCAAACTATCAACCTCTGTAAATTGTACTTGATTCAAATATTTTAATAGCAAAATAAAATGCTTCTTTTGATATTAGGAAATTACTGTTTATAAGAAATTACAGAAGATCAAGTATGGAGCCTTGTGGGACACCACACAGTATGTTACTGTAAGATGAGCTTGCTCCTTTCCAAATTCTAGTTTCATGTTAAGCACAACGCTTTTAAACCACTTGAACTAAGGACTACTAACTCAATGAGCTCAAGATTATTTGAAATTTAAGTCATAGGCTCTTGACAAAACAACACACACCCTAAATGTGTCATTGAATAAAATATTGTACAATATTAACTTCCTAAAATCTTTTTAAAAAGCTGCACTAGAGCATCAGATGCAGTCAGTTTATTACTTTTAACAAGGTTATAAAGTCTATCTACATCGATTTTGACAGACAGTTTTGTAATCCAGTTTTTTTTTCTTTACCTGAAGTCTTTCCTGTTGTAGAAGTCCCATGCAGAAGCATGGCACACCACCTGGCGTCCATCAGTCGGCTTCTCCAGCATAGATTTGTCCCAGAACTCTTTTGGCATCGGCAGCAGACCCAGCGAGGTGAAGAAACTGTCAGATTCCTGGAACATTCTGGTGGCGTTCCAGCCCTGAATTAGAGAAAAGAGTAACAGTAAAAATCTGGACCCGTGTGTGGAGTAACACTGTGTAAACAGTTTTTCTGGCAATTAAATATTAAACATTTGGAAACATCTACACTGAGAAAATGGATGACTACATAAAATGTAAACAAATTACAGTGTGTCAGCTCTTAAGGACCAGAGATGACACACTTTTCCCCTTAAAATGTATCTATTTATGCATTCAGCACACGTCATGTCAGTTACGAATGGCTGCTAGTTTATTCAGTGCTTCTAAAAGCCTCTATATTTATCCTTATTCTGGTCAATCCTTCACTTTAGACCACATCTAAGTTTAATTTTTACAAAAACAACTGATCCCTGACCTCAGCAGCTGCATGGTGAGTGTCGGGAGAGTGCATGTGTGTATAAGTGTGCATTCATGTGTGCTGTGGTCCGTCTTATGTAACATCATTTATGTGTTTGTTCACCTTTGCTACCATGGCAGGAGTGGCATCAACCTGCGTAGCATGCGGGTAAGGCATTACCAGATCCATTATTCCAGACCACGTTTGTGCCCACATGTTACCTGGATGGAGAGAAGACAGCTGTCACACATCCTATTTTTACAACTTAATAGATCTCTGCTCTGCCTGGGTTAGACCGAGTGGAATTTGTGACTGTGTGGAGCTGTCACTCGCAATCTCACGCTTGACGCCTCTGAAAGCAAATTAAATCCTGCCTAAACCCAAATGCTACTGCAGTCAACGACAGAATATCAATGTGGTACTCTTCCACAGGAAGGAGTTTGGGCTAGAGTGTTCGAATCCTTTACATTCCTCAGTGAAATACTGACTGAGGTGCAGTTTTGGCCCAAGTACCTTAAGCCTCAACCACTGTCAGGCCAGCATAATCAAGGAGTAATATTTGAGGGCAGCTTAAAACCCCAAATATCCTCTCAGACACAGCACAGCTTTGTGAAAAATAAAAGTTTTGTTTGTAACTTACCCAGCAGATGAGCAGGAATGGGTCCTTTCAGGTTGATGTGCTCTGCGCCGTACTTTTTGTACAGTCCTCTACGGACATATGCATGCACATTTAGATAGAGTGGCTCCAGCTCTTTCCATAGAGTCTCCAGGTCTTGCTCAAAGGTGGGGGTTTCATACAGAGAGCGCCAGAAAGCCCCATTATCAGTGTGACCTTAAGACAGGGATGGAAACATTCATGAGTGTGGCTTATTTTCAGCCTGTAATGCAGGGAATACCAAAATGTCAAATTACATAAATTTATGAAGACATGAATTTAATAAAAGTATGTTTGGACATGTTTGATATTAAGACTGAAAATCAAACGTTTCACATGACCCACTGTAACAAAGTGTGTGAACATATTTCCCAAGTGTATCATTAAATTGTTTAAAAATAGATATTTGGCTTGTGTAAAGGAGTACATGAAAATTAATGAAAGGCAAGAGTGAAATTAGTCAAAGGGTCCTACCATTGAGTGTGGCAGCTTTATTGGCTAGTTCAACATATCTCTTGTAATCTTGGCGAAGAACTTTGCCAGCGCTGTCCCTCCATCCTTTCCAGGCAAACAACAATTCATTATAGTCCCTGGACTCCGCCATAATCTTCTGGAGATCTGAAAGCAGCAACACAACAAGCAAGTACTGAATTTATGGCTCATATAATACAGTCTCTACAGAATTGATTTTATTTCTATGCTAAAGTCTTTGAATTAGGACTGGCATGTGTCCATATTCATTAGTCTCACCTGGGTCCAGTGGATGACAGGTCCCATTTTCTCTGCAGACCACAGCCACACTGTATTTAGTCTCCATGTTGGAAAGGAGGGTGTTATACTGAAAGGTGAAGGCACATTATCACCATGAAGTGCCTTTGTGCTATGTTCATGAAAAAACAACAACTGACAACTTTGATTTAACTCAACTAATACGCTATTTCTGGCTGAAGAGCAGCACTGTCCTTGTTAATATTTGTCAGACTAAAACGTTTTTGTCCTCACCTCTTTCAGTTCTGCAGAGGGCAGCGCGGCTCTCTCAATGTCGCTGAGTTTCTTGATGATGCGTTTGGCTGAGGCGTCCTGGAAGTCGGTGGTGTCGTACTGACGGGCCTGCTGTCCATACTTCAGGGTGTGGGCTGACATCTCCAGGTTTTTCTCAAGCTAGAAAAAAAGATGGACTAATTTAAATCTTTTTTTTCGAATGCTTATAGGGTCGATGGATAGACGTTTGCAGAACACACTGATAGGTACTTTAAAAAGTACTGTTACCATGTTTTGATTGAGAAATCCCTGACTACATGCACAAATTAAGAGAACATGCCAAAGTCATTCAAATTTGATTAATACCTGAAAATGTTTGAGTGATGAAGTGAAAGAGGTCAAAGGGTCTCACCATGGCCTGCTTATTGGCTTCGTTGATGTCAGTGTTGTACTTCCAGGAGGCCTCAGTGTAAGCGTTCCAAACCACCTCAGCTGTTGTGTTGTAGTCATCCAGAAATTTCTTTGCATCAAGCTCATCAGTGTTCTTGTCTGAGTCAAAAGAAAGATGCAATATGTGTGCTTAAGATAAAGAAACAGATAAATTTTTTTAGGTGTTTTGCCCTGCACAGAAAAATTTAACCACTTTTCTGTTTGTGCACATGAAGAGGAAATCTTTAAACAGACTGCAACACTGTTTAGCAAAGAAAATCAAAAATCTGCTCCTGTTTCCATCAGTCTGGTTGATTTTTTATCATATTTAGAGAAAATCTTACCAATATCCTCAGGGTAGCCCTCAGGGATGGGTGGTACCCAATTGTAGTCAGGCCATCCCAATGTCTCGCCCTCATTCTGCTCCTCTAGCCATGTAATGATGGGATTAAAGTAATTCATCAAGGAGTTGGCATTCAACTTGTTGGTGCCTATAGCATCCTCAAGAACCTCAGGCCACGGTTTGGAGGATCCGGCCATGAGAATTTTCCTGGAGAATGGAAAATGAAGCAGTCATACACTGATTCACTGCTTCATCTTACAAACGAAATTCAAGAGTGGTGCTATAAGATCACTTACTCTAAAATCGCTCCTGCTTCAGCAGATTTGTAGATGTCACATGTGTGCAAAGGACCTGTATGGTTGGCTGCTTGGCACAGTTTTTCATGAAGCTGGAACTGCAGAATGAAGCTGACGAAATACCTGCAGGGGAAAGAGTTATTTTGTTTATTTTCACTGGATTACAGTAACTCTACAAAATAACTCAAAAACATTTGATTTAAAGCGAAACCAAATTGAAATGTTAGTTAAGAGGACAAACTATCTGAGGCCTTTCTAATGTAGCCTTCTGCCTTTGTTTCCTGTTATTTGAGGGTCATTGTACAGTTTTAAATCACATCCAGAGCAGAACTTCAGTCCAGATTACAGCACAAAAACACTTAATCCCCAGCTCACCAGCTATTCTTGCATGTTCTCTCAGTTTACATTATTCAGTTAGGGTTAGGGTTAGAGTTAGGTTTGTTCCTTGGTGCTGGAACAAGGTCTTACCTGATGTATGGTGTATTTCCAGGGATGTGGTATTTTGCCCCAGCATCAAAGTGGTCTTGTGTACGCCTGGTGGGTGGGCAGATGCCTTGATATTTTGTCCTTTAAAAGTAGATTAAGAAACATTTTCAGAACATGAGGTTTTTATCTGACACATCCACTTTTGGAAAGTTGTTTAGTCAATGCTCGTTTTATCTGATTTGTGTCAGGTTTGGTTGCCTCCAAAAACAATGGGTTGGGTTTGAATCATCTTTGTCCCAAAGTTCACAAAGTTATTAAATACAAGCCAATGCAACCAAAGTCTCCTGGTGTTTCTACAGAGCAGCTTAACTTAATCTCATCGAAGTGTAATTTAGGGAACCTAAATTTGAAGGAAGTATAACAGATCAATAAGATAAGGTGATGTCAAGGAGTGAAGAAAATAAAGTTGTACATGTTTGCAAGTTTGCAAATAGTTGTTTTATCTCTATTATCAGTATTTGAGCTTTAATAAGCTAACCCACTATTAGATGTTGCTTTTTACTGATGTACTATAAGTATGTTTATGTGTTGTCCAATTTTCCAGTTTAACCCCCACGATTAAGTCAACAATAAAACTACCTGAAACTGTCAAACTATTCTTTTAACATGAAATATCTTGTGACCTACCTGAGGTACCACCAGTCAGCGTTGTAGCGGTCAGGAGGTGTTCGTCCACTGAACACCCCCCATCTCCACTGATCGATCAGATAGCCAAAAGGAAGGAAGGCTATCTTCTCCAGTGCCATCTTTAGCAGGTAATTTGTATCCATTTCTGAAAAACACAGTGGGAGGTTTTTTTTTTTTTGCTTATGATGGTGAACTTCATACTGAAAAGCTAATCTGTATGATTCATGTTCTGCATGAGGCTAATTTAGAAATTAAATTATGATTACCATAGTCATCTGTCACTGTGTCCAGCAGTTTAAGAGCATGCAGATGTTTGGGTGTGGAAACAGAAAGTGACAAAACATCCCCGATGGCCTCATGAAAACCGGGGTTTGCTCCACGGCGGTAGCCCACAGGCTGGTCTTTGTACTGCAGGTAATACTGGATGTGACCCATCTCATGGTGCACGGTGAAGAGCTGCTCCATTGTTACTGTGGTGCACTGTTTGATCCTAAAAGTGTAAAAAAAAATCACCATGGCTGATTAAAGGCTGTGTCAGTTCAAGTTTAATCAAATACACAAATACAGAAATTAATTGAAGTTTAGACAGTAAGGTTAAGTTAAACAACACCAAACAACAACCCTTCACTGTTTGTGTTACGTTTGTGGCCATAAACGTTTGATTGTGTTAAAAAGAGTAGAAGTCCCAAAAAGAGTTTCCCAACTGTCACCCAAAAAGATTTGTTGTTTTATGGAGGTGTAATTTTGGGCATATAATTTAGTAATGAACAACAGGAGTCAAGTGGGAACTTGCTAAATTCCTCATTGTGAGTCAGTTGTTTATTTTACCTGAAGTCTTTACGGTTGTAAAAGTCCCACGCAGAGGCGTGGCACACAACCTCTCTACCTTCGGGTTTCGTCAGCATGGATTTATCCCAGAACTCTTGAGGCATCTCTTTCAAACCCAGAGAAGTGAAGAACTCCTCAGCCACGCGAAACATGTGAGTGGCGTTGTATTTCTGAAAAAAGGAAGCAATGACAGAGATCAAAATTCAGTGCTGCATAAAGTTCTTCACCCTAAATACAGTAAAAGTGGGATTAAGCGATTGGTTTTTTAACCCAAAGAATAATTTTTCCTTCCTGCAATCCATCCAAATCACAAAAAGTCTCATCGCCATACTCACTTGTTTGACCATTTCATCCGTCACATCCATGTTGGGTTTGTCAGGAAATGGGATCATCATACCATAAATATTGTTCCAGGTCTGGGCCCACATATTTCCTGCGAGTGAGGAACAAAACATACTTAAGCGGCAATTCTTGTTATGGGATACTCCGCTCTGAGGCAGTGTATAGGAAACGCCTCATTCACAGTAAGGATTTCAGCACCCATGCCTGATTACATCTTTAAAAGTTTTCCAGGATATTATTAAACAATGAAAGTTCAGAAGCAAGAGGAAAATAGTTGGTGCGGGTTCTGGGAGGTGAACCTGGTGTTTTTTTCATTATTTTGATCTTAATTCTTGGTCTTAATTTAAAGGTAATGCATAAATGAAACAATGATGCAGATACTGTAAAATCAGCTTATGATGGACAACCTTGAACAAAATGTTAAAAATGTGTAAAAATCCAATTGAGAAATGCAATACTTGTGATGAGGTTCCCATGGGATAGTATTTATGTACCTTCAGTCTTGATAAGGTAAATGTGGCCACTCATGGAGCTTAGAATAAATCAGTATATGCTAAAAGACTAATGCATACCGGAATAAACAAATAAAGGTTCTATTCCTTGATATCTTTGTAATAATAAGGTTTAACTAATATAATTTCCCTTATATAACTTACTTTTAACTTACTTTACCTTGTGGGAATAGTCAAATCTCACAGAACAAAAATAGGATATGGTAGTATTTTATTGCTTGCTAAAAAATCTGATCAGTGTATTGCAACCATACCCAATCTTTGATAACATTTCAATTCAACGTAGAAAAAGTTCAATTGCATGTAAATTTCATTTCTTCTTCACAAGTTCATTTTGCCACCACATTGGTCATCTGGGGGCTCTCAACATTAATGCATAGATTGAGATCCAATTAAAGTCTCAAATTAGAGTGTTACATTCCATTTATCAGATGCTGTTTTGTCCCTTTTCTCGCACTGTAGTTAAGTCACACCTTTACGCTTCCTGCTGCCCTGCAGCGATGAAAAATATGGATGCTTTTGAATGGCACTTTTCACTATAAAATGTCACCAAAGTACTACACTAAGGTGCAGCTTATCAGACACTAGCAGGTAACCACATGACAAAAGCCCACAGAGCTCTTGAAGTGAGCAAATCACCACAGACCTGAAGTTGTCTACTTTATAGATCATGTCTATATTACAGTTTCAAACCTCATTCGTGTTGCAGTTCTGCATTAATTTGAATGATAAATCTAAAAATCAAGACTTGACATTTAATAGCCTTTATTTAACTCTCAAATCAAGACGAACTGAAGACACTGAGTTTTAAAAATTCAACTTGTCACAATTAATCATTTCAAAGTTAACCTTTAACTGCAATACAAAAAATCTATTGTTCTACAAACCTTAATCAAGAGATAAAACTTTATAAAGTATTGCAAAATCCCACCTTGGTGCACTCATGTGCCTTTTGTTATGAAGCTACTGAACTTCAAGGTTTATCAGAAAAGTTTGGAATAAAATAAAAATCTTGGACATTGACAAATCGAGGACTCTCATTTGCCTTTCAAGGAAACAGAGAGAGAGAAAAGTATCCCCAAAAGGATTTTCATACAGTCCCTCATGTCATGAAACAAACATTTCTGGTTTACAGCAGACTATATGTGTTAGAAATATAAAACTGTGTTTTACCGAGAAGATGGGCGGGGATTGGTCCTTTCAGGTTGATGTACTTGGGCCCATACTGTTTGTAGAGCTGGCGGCGCACAAAGGCGTGCAGGTTCTTGTAGAGGGGCTCAATGGTCCTGTAGAGCTCCTCTATGTCCTGCTCAAAGGTCTCAGTCTCATACCAAGAACGCCAATCAGCTCCAGTGTCAGCAAAGCCTACAGGAAAAGAGATCATGGTCCTAAGCATTTCTTGTTTCTACTTTGCTGTTTGAAACCCGGTGTGTTGAAACAGAAGTCCTCACCATCAGCTTGAGAGGCTTTGTTGCTCAGCTCCACAAACCTGGGGTAGTGTTCCTTCAGGGGGACACCTGATGCATTGTGCCAGCCCTCCCATGCAAACAGCAGTCTCTTGTAGCTCCTGGAGTTAGCCATGATTTCTGTAAGATCTAAAAAACAAAACAAAGACAGACCTTTCACACCCTCAGGCTCAAAAATGATGGATTATAAAGGGCGAAGTCTTTATTTAAAAAAAAATACAACACAAAAGCTGGAAATTTCTCTAAAAACAATGAAGATGTAGTGATGTTTGGATGACTTAGTGATCTCTTAGGTCAGAATGAGCACAAACAAGAGATTAGCCTTGATTTATGGTAGCTCCATGATGCTCTGAGCGTCATTAAGAACCTTTATCTTCAAAATGGGAAATGAAGGTGAAAAAGGAGACAGATGCATGCTGCTTATGTTGGACAGACTGTTTGTTTTTGTGAAAGGATGTGCTTCACACTTTGAATAACCTTGTCCTCACCTGAGATCACTTCCAAGACTAAGAAACTTGAATGTTTAAACTCCCTCATTTCATGTTTAAATCCCAGTTTTTTCGCTCTCAGCTCTCACTTTGTTTTTGTTGCCAGTTGTTTCTCACAATTAGTTCTGGCAGTTACTGCTAAGAAAAACACAGGGCCATTGTTCTCATTACAAGCCAGCGGTGCTGAAAGCCATCGTCATGCTGTTTCAATAGCTTTAACTCAACGCTCATGGGCACATCCATCATGCTTCCTTTTGAGGGCTCTCTGAAGTCATTCTGCCCATCCTGTTACTTTCCTCCCCGCAGATAAGATCTAAAGCACTTAACAACAGTTTTTCTTTCTAGACTTCCTCTCCATGTCCCTGTTTGTTTCACACTCCTGGATGTTTCTCCTTTCCTGTTCTTGTCAGCAAACTCAAAAACATCTGTTTGTGAGAGTACATGCATTGTGAGGGTCTTTTGTTTCACTGGATGTACTCACGAGGCTCCAGGCTCCAGCTTACGTTCGGCTGTGGATGCACCTTGGCTGTGGAATAAATGTTGTCCATGGTGCTGAGGATGGTGTTGTACTGAAGAGGAGTGAAACAGACTCAAAGTCAGCATCATGTGCTCAAAAGAGTTTAGATGATATTGAGAGAAAAGGGATCACAAGTTCCCCAAAACAGAGACAGACCTCCTGTCTCTCATTCAGGGGCAGGTTGGCAGCTCCTAGGATCTTGATCTTCCCCAACAGTTTCCTGTCGCTCGCGGTGAGATTCATCTCTGTTTCCAAAGAGAAAGTCTCCTTTGCTCTGAATCCCCATGCTGAAGAGAAGGCCTGTTCCTTCAGAGATGCATCTACCTGAAGACAAAAGGAGGTAGGAGGCATTAATTTTGATGCGATAAGTCTCTTAAATTCTTGAACTGCAGGGGACTGACATCAAAGAGTTCAATGGTAGGAAGTGTTTATCAGGTTCGTTAAAATTTAAAACACGTTGCTTCACTCTGCAGGAGCTGTTGTGTCATCCATGACTCTACTGTCCGAGCTTTTACCTTATTTTAAGTGACTTTTTGGGCTGTTATGCTTGGATTTAGAGTGATAGAGAAGTGAACTGGGAAGAGAGAGTGGGCTATGACATGTTGCAAAAAGCCACAGGTTCAAATCAAACACAGGCCGAAGAGTGAACCCTCTCCACATGGGTCATATTACTGCTCCACTTTAGCCGGTAAATTTATCACAATGAAGGTAACTGAAGGAGACTTGAATCAGTCATCTCAGGCTGTAGCAGTAAATTCATTTTTTCACATACAAATGGATGCAGCTGTACACTTCTGTCATATCTGCACAGTCTTGTTTTTTAAACCCACATACCGACAACATGCATATCTCTATCTATGACATAATCTCTTCCTTGTGAGCTGAAGCCGCACATCTTTCTTCTAGGATCAATAAAAAGCTCCATTTGTCTATGAGGAGCAAGGACAGAGCAGCGAAATGACCCTCGCTCAAGGATAATATTTGTAGAAATGTCTTCGCCTCTGTTATACACATGCTCATATAAGGCCTTAGTGAGTGTCAGGAGCTTTTTTATGGTGCGCTGGGATGTCATGGACACTGTGCAGACCTTCAGTTGTTAATAACAGCAGAAGAAGAATAGATGAAGTCAAGGCTACTGTTGGAGATTGAATGGAGTAGTGGATGTGTATTTGCGCCTATTCAGAGTAATTTATTCTTAAAGCAATCCATACTGCATCTTTTTTTCCCCTGAGAAAATGATAAGTTCTATGAGGCTGCAACCTTCAACTCTGTGTCAAACTCAAATGAAGTAAATTCAAATTTATTACACTCTGTCCTGCTTGGAAAAACACTTTTGCACACACCCTTACAGTAAATTGTTGTGACCACAAAGCAATGAGTGAAGCACTCACTGCTCACCAGTTGTTCAACACATCCTGTGAAAGTCTGACAGCACAGAAGCTCTGGAGCTTCAGTCCTGCCCTGTTTTCATTAAAGCCCATCTTATCTGTCTTTCTCCCAGCCTTCACTAAAAATAACAGGCTGCAGGAGGGAAAACCAGTGACAGTGAGTTGAAGTATTAACTCCGACCTTTGTGCTCTTCCTCTCACTGTGTCTTTTTCTCAATCACTTTTTTTCTCCAGCCTGCCAACACCCAGATAATCACATTCTCCACCACAGAGAGTCCGTAAAGATAAGACTGAAATGACTTCTTTTTCTGCTGATTGTCTCTCCCTCAAGGTCTCTGTGTTATACAAGCAGCAATCAGCGCAATGTGTATAAGGGAACTGCTGTTTCCGAAAGTACAGTGCTATCTGAATTTTAGTTTACCCACTGATCATATTAAAAAAAATGTGCAGCCGGAAATAACACCAAATCTCTCTGAGACTCGAAGGCTGCTGCTCGGGTTCAAAGGACACTGGTCACAGATATCCACTCACATCCCTTTCATTCAGCATGATTAGAAGCATGTAAAGCGATCCTTATTCTGTTTGATCTTTGCACTTTATCACAGAAACAGTATCACCCTCCCCTCTAAAGCTGCAGAGGAGGGAGCACGTGTGTGTGTTTCCCAGCATTTGTATTTGTCTTCATAATTTGAATGTTATGGACTCGTAGTGGAAAATAAATCATGAGGAATGCTAACATTGGAGTATTTCTCTGTCAGGCTGACTCGCCCCGCTCCCCCCTGGCTGCCACATCAGATGCAGCTCGGCGTACTGATCCACTTTGATCCCATCTTTGAACCATCGAGAGAAAAAATCATCGCACTTGTACATGGCAGATACAACCCTAACCTCCTTTTTCACCTTAAATCCCTGACACTTTCTGGAGAGCAGATCACATTCTGCAGCCTGACCCTGCTGACACCAGTGTTGGGGTGGAGGGGGCTCCTTCTACACCTGTTCGATTTGTGGAGAAGAGCCCGGACAGTGTACTGAAATCCTGTTGTGACAGCTGTCTAAGCACAGGCGAGAAAAGAAAACACAGGCTTTGCACTTGAGAGTTTGTATAGCAGTGAGAAAGCTTGCATGTTTGCTAGCATCCATGAAGATTACTTTGTTGACTTGCCTGAAGGAAAGTCAATTTTCCGTCACACCTCTGTAGTTTCATGGGCTCCTGCAACATTTTACCTTCTGCCTGGCTGGACTTTTCTCCAGCTTTTATTCCCACTATCTTCTCTACCTTGTCTTTATTGTTCATGCAAATGCCTCACAGGCATATGTCGATATGAAACTGTCAAACCATTGCAGCCTTCTATTAAACTAATGTCCCATAGCTTGCCTCTCAAAAGCCTCATTTTGGGACTCCTGCAAAGGTGAAGCATTTTTATTTTAGACCATAAAGTCCATCTGTGTGTGTAAAAGTGCCTCCTGCAGCTGGTGGAGAAACTTATCTAGCAGAAAATATCATAAAAGAGACACTTAAACCAACAGCCAGCATAATGGAGCGCAAGACCCCTTTGAAATGTATTCAAAACTTGTGGACGTTTGCACAGCGAGAGTTCAAATCTGTTTTAGATTTCCAGTAAAACACAAGCTGAGTTGGCTGCACTGGAAGGAAACTGAGCATGTAATTCTGGAGAATGATGAATATGGGGTGATCTCCAAGTCAAGCAGCGCTCAGATCCTTAATTCATGACTTGGCCAGGCGTGAATTTGGGTAAGGAGGTGCCAGTGAATTAACCAGTTTTACACCAGCATGAGGGATTAAGACTCCTGGGAGTTGTCCTACCTGAAGCTGTGAGTTGTAGTCTGTGATGTTGGTGTTGTAGTTCCAGCTGGCAGTCACACTGTTGAATAACACCTCCTCGGCAGTGGTGTTGTAGTCGTCCAGGAAACGTAAAGCTTCATCCGTGCTGTCAGTGTAGGGTCCTGGGTTCCAGCTTTCGAGAGCCACAGAGGGTCCAAAGACTGGCAGCAGCAGCAGGAGCACTGTCCACACAAACCTGTCCACACCAGTGCCCATGGCGAGCTTTCACCACAGACTGAGTGGAGGAGAAAATACTGTACAGTGGAAGAGTTAGGAGCTATAAATACACTTGCTCCGATGAAGTGAGAGTGCACCTTTCCCCTTGAGCTGTTGTCTCATGCACTCTTTCACGTCTCCCCCCTCTCAGCCTTCCCACCCTGCCTGCTGGTCAAATGCACAGGAGCCAAAGAGAGCGTCTTTTAAGTGCCGGTGTAACCCAGCCCACACTTCTCTGCAACCTTCCCTCTCAACACTTTACAGCCTTGGACATATTTCCCCACGCATTCCCTCTTTACTGTCACCTCCCTCTCCCTCTCGTCCTCTCTGTGCTTGTTTCAGAGTCCCTCTGATCAGATCCAAGTTTCTCTGACTGCAGAAGATCAGAGATGAGATGCATCTGCCTGCCTGCCTGCTTGCCTGTGGAGAGGCAGACCCCCAATAAGCAGCAACGGGAGAGTCGGGGAGGGACTCCACATACTTTGCTTTCAGTTCCCTCCTTCAGCTTAGTGACAACAGAGGGAGGGAGGGGGGGAATAAATGCAGGGGGAATAAAAGAGAGAGGATTGGGGAGCAGAACAGGAGGGGGATGACAGGATTGAAGACTGACAGTTGAATAGGCTGAAGGAGATTAGCAGAGAAAGTGAGATAGAGGAGCAGTGCAATGAAAGAGGCTCACCTTGAATTGATCTTTCCTGCTTTAGACCCAGGGAAGAAAACTTTAATCAAGTCTTTACAACTAACGCCACAAAGTCAAGCTGTGGAATAGCTTCTCTCAGCCTCCTTTCTTGGCTTTTATGTAGTCTTAAGTGCAGAGTGTATAATTAGCCTTATTTCACTGGCTTCAGTATTCTGTGTCTGAGTGTAAAACAGCACATCTTACATCAGGCACTATCTACCATGGCACTGGTGTATTAAGAGAAATAAAGAGGGAAATTCTACTCAAGAGTTCACTTCCCCCTCTGAGGAACAAGAAACCAATTTGCACTATTTTGCCGCTCTTAGTAAACCCGGAGTAATTAACCGAAATTCACTGAATCCTTTGAGAGATCGGTATAAACAGGGTTGTGTAAGGTTGCAGAGCGTTCAGTGCAGATCTAATCCAGCGGTATCAAATCTGAAGAGAGACTTTCCATGAGGCACACAGTCTGGCTTTTCAAACAAAACCCAGAGGTTATTTTTGGCTTGTCCAACCTGAACAAGTTTACACTTAAAACAGGCTGTAAACAGTAAATACAACATAATCCTGATAAATGATGTTATGATCAGCATTTCTGTGCCGCATAATATATTAATTAATTATTGATTGATTGTAGCCCAACTGTTTGCTAATTCTTTGATTCAGACCTGTCTGTGAAGCTGCTGGTTAAAGATACTCTCAGGGGTTTTCATGTGGTGTTAATTCTGGTGACCCCTTTGGAAGCCTTATGTCTATTCGTAGTTTTACGCACAGGAAAGTAGGCTAGTAAATTTAACTGGACTACTCTCCTTGTCCCAGTTTGGATGAATTGGGCAACAATCAGTATTGGTCGAAGGGTGTCCACCTCTGCCATGGTGGGTGGAGATGCCCACTTACAGCTTAATACTCTGGGGTTCTATCAAAATGGTAATATCAAAACAGTTGGCAAAATGCGTTAGCAAGAGGCTAACACGGTCTACAATGAGCGATGGAAACACCTAATTAACAGTTCTTTACCATTTTTTTTTTTTTGTTACGACAGAAACGTTTTGTCTTCATTATACACTGTCTTTATCAGTGAGGGTTTTGTTTACCTATAGGGATATTCCGACGTGAAATTAAGTTAGGGTCAAACACTGTAACTCCGAATTAGACACCGCCTCAAGAGATGAATGTTGCTGACTGCTTGCTGCTCTATTTATACCAACTTTACTAACCAACTCACCCACTCTACTTCAGCAGCCGCTTGTTTATGGAGGAGCCCCGACGAGTCGATCACCCAGTGCAGCAGAGTTTTTCAGCTCAAGTAAGAACATTTATGATCATTTCTTCATGTAAATGCGATCAGACCGAGATGCTAAGGCAGAAGAACTACTGCGTCTACAGTGCAAGATGATTATTATGATGATTATTACTTTATGGAAATGATCCGCTGCACTTGGTGATCGACTCGTCAGGGCTCCCCCACAAACATGCACCTGCTTGAGGAGAGTGGGTGAGTTGTGTTTAGTCTCTTTGCTAAAGAAACCAGTCAACGCTAAGAACATGTTTGGTGGCTAGTGCTGTGGCTGGGACCCTATATGTACTGTTGATGAAGTTAGGTGTTGTTCTGAGCATTATTTGTGGCTATAGAGTGACTTTTTGTTTGAGGTTTGCGCATGGGGACATAGATTGCTGTGTATTGCTATCTTGCAGTCGTTGCTGAGGTTGGTATAACTAGAGAAGCAAGCGGTTGGCAAGATTCATGTACCGTTAACAACCTTCAAGCAACATATCCATATGATTCAACTGCAAACACTTTACAGTCCAGTTTCAGTCCATATATATGACTGAGAAAACTGATCACCAATAGTTTGACAATGAGAAGTTTGATTTGGTGCTATTTCAGTCAGACTAGTATGTTAACATGTTTTTTGAGCAACATTTAAACACAGTGTTATCAAAGTTGTCTCAAGATAAAGCAGGATATATATATATATATATATATATATATATATATATATATATATAGTGTATACTGAACCTAGCTAACTGCGCTGACGTATTGTTTACTATAACAAATACTGTCTATAGAGTCACTAACTTTGAAAAAAATACAAATCTAATCAAAGCTTCAGTAGTTTGTTGTTTCATCCACCCTTTGACACGTTTTAAACTTTGATACCAGATACACACACACACTGTTAAAATCCATCAGCTGCTTTTGTTGTAACCAAACAGCTGATCATTCACCTGACCCTGACTGTGAGGCCAGTGGAGGTGATTCGGGATAAATGATAAACCCCTGTAACAAAAACAGACATTTTAGGAGTGAGTCAAAAAGTGCTCACAGTTCAGAGGAATTTGAGGGTTTTTTCTTTTTTCAGCTCCATTACAAAAAAGAGAGAGTGTGCCTTAAAGTTGCTCAATAAGGTTGTCAGAATGACTGAATGAGGCCATAAAACATGATATTGTCCAGATGATAGTGTACAAGGAAAGGCTCATAAATGTTAATGACTTAAACAGTTAGAAAACAGTTTTCCACAGAGTTTGAAATGTGGATGGACGATATTCCTTCTTTTCAACAAAGAAACCAGCAAAAACTGGATGCAATTGTTTTACAGATGATGTTGCTTCTTATATTTTACTATTTCATATCAATCTGGTTGCTGATATATTGATGGTCTTAAGTCAGTGTATGTTGGTTTTGGTCTTGACACGTCAACAGTAATAAGCAGCCTGCTTATCTTTTTGCTCAAGTCTTCAGGGTTAGACAAGACCCTCTGCTTTATGTCACAGTCCTTCTCACCCCGTCGGCATTATAATTTGCATAATCATCCAATCTCAAAATTATGTTTAAATATAGTAAATTGTTATTTCTTGCAAATTATCAGCAGGTCTATAAAATGTTGATTTTGATGTGATCTCTTATGCTGAAATCCTTACTCTTGTCAATTATCACCCTACGAGTCAGTGATCATTTCAATACATGATCAGTTTAACATGTGCGCGGAATAAAGCCTCAATCAGCTAAAGACAAATCATCCCACATATCTGTTAAAGGAATATTCTGTAGTGAATATCTCAAGAGATAGCAGCTATCTGAGTGTTTTCTCACAAACTTGCTGATGTCTTTGGAAACGTGAGGCACATGCCCGACATGTGAACTGTGCACAGGTGTCTGGCTGTTTATTGAAAGGTTGCATCTCAGATAAACTGATTGGGATAATCAGAGCACCTCATGAGGAGGTTATCAGGTGGTGGAGAATGTGTTAGACATTTCACACACCCACACTTACTAGTTATGTGAGAAGAGAGCCATGTATAATATATTTAACCAACTTTGATGAGAAGTGGAAATATATCAGAATTATTCTGTTTCCAATTCAGTGTCTTGGAAACTGAAAAGAGCAGCAGGTGCCTCAAGACTCCTTATAATTGAGTTAAGAATACAATGAAGTGCCTCCAAAGAGTGTTACCTGTTTGTGTGTTCTGTGTAACTGTGTGTGTGTGTTTGTGTCCTGACAGTGTAGTTTCCCTGCTGTCCCAGAACAATAATTGATTTTTGCTTCGCCTCTGATGGGAGTCTGTGAGGTGTGGAGAGTCTGAGATTGCTTAAAACATCCAATTGCTGTACCTGACTGCTTAGGTGCAGTGTGTGTGTGTGTGTGTGTGTGTGTGTGTGTGTGTGTGTGTGTGTGTGTGTGTGTGTGTGTGTGTGTGTGTGTGTGTGTGTGTGTGTGTGTGTGTGTTGACTGCTGAATACAAGATGATGAGCTATATTTCATCTTTACACTCTTAAGCAGACCCGATGTGCTGTTTCTTCACAATAGTTATATATTCACTATTTGAATGATTCTGTTTAATCCGTCTTCCATGCATTATGCATGTGCCATCTTTAAGATATTTTTTGAGTAGATGCGAATGGCAACAGAACACCTCTGTCATTTACAAAAACTCATTAAGCCAAAGTGAACAGTTTTGGTGAAATCACCAGACTTACATCTCTGAATTTGCAAATAAATAAATCAAAGAGTATGGTCTTCAGCTGATCTTTTCCCTGAATAGATGCCTAGGAAGACAGTTAGCAGGCTTGTAGGTGGTCCACACAATTCTGGTTGTATAAATGATGGTACTGATATTTACAGCAGTAAGCAATCCAGCCCAGTCCAGTCCAATATAGTTATTAAAATAATATATAAAGAAATATGAATAAAATAACAAATAAATAGAATATTAATTTTTAAACCTTTAAACAGGAGAACAGGAATAGTGACTTTTGCATGTACAGGACAAGAGAGCTCAGAGATAAAATGTACTGCATTGTCAACAGAGGGATGCAAAGTTAACACCAATTAAAAGTTCCTCTTTATATGTTGCAAATGTGCAAATTTAAGATATGCTCACATTTGTTAGAGAATGTAAGAAAAAATGAATTGTTATGAATGAAGTTTTCACAAAAATTGGTTTTTGTCTAGAAACGCTGAACGCAAACAAAACTTTTGTTTGTTTGTTTGTTTAAAAGTAAAAACCCACAGGGCAACTTAAAGTACTTAACCGTATTTTAAAGAGTCTGAACACCATGGGTCTACCTGCAGAGGAGCTTTTTCAAGAATGTTGTTGTTCTGTTATTTTTGACCTGTCGCCATGATTTGATGAGACAGCGAAGACAGATGGGACTCTAGGCACAGACGGTGGGAACAAAATGCACCAAAGAGCATGAGGTGAGAGGTTAGTCTCTGTTTCCAGCTATGTTACACCCACACACCAATAAAATTGTTTTTAATGGCAAGATCAACTCTGATGACTAGCAGATTCAGATCGTAACCCGTGTAGAGTTGGGCTGTACAAATGAGATCAATAAACTGCATTGTGCAGTTCACACAGTCCTGATTGTGTTGCATGATGACTTTGGATTTCGGCTCAGCCCATCTTCAGTGGAAAGAAGAACAGTTTGTTTAGGCATGGTGCAAGACTTAATCAAGATTGTTCACTAAAATGACCTCTTTGTTAAGGAGATAGAAAGATGGTACATCAAAGCAAACATTCAGATTAAATAGGGGATAATGATGGATGAGTTATTGAGAGATGTGAACCCATGTGTTTATGGCTGGGATAGAAAATGACCTAATGACCTGGAACAGTGAGGGGCAAGTGTTATCACATTAGTAGGCCATGTCTTGTTGGGTGGTGTGTTCAGGAGGGTGTACTGTATAGTGAGCTGTTGATTAAAGTATGTTTTAAACTGGATCCTCTGCAGGGTTTTGTGTTAGGGCTCTGCTCACCATGCAGAGGTTCCTCTCATATAAAACCCATTCACTACACATTACTTATCTCATTCAATGACTGCTAATTAGATGAAGCAACACTTTTACATGGAATACTGATTTGGAAAGGATTTTACTGGAATGAAATGATAACATTTCTCTTTTAATAGTCTGTTACAATCATATGTCCTTTATTCAGTCCTTGAACACCTCCAAATCTAATACCATTTTCCTCCTTTGAGTGTTTACTTTGTGCACCGTCTGGAATTATGTAGATTTTATAGTTGTGATTTTTTTTGGCTTTTAAATTTTCCTTCTCTTCGCTTCTCTCTTTAAAAAAACAACACCACATAAACTGCACTTCTTTCAGGAGGTTGATATGATTAGTCGGTGTTGCAGACTGTAAGTAGAGCAGAATCCTCAGCAATGGTGTGCCAATGTGAAATAAAAAATGGTTGCTCTGGAGAATTGGTGCATTAAAATCAAGAATTTATAACACATTTATAACACATAAATCTTGTTAGTCTCTTTGTGATACATTACCAGAAGCATTAAATCATACAGAACATTAAAAACAAGAGACAAATGTTTGCTCTGCAGAATACAAAGCACAGAAAAAACAATTTTGTCAAATGAGGTAGCAGGACTCATTTCTGTGATATTTGTAATCAGTGAAATCCTTACTGCAGCAGATCTCCATTTATATTCAATTAAGTCTTAAATTACTTCAAAGATTTATGATGGTAGCCTTACAAGTTGTTTGTGCAACCTCCATCTGTTTCTAGATTGTGCTGAACACAGGGAAAAAGACGGTCTCATAAAGACATAAAGCTGTTCACCTCTTATCAGTAGACTGATATCCTGTATTGGCTGACAACAAGCTGATAACAGCACATACTGCTGCGGGTATTTATTTGAGTCAGAGGGAAAAACAGATTGTCTTAATTACAAAAGAGGACTGCGGCCTCATAGAAACGACTATCAAGGTTTTATTTCAGTGACTGTTAGCAAATATTATCCTCTCTGTTAATCTTGACTTTATCAGTGCTATGAATAGATTCATTATGGCTAACACATTTACTCTTTACTCAGTGTCAGAGTAAGGTTTTATCCTCACATTACCTTGAATATCAAAAGTGTAGTCAGTAAATGTGCATCTTTGCCCACAGAAGACACCAAAATGAAACAAACCAAGAGTTCTTGACAAGAGCTTCAACAAGTATCAACTTTGTTCAGGTTACATTCAATACACTGTTAATATCTGAAAAACAAATAGAAAAATTAAACAGAAAAGGGACTCTTAATGCACAATGCTGGGCCAACCAGAGTGATCAAAACACAGCCATCTTTGAAGGGATATCACATTTTATTATACAACAAGCTTAACAGTAGTTGTCTCTTCTAATTTCCTGTCACTTCCCTAGGGCCCACTGTCAAGTGACAGGCATCTCTCTTTAACATCTGATAGTCAAGAATCAAGGCTGGCCTGTATCCAGGTATGAAGTTATTGTGGTGTGTCACATGTCTCAATGTAGTGAGTGCCAGACAGTTTGAAGTGTCCTAATAAAGTAACACATTGCAAAACACGTGGACTGCCCACTTGCTGCTGTAACATGAGAATCTATCCATCTATCTATCTATCTATCTATCTATCTATCTATCTATCTATCTATCTATCTATCTATCTATCTATCTATCTATCTATCTATCTATCTATCTATCTATCTATCTATCTAATGTTGAGGATGGCAAGAGTCTAGATACTTCTTTAGGAAGCTGGAATTAGGCCATTGTGAAAATCAGCACTTACATAGTTGGGGATGTTGTTCATATCCTGAACACCAGGCTGCGACACCTTTTGGTATATCAAAGCATTTTGTATTTTTAAAAGATTGTTACATTAGTGAGTCACAAGAAATTTACATAGGAAATATTGGGTAACACTTGGCAATAACCATAATTTATAAATGGTAAACAGATAGTTTATTAAAGTTTAATCACTATTTAAAAACAGCATATAGACCAATTTTAAATGGCAAATAGATAGTTTATTAATGTAAGTTAATAGTTACTGTACCATTCACACGCAATGAAATTATGATGAATAATTTTCATTCATTATTAATGGACTATTTACTAAAGGTTCATATAGGGTTTAAATATTGGTTGTAAAACATCTAAATTAAAATGTGTTTCAGTAGCACTTTGTAAATGGTCATTATTTGGTTTTTAAACCATCTATAAACATTACTGAGATGGTTGTTGTGAACTGTTGCAACTGATGTTGCAATACTTTGTAAATGATGAATAAGTGGTTTATAAACCACCTATAAACATTACTTAGATGGTTATTGTAAAGTTAGGGTTAGGGTTTAGGTTAGGTTTTTAAATTTTTAAAATTTCAAATGTATTAATGGTCTATATGCTATTTATACATGATGATCAAACATTAATAAACTTACCATTTATAAATGGTCTTTTTACTATTTAGAAGTTATGATTATTGTAGTGTTGCCGAAATTTTTACTTCCTGTGTTGAAACTTGTTTGTGTAACCAATCTTAATCTTCATCGTCATCTTCAACAACAGGCTAAACCAGCAGCAGTTAAGCCACACATTGAGGAAATGACTGTTTATGCTACACTGACCCCCAGTGGATTTTTAGTGTAGTACAAGAAGCTCATGATATAAACACCTGGTAGACTACTGTCATATATTTCAAAATGTACCGTATAGTACATCATTTTATGTTAAAATTGGTTGCCGCTTTTGATATCATATTACGAAGCAAACACTGTTCCACTTTCAGAGACAGATGTTTCCTGAAGGTGTTGCTGCTTCAGCCGCCCTGCCCAGAGACCAGCTGTTCTGACTGGGTTGGAAAAAAAAACAGACAGAAAAAAGTCATACCCTGCGGTGAATTCCTCCTTCACCACCGTCGAAAAGTGCTCCCTGCTTCGACTCACTCCTGCCAAAAAACTTCAGCATCCCCCTCAGAAAATTATTTAACAGCAGGAAAGAAATCTTGAAGGCGGTAAAATGGGAGAAATGCCGGAGCAAAAGAAGTTTTCTGAAGTTATTGCTCAGATATTAGAAGAGGCGCCAGCTGCGAGGAAGGGTCTCGTTGATAATCACAGTAACCTCCTCAAAGTGGCGGATTACTGCGAGAAAAACTACGTTCAGGTGAGTGATAAACGGCACAATGCCTCAGTAACATCCAGATTAAAGCGGGATTACTGAATTTTTACTCCTTTTTAGGATTGTTCTGGACTTATTTTGTTCTGGGAAAATATGTTTTTACTCAACTTAAATATTTTATTCCAGCCCTGGTCGTTGCTGAGTGCAAGCAAGTGCATGTTTTGAGGTACTGGGCTCAACTTGAGTATTTATGTAGGTTTTACTTCCACTCCTAATATGTCTCAGAGGAATATTAAACTGTTAAGCCTGCTCTTACTTATTTGACAAACTTACAAGGTCAAAATTTGTAAATGTTAGACTCTTTGTAATGCACTATGTTTGATTTTATCAGTAGCCGCCCAGTAATAACAGAATAAGTCTTGAATATGATTACAACTTTAGTGGTAATTTTGCAGAAAAAAAGATGTTTTGACTTTTTTCATCTGAACTTCTTCCTGTGTAAGATCACAATGTCAGACGATAACTATCATACTGTGATTACTTTTCCTCACAGAAGATCTACTTCATCTTAACTCATTTCATTTTAAAACATTTCACTGATAATGTGAAAAAAAATCTTGCAGGCAGATGATCCCAGCAAAGCCATGGAGGAGGCCAAAGCTTTAGCTGCTCAGTCCCTGGCCAGTGTCTCGTATCAGATCAACAGTCTGGCCTCGACCGTGCTGAGGCTGCTGGACTCTCAGGCCATGCAGGTCAAAGATATGGAGTCCTCCATCAACCTACTGTCACTGGTGAGGAATACCTCTTATCTGAGGTACACCTGAGTTCATCCCAAGAATGCTACATGGCCTTTGCATGGCTTGTGAAAAAAATCCAAGGCATCTTCAATGGAGAGTTAAACAGTTTTTAATATTTTGGATTTAAGAAACTGAATAAGAAAGCAACCAAAACAAAATCAGGGTCCTTCTCTGAAATAACTCGATTGATTTAACCTTTAGTGCTGGAGGCTACTAGGGAAAATATTTGTGCTTTCCTATATGTTCAAACGAAATTTGAAGTATGAGAAGGACTGCTTTTGTTTTTTTTTGTTTTGTTTTTTACAGTACATCCTGAGTTCTATATTTGTAAACCGAGAAGTGTGCAAGTTCCAGTGTTTTTTTTCTTCACCTGTTGTGCCATTGACCTGCAGTCAGTGTTGTTGCCAGGCTCCATGTGTTGAACTGTTTCATCTTTGTTGCTCGTGAGATCAAATGAGGTGCGAATGGATTTCTTTTGCTCTGATCCAGGCTGCAGCAATCCACTTTGAGAAGGTTGCCAGGAGAGAAATTGGTGTTTTTACTACTCCAAAAACCAAAAGTCGTTCCAAACTTTTGACCCCACCGACTACAGGCAAGGAGCCTGAGAGAAAATACGCACGAGTGCCGATTTCATACTCCATCTTGGACTCCGTAGGACATTGTTTTCAGGTAAAACAGTCATGATTCCCTTTGGATTTAAGTGGCACAACAACATCCATCTACCTTCTCCCCAGTGGTGAAGTTAGTGTTAAGGATGATGTAGAAAAAGCCTGAATGTAGTTGAAAAATGTGTTATGCTATCCTTTTCTGTAATCTCCATTTGTTTTATCCTCAGGTCGCTGAGCAGGCACCAAGACAAAGAGCAGACACTGCAGAGAGTATCTACAGCACTGCAGACTTCTCTGTGTATGTAGACAAGCTCCCTTTTTACCATTATTACAGCAGAACTAGTATTTTAATGAAACCTACAGGCTTACATATAAACTAAACAGCTGCTGTATTTCTCTGATGATATATATGCAGTTTGATGATCAAGGTTTTCCTCAAAAACCTTGATCATCAAATCAAATGTCATGTCCTGAGCTGGTGAGTGTGCACCTGCTCACAGGATGGAAAAATAGACTGTAGTGAAACTAAAAGTGGTGATCCAACTTCTTCTGAAGATAAGACATGAAAAATACAGGCTCTGAAAAATTCCCACAGCATAAAAGCAGAAAATAAACCCCTGAAGTTTCACCGAGTTTAATTGTTTATTTGGTACTACAAAACCCAATTCCATTGAAGTTTAGAAATTGTGATTAACATAAATAAAAACAGAATACAATGATTTTCAAATCCTTTTCAACCTATATTCAATTGAATACACTACAAAGACAAGATATTTAATGTTCAAACTCAAATATATATATATATATATATTTTTTGCAAATAATTAACTCAGAATTTCATGGCTGCAACACGTGCCAAAGAAGTTGGGAAAGGTGGCAAAAAATTCTGAGAAATTTGAGGAATGCTCATCAAACACCTATTTGGAACATCCCACAGGTGAGCAGGCTAATTGGGAACAGGTGGGTGCCATGATTGGGTATAAAAGCTGCTTCCCCCAAAATTATCAGTCATTCACAAGCAAGAATGGTGCGAGGTTCACCACTTTGTGAACAACTGCGTGAGCAAATAGTCGAACAGTTTCTCAACGTTTCTCAAAGTACAATTGCAAGGAATTTAGGGGATTTCAAAATCTACGGTCCATAATATCATCAAAAGGTTCAGAGAATCTGGAGAAATCACTGCACATAAGCGGCACGGCTGGAAACCAACATTAAATGCCCGAGACCTTCGATCCCTCAGGCGGCACTGTATAAAAAACACTAACATCAATGTGTAAAGCATATCACCACATGGGCTCAGGAACACTTCAGAAAACCACTGTCAGTAAATACAGTTCGTCGCTACATCTGTAAGTACAAGTTAAAACTCTGCTATGCAAAGCGAAAGCCATTTATCAACAACATCCAGAAACGCCGCCAGCTTCTCTGGGCCCAAGCTCATCTAAGTTGGACTGATGCAAAGTGGAAAAGTGTTCTGTGGTCTGACGAGTCCACATTTCAATTTGTTTTTGGAAATAGTGGACGTCGTGTCCTCCGGGCCAAAGAGGAAAAGAACCATCCGGACTGTTATTGACGCAAAGTTCAAAAGTCAGCATCTGTGATGGTATGGGGGTGCATTAGTGCCCAAGACATGGGTAACTTACTCATCTGTGAAGGCAACATTAATGCTGAAATGTACATACAGGTTTTGAAGGAACATATGCTGCCATCTAAGCAACGTCTTTTTCATGGACACCCCTGCTTGTTTCAGCAACACAATGCCAAGCCACATTCTGCATGTGTTACAACAGCGTGGCTTCGTAGTAAAAGAGTGCGGGTACTCGACTGACCTGCCTGCAGTCCAGACCTGTCGCCCACTGAAAATGTGTGGCACATAATGAAGCATAAAATACGACAACGGAGACCCCGGACTGTTGAACAACTGAAGCTGTACATCAAGCAAGAATGGGAAAGAATTCCACCTTCAAAGCTTCAACAATTAGTCTCCTCAGTTCCCAAACATTTATTGAGTGTTGTTAAAAGGAAAGGTGATGTAACGCAGTGGTAAACATGCCCCTGTCCCAACTACTTTGGCACAAGTTGCAGCCATGAAATTCTGACTTGTTATTTGCAAAACAAAAAAGGAGGTTTATGAGTTTGAACATTAAATATCTTGTCTTTGTAGTGTATTCAATTGAATATAGGTTGAAAAGGATTTGCAAATCATTGTATTCTGTTTTTATTTACGTTTATCACAATTTCCCCTCCTCAGTGGAATTGGGTTTTGTACATAACAGTTGCTTTAACTTTAAATACATTTTTAAATATTTAAAAAATAATGATGAATTAGCTCAAACGTTCAAATCAGTTGGATGTGTTTTTTGATAAGTAGTATTTCAAAGTTATTTCCCACCTCTTTGTAGCTAAAACGATAGCGACCTCATGTTAGCTTGCTGGCTTGGTTTAGCATACAAACTGAAAAAACACATCTCATAGCTAACATGGCTTTGTCAAATGATTTTAAAAAACTTTTTCACTTAAGTGCATTTGTTTGGAACAAAACATGCAGACTCTTTGAAGTGGACAAAATCACGAACAAATTGATCTTTTTCATTCTGTTTCAGTAAGTAGAGTTAAACTAGTGAGTTCATTTTTTTATTTCAGTGATTTCATTTTTATTTGATTCAGATCCAGTTTGGGCATTGCTGTACCTCCCCCATCAGTCCCCACCCTGCAGACTGTCTCCCCCACAAACGACAACCTCCCTCCTCCACCTCCTGCTGACTCTGACCCCAACATGTCCTTTCCTTCTCCCCCGCCACCTCCGCCTCCATCCACTATGGGCACCGGCTTCCCACCTCCACCCTCCATGGCCTCACCCACGTGTCTCCCTCCCCCTCCTCCTCCACAGCCTATCTCTCCTTCAAACGGCATGTACCCACCTCCACCTCCACCTGCAGCAGGAGGTGCTGCATCTCCTCCTCCACCTCCTGCTCCTCCACCTCCTCCTGGAGCAGGGGGTGCTGGTCTCCCTCCACCACCTCCACCCCCTCCTGGGGGTGGAGGTTTTGATCTTCCACCTCCTCCGCCTCCACCCCCTCAGATGGGCTCCTCTGGTGCTGTGCCACCTGCCCCTCCACCTCCATTTTAGATCACATTAATGGGAAACACTTCCTGAAAATGTTTCTTAACTTTGTGTGTGTACATGTTTGGCTCTTCTGTTTGCATGTATGTGTAAAACATGTTCTGGCTTGTTGTGAGGTTTATTATGAAACTTTAATAAAAGTTTTAATTAGTGCACAAAGTGATGAAACTCTAAGCTGTTTTGTCTGGCTAAGCACACAGTGTTAGAACCAAAAGATTTTATTCCTGGGACTGAAAATCCTTAAAGTGAAACATTTCGATGCAGGAGAAATTCCTCTGACGTGTTTCAACAAAACCTTGTCTGCATTCCTTACACACAAGCTGCAACAGGGACTCTTGTGTTTCTGTGGTCTCCTTCTCCTGTAGAGTCTGTACCCATCTTTATCAGGCCTTTGCGCTTTATTACACTGTATCTCAGTCTGCCACCGGCTCTTCTACCAAAACTGTCCATCAGTCGGCTGTGTGCTAAGAATTGGGTCAATAGTGACACATTGTTGACATCACAGGCTGTAGCCTCTTTGAGTTCTGCTATTTTAAACAGGCCAATGAGGCTATTGAGTGTTTATTTCCGGTCAGCACTCCATTTAATCAGCAGGTTAAGGCTTGCTTTTAAGGTAAGTTTAATTTCCAGCATCCAATCCATGAGATGCTTATCCAAATTAAACCCTGCTGCCACATGGAGCATCTGATGAGGATGAGAGAGAAAGAGCACGTCTACAGCCTGGTCTTTTATACCCGGTAGACTGGCCAGGAACTCCCAGGTGCGGCTAAACCCCGCCTACCAGCAACCTGTGAAAGAAACAAGAAAAAACAGGAAAAGAAAAAGGCTAGGCCAATACTATGATATTTTTTAACAACTACACTATGATAATTTATAATGCTTACCTATGATTTTTTTAACTTAACTATACTGTGCCATTTTTATCATACTTTACAAAAATATTTTTCATCATACTATACTAAGATATTTTATGTCATACTATGCTGTGGCATTTTTATCATACTAAACTATGATATTTTTATTATACCATACTATGAAATCTTCATCATCCTTTACTTTGATTTTTTTCTTATCACATTAGTGTGTTTTTAATCAAACTATAGAATGACATTTTTCTCAAACTATACTGTGATATTATCATACTTTCCTATGACATTTTTGTCATATTATACTATGACATTTTTTTATCACACAATACTATGACTTTTAATCAAGTTCAAGTTCAAGTTCAAGTTCAAGTTCAAGTTTCTTTAATCGCCACACGGCTAGGCCGGTGGAATTTTTCACAGTGCAGGTGGTAGCTGCGACAATACACCACGTTAATTTAAACAGACATTGAACAGTTTACAGTGACATGACATGACATAACATGTGAAACGGGGTACCACAGGACATAAAACATAAAACACAGACTTCACACACGTCGACCATAGGAGTTACTGTAGCGCTTTGTTGAGCCGCCCAGAGATCCAAACCTTCTACCCGAGGGGAGGAGCCGGAAAAGATGGTGAGCTGGGTGCAGTGGGTCATCAATTATTTTGTTTGCCCTTGTGATGGTGTGGTGTTTGTGGATTGAGTCCAGTGTGGGGAGTTCACAGTTAATAATTTTGGAGGCCCTTTTTATCACCCTGCCCAGTCTGTTTAAGGTGTGCTTTGGTGTGTTGCCGTACCATGTGGTAATAGATAAAGACAGAATATTTTGAATTATGGCGGTGTAGAATTGTACCAGTAGATTCTTCCTGACTCTGTATTTCCTGAGTTGTCTGAGATGGAAAAGTCGTTGATTTGCTGTTTTGAGGAGGTGAGTGGTGTGATGATCCCAGTTCAGCTTGTTGTTGATGTGTGTACCTAGGAATTTAAATGAGTCTGTAGCAGAAATGGATTGGTCGTTAATGATGATGGGTGTCTTGATGGAGGTGTTTGTCCGGAAGTCAATGATAAGTTCAACTGTCTTGCTTTCGTTAAGGATGAGATCGTGGTCTTTGCAGATGTCAACCGTTCTGTCAGTCTCTGACCTGTAGTCGTCCTCCATGTTGTTGGTTATCAGCCCTACGATGGTGGTGTCGTCCGCGTATTTCAGCAGCTTGACTGAGGTGGAGGCTGATCGGAGGTCGTTGGTGTATAGGGAGAAGAGCCACGGGGATAGAACACACCCCTGTGGCACGCCGATGTTGGTGGTCAGAGGGAGAGAGGTGAGGTTGTTGTGGCGGACAACTTGGGTGCGTTCCTTCAGTGTGTCCAGCAGCCAGAAACAGAGGGAGGGGTCAATGTTCATGTTGATCAGAGTGTGGAACAGTTTGAGGGGATTGATGGTGTTGAAGGCACTGCTGAAATCTATGAAAAGAATCCTCGCATATGAGTTTCTTGACTCCAAATGCTTGAGGGTGAAGTGCAGAGCTAGATTGACTGCATCATCTGTTGACCGGTTGGAGCGATATGCGAATTGTAGGGGGTCCATCAGAGGGGAAGTGCTATTATTTCATACTATACTGTGATATTTTTACCATATTATACTATGATTTTTTTAATCAAACTATACTATGATATTTTTCTCACACTGTACTATGATATTTGTATCACACTAAAGTATGACATTTGAAACATGCTATACTATGATATTTTTAATATACTATACTATGATATTTTTATCATGCTATGCTATGACATTTTTATGATACTATACTAAGATATTTTATGTCATACTATACTATGACATATTTATCATACTTAACTATGACATTTTTATGATCCTTTACTTTGATGTTTTTTATCATCCTATTCCTTGATTTTTTTTTATCATCATATCCCTTGAAATTTTTATCATCCTTTACTTAGATTTTTTTTTTTATCATACTATACTATTGTTTTTTGAAAGTACAGAAGTACGAACCATCAATAAGTTTAGGGCTCTTGTGGAAACTATTGCACCGGGGACGCAATAAATGCATTTCAATGCTGAGTGCTTTCTTTATAGATCCAAATAAGTTTCCAATATGCTGTAGCAAAACATCCAATAAAAGAAACATGATTCAAGCCTGGAAGTGAATTATTTAAAAAGATATATCTTGGCACAAACAAAATCTACACACTTTGGGGATTTCCACTTTTTTAATCATGCAGTAATAAAATCTATAACTACAACATTAGATCTGTTTGAATGGGTGTGATTTAAGGACTTAAGAGGTTATGAGCTACCTTTGAACTCGAGCTAAAAACAGATTGCAAAACTACTTATTATACTGCTTGGTAAACAGAAGAGATAGAAAACTCTATCCACACCTTCATGCCGGCTCAGGTTTGAAATGAGGAAATAGAGCGCATGATTTCCATGTCGTACAAAGGTGGGTATGGTGGTTTAAGAAAAACTAATTCCCTTGTTGTTCGCCATGAATACCTAAAAACTAATGCTCCATTGATTAGAGTAAAAACTTACAGTAAAGGTAAAATGGTTTAAATGTGAATAAAAATGTTTTGTCCAGACTTTCGTAACTTAAAACGCCCACTGGGAGGGGCTAGAGGGGTTTAAAAGAAGGCGACCTGGGCCTTTGTTTGTGCCTGGAGTTTGTGTCACTGAAGGTAACTGAGAAACTGACTTTTGTATTGCTGCTGTGTTTCTGTTTCTTTTTTTTTTCTCTTGACTGAGAATCTTGAGAACTCTTGCCTTGTTGGCATTTTCTTTTTTGCCTTGTACATTTTGTAAATAGTATTTGACCATTTATTTCCCGTTTTCATATTTTTGCACTGCACTTTGGAAGGCCAGCTGTAAATAAATTTCACAATCACAGTATTTTTTCAACCATGCCTGTGGTTTCCCTCTATATTTTGATTGTTTGAGTGAGAACCCTGCAACTTGGGGCTATGCGCATGTTTAGTCAAATACTCTGGGTGAGGAGGCAAATGTGAAATTGAAACTTTTTTCCCTCCTTTTTTAAAATGACATAAGCAAGTGGCGAAGCAGCATTGGTGACGCTGTTGCAATTTCAGAATAATGGCTCAATCTGAGTGATAACATAATAATTATCTTTGTGCTTTAGTTGTAGTGCAAAGACACACAAAGAAGGAGAGGGTTGGCCCCTGAGGCCGGATGACTCTCCATCTGTATATGTCATCCCCTTGTACACGAGGCAGCCGCAGGACCAGGAAGTGATACATGAACCACTTTCTCAAACTGCTTGCAGGGATTCTCCTATACACAACCCCAGGGGGCGACAGTCCGCCTCTTCCTTGCTGGGTACAGAGTTGCTTTGTTCATATTCATAACATCCAACTGTATCAGCTGTTTGTTAAATGTGTTCTTGTCTTTTCCAGCTTGAAACATCATCTTATCAGGACCCTCCACCTCCATACTTGGACCCTCCACCTCCGTACTTGGACCTTTCAGCCCCATGCTTGGACCCTCCAGCTTACTCAGACCTGCAATGATCCCTCTCTTCTTCCTCCTCGGTTTTCACATGCCTTTTTTGGCCGACCTCCGTGTTTACAGTTGCACTATATGTGAAGAAGAATCTCTGATAGATACGAATGCTGAGCATAATGACACAAAGGTTTTAAGCCTGTCTAAATTAAATGTACTGCACAGTGTTTGTCTTTCGATCAATTCTGAGGTTAGGGTCTCTTGCATACACAAACTACATTATAAAGAAATACTTTCAAAAAAGGGTGAAGTGTTCACTATGAAAAAAAAAATACATTTTCACATCTGTTTTCTAAGAAGCAAAGAATTTGATAGAAAATGTCCAATAACTGATTCTTTCTAAATTAAGTAACTGCTGGATTTTTACAGTTAATTGTCATTAATTTCATGTTTACTATTTCATTAGTTTGCAAATATATGAACAGCGTAAAGCACCACAGTCTTATCTTAGGAGTCAAATGACTGCAACGAAACGTACCTTATAATCTTGACTTTTGTATTTCTCATTTGAATGAACACGACACAGCTACAACAGTGCGGTCTTAAATCTTGACTTTGAGGTAGGAGACAGCTCTCCAAGTGTTAATCCTGTGATCTAGTGTTTTTCTGTTCTACAGAATACTGGTTCACATTCAGAAGTCTGCAGGACTGCATGAGTAAAATGTACATAATGAGGTTCAAAAAAAAGTGTCTTGCAAAAGGTGGCATTTATCAGATGCAAGATACAGGGCACACCTCTCAGTCCTGTGTCTTTAAAAAAGATAATTACGCTGTGAAAGCTCTCCAAGTTGTATACTTAGACCAAGTAACACTTTATGCTTTGATAGCAACCAGGACAGGCCAGCGTTTGAAGGTTTGGGATTCTTAAAAAAAAGGTAAGGGCTCATTTCAATTTACATCAGAGATATTAAACGCATTTTCTTCTAAATCTGTGCTTTAAGGGCAAAGTATATGTTAGGATAGTATGAAGAAACTTAACTTTTAATCGCAATGAGCTGCGGTTTTATAGGATGAAGGTCCACTGTCAGTTGTTAAACTCAGAGTAAAGTCAAACCATCAGCTGTTTTTTATTGCTGCATTTGAAGCTCCGAGTTTGTTGTTTAAACTCTCTAACTGTAAAATATAAAAAACAAACTTGTGTGTTTTTTTAGGGAAACCTTGTTTAAAAACTCTACAGGGTCACTCTGGGTTACCATCCTGTAGAAGTACAGTAAGCACACATAGTCACGTGTAATTGTTCTATTGTGCTCCCATAAACTCATTAACTTTGTTCACTCTGTCAGAGGGCTTTTGTTTAACATGTTAGTGTTGTTGTTTTCACAGGCACTGAATGTACAGTATGTCCCTGTTTCCTTTCACAGCTATGTCAGCAGGTTGACGTATTTCCAGTCATGAGTGTGGTTTTCAGTGTCTTCCGATATCTGTAAGTAGTCACATAAAGTTTTTCTCCATTGTTGAAATTTAAAAAAAAAAAGGGTTTTAGTCTTGAATGATGTGCATGTGTTTTTAGATTACCAGTCCTGGTGGTGTCCATAGCTGTTGTCCTCCTCTGCTTTTACCTGCATGCAAAAAAGAAAAGAGCTGCATTTGACGTCACAGCGCCAACAAGGCCAGACGACAGCACATCCTCAGTGGTCCATTCAGTTTCTTTGTCTGAGGATTACCCACAAGAGGACAGACAATATGAAAGATTACCCCCGCGGTACAGCACAGTGGATCACCCTCCTCCGTACTCACTGGTGCGTGGGATCTTATTACAGCCCGACACTGTCACTGTACCACTGCGCTCATCTGAAGACATACACATGTATTTAAAACGACCTAGTGCTTCTTTTAAGAATACTGACTGTGGTATTTTGATTTCAAGTGTTACAGAAACAGCTCTTTAATATTAACACTGATCTGTCCACACAGGTATAAATCGATTAAAGAGCATTTTAAACTTTTTTTAATGCATAGCACAAAATCAAAATTGGGAACCACATGTTGATGTAGCAGCAGAAAGATGCATAGAAACAAGAAGCGCTTGCAACACTGGCTCTGTCACGTAGGAGGCAAAATCTACTCATTAGCATGATTAAAGCTCAGAATAAACCAAATTTATTATGTCTGTCATAATGAAATGTTCATTTTTAAGTTAAGACTGCATGTTGAGTGTATGTCCAAGATCGGTTCTGTAGCTTTACATCTATGTAACTTTCATGTTTACAGCACAGTATTAAGTTTAATGTTTCGAGCTCTCTGATTTAGACCCTCTGCGGTATCCAAATGTCAGCTTTAAATCTCAAATTTCAATGGATTCTGTAAAAGTAACTCATTTTATCTCATCTGTCTGCAGTTTGACCCAAAGTTGACAAGCTTCTGGCCTGGAGGCCCACCACCGGCCTATGAGATGTATCCCATAACGCTACCTCTGGCACCCCATCACTGGATACACGAACCTCCATCACCCTCCTCATCCAGCACCCACAACCATTCACACCCACAGAGACTGCAGCAGGGACCTACAGGCTCCACTTCATTTTAGCTCAGGACTCACTTTATGTTGTTCCCGTCAGTTTCAAGAAAACAGTATTGTAATTTATTTTATATAATATTGTGATTCTAACTTAAAATTATCAACATTAACAATAGGCAGTGAAGCGATATTCACATTTTCAATTTTAATACATTTTTATATGAACATCAAAACTACAGTGTAGCTGTCCAACTGCATCTACACACCAGCAGTCATCAAAGCACCAAGTGTTTCTCTATGTTATACTATATTCTCTTTATTACAATACAGTACTTACAAGTTGAGGGAAAATAGAATAACTATGAAAGAAGTTGCCATTGTTAGTTTTTTTCTATTTCTAAGAAGGAACAGTGATGATGCTTCCTTGGCTCTGAAACCATGTTAAGGCAAAAGTAAGTATGAATTTGAAGCCACTGGTATCTGTTCTACATCCAAAAATAACAAAAACAACTTTTACCATCTCTGCAGCCTGTAATAAAACAGAATATGTTCACCTTCCATTTACAATCAGTGCATACTGTAGGCTACTTCTTCAGTTTTTGTCTTTATTGTTTTTTCTTTGAGAGTTTGAATATTCTCAGTGCTACAAATACAACTCCAACAGAATCAAAAGGGGCAGCCGTCGGACATTTTGATCCATTCGATTGATCCTCTGACTGTCCAACAGACAACACCAGCAAAAGACGACAAATTATTGACATTAAAAAAGGAACCAAAATAAATCGTAGACCTCAGGATGAATGCAAAACATCTTAATGTTACAGTTTCCACTGCTCTCTTTGTGTTACATACTGTATATATCATCATTTGAGTGTGTGCGCGCATGTATTGCAAGTATATGTTTTTCTTCAAAACTATCTATTGCTGTTCAGTTTTGAAATAAGTGTAGACATACAAGGTAAAGCACATTTCTTAACACATACAATCATACTGCATGATTAAATGGTAAAATATAGAGAATTTAATACAAATATGACATTTGGTATCGTTCCCTAACCAATCTGTCCTACCAGTCAAATGTAAACATTACACTACATAAAGTAGGAAAGGCTAAAAAGTTTAATATCCTTTGAAAGAAAACCTTCAATAGAGCACCTTTACCTGCCAAATATATTTTTTTCTTTTCTAAGTCTAGTTCCACATACTAATAACAGACACACGCTCGCTCATACTATTGCACTAAACCTTTAGAATCGACTCTAAATCCTTCTCGACAAATATCAATAAAATAATTTAAAAATAAAACACAGGCTCAACAGAGGGACACTAAGTTTGTACAAAATGCTCTACATGAGGCTGGTCATTTGCACTGACTCATGATGCTTGGCCCTTCACTATATACGTCCACCAACACCAGCTGCATGGAGGAAGCCCATCTAGAGCTTCCAGTGTTTCACCATCCTCAGATCCGAGGCCCCGGCACCCTGGCTGGTGACCCTTTAGTTGACTCTCAGAACACCCAGCTGACAGGGACCCACTGCTGCTCCGTCAACAGTTTCTCCAGCGCTAACCGAAGACTTCTGAACGCCGCCTCCAGACCGTCGTTTACAATGCAGAGGTCAAAATAATGTCCATAAGCTCGCTTGGTGCGCTCGCTCTCGTCCACCGTCCTCTTTAGTTCAGAGTCCTGTAGAGAGAGAGAGAGAGAGAGAGGTAGGACAATGAGACGATAAGGTAAAAACAGAAGCAATGAAAGAAAAGTATTTGAATGGAAGAACCGAGTAAACATTGAAGTCTAATGAGTTTGCATAATTTAAACAGAAGAAATGCAACTTTCCTGTTAGAGCCCCTTAATGCTCAGTAAATCAAACACAACAGGTTTTCTAATTACAAACACAATGAACTTTCCTGGGTTGCATTTTTGTCTCACTACTTTAAGGTTCAGCATAAAGTCTTCAGGTGGATTCTGTTATAGTCGGTGCAATCTTTAAGGTTTTTATGTCACATATCTAGAGTAAATTTAATGAGAATACATCATTAAAAATAAGAATATTAATGCATGCATCAGGGTTTTTCTCCCCTCTAATGATATATTGCTAGCACAGAAACTATCAGTCAGGATGGAAACACGGCTGTGCACATCTAATCACTAATCCAAATAAGATCAAAAAGAGAAACAGCAAAAGATGAAGTGATCTGAGGGGGAGGCTTGAAGTTAAGGGACTGTAAATGGGAGAATGGGAGAGTAAAATCACACAGCCTAACTGTACATTTGGACTGTCAATTTATATCAGCAGAAACAGTAATATGTGAAAAATCAACTTTATTTCTAGGGCACTGGTACAGCTTAGTCGATGGAGCAGGCGCCAAATGTACAGAGGCTACAGCCAGAGTTACACGTGCTGCAGGACTGATTTCTCTGTGATTTAGTGGATGTTATTTCTGTCTCTCTCTGTCAATGTCAAGCTGTCCTATTAAATAACAGCAAAAGCTGAAAAAAATTAACTTAAAAGAAGATTCAACTTGTATCACATTTAAGAAAATATAACAAAAATCACAGATGGCTTCCACACAGAACAACAACAAGAAAAAAAAGCAAACAATAAAACAATGTGAGGTATGACAATATCTATACCAGCAACAACTCAAATATCAGCAGAGATAAAGGCTGAAATATGACTGTTTATAAAGGCGGATTTTAGGGGGTATGTAATACAAGATGAGACATCAATTGTCTTTAGCCTGGACTCTGGATTAAATGAAAGGACCTTGTCTGAATATTTGGGGCTGTAGCTTGGTTCATTAACAGTCTAAAGGTAAGTGCTCCCTTGACTGAGGTTCACAGAGATTTGCAGCCGACATGTGCAAATGAGATGAAAGGAAAGCATGTATAACCTTTTCCTTATATGTATTCTTCTGTAAAACAACCAAAATGGGTCAAAACCTCAGAAAGGTCTATTTGACAATATGGGACAATAGATTTTTCAGGCAACACACGCTCACCGTTAACTGTTTCGTTACCACTCCTGACTCAATAGCTGATCTGTTCATAGCTTTGAGAACCTCAAAATCTGGAGCTTCGATGAAGACAACATAGGGCAGGAACTCTGACGTCCTCAGGACTTTGAGAGCCTGCAGAGAAAAGCACAAAACCCATAGAGACTTTTTAACATCACTGCAGCACTGAGCAGAAAGAAAAGCTGGAACTTGCATACAATTATAAAGCTGAGAATGTAATTAAAATGCAACGACAGTGTCTCGAACGGACAAATTTATCAAGCTAATGTGTGTGAATAAGATTAGCTGAGTGTTTCCAGCATGTAATGCACGTCATTAAGAGATCCTTATTGATAAATATTGATGATGTGCTCAGCCTGGAAACACTTCAAGAGCATCAAGCTGTGCATAATTGTCTGGAAAGAAGAATGTTTCAAACCCACGCTACTATATTGAAAACACGACAATGTTGTGGATGTAGGTTCAAACGTGAGAGGAACAAAAGAAAGACAGGCTAAAAGTCATATGAGCCTCATCTACCTGTGGGTTGACATCCAGGATGCAGATCTTTCCTGTTTCTATCACTTCGTGTATAGAGTTGATTTTAGTACCGTACAGGTTACCGTCGTACTCCCCGTGCTCCAAGAAACGAGCATTTTTGATGTCACACTCCATCTCGCTGCGTGTCATGAAAGAGTACATTTGGCCATCCCGCTCATCCACTTTCGGTTTCCTGGAGGTGACTGGAGGATAAAAAGAGGGAGAAAAAACTCATTTACAGTGAGAATAGACACTCACCATTAGCACAAGACAGTAAGAAAGGATGCCATTTCTGAAGAGTTTATACACATGATGACGCTGAAGGAGGGAGCTCCTCGTCACTACACCAACTGGAGGCAAAAAGTATGTACTTATTGTCTAAATTGACGTTAAAATACAAAGACTCCGAAAATGTAGAAGATGTGTTGTGTGATTGACTCACAAGCATCAACAAAAAGTCTGAGATCTTTTTTAACAGACTACAAATATCTTAAGAAAAGAGAGGCAAATGGACCGCTGCAATTCAGAGAAACAACTGGAACTGAATAGAGGGTTTTTGGTTAGCATTTTGTGTCAGGAGTATTAGATATTTGTGTGAAATTATATTGTAGGATTAACTGTAGTATCTACAGACTTGGGGGGTTATGACTCAGTAGGGGTGTGAGTGATATCATTGCAAACCCTCTGCTGTAATGTCTTTAGGTGAGACCATAAAAGGGTGCACTCACAGGGGATGGTGGTGCCATATCGCTGAGGATCTGACACCAGCAGCTTGTTTTTCAGACTGCGACGGCCAACCCCTTGTGCACCAATCAGAACCAGTGTCTTCCTCCTGAAGGGCGGGACTTTGGCAACTTCTTCATATATCCTCAACTCATGGCGATCGAATTCTGTTCAGAGAACAGTTCCTTTAGCAAATGAATCCACGAAGCATAAAGATAAAGATCATGTTGCAGAGAGAGTGGTTAGTTCAAAGTACCTGCATTCTTCGTGGTCAGATACATCATCTTCTTTTTCTTCTTGCCCCCCATCCCGGCACATAGAGGACCTTACAGGGACAGAAACACACAAAACAAGATAAAACCTTCAACCTGGCATGTCTCCCTGTAACCACTGTTCAAATGATGCTAAAATGAAAGTAAAGTGGCTTCAAAACAACAGCCAGGTCATAAATCCAAAGTCTTTGATGGTTATAAGGAAGCAGGACCACTAGGGGGCAGTGTGGACCAATATTGCTCAGTGTATACAACCAGTCTGGCCAAAGAACACCTGTGACTAGGGATCTGCTGCTCAATATGGCTGTTTATAAAGCCACCAAGGGAGAATATTGTCTTTGCACAAACAGGAGAGCATACATGCGCAAAGATATTTCATTTATGCGGTACTCTTCAAGCTGGTGTCGCAGGTATTATATTTGCATCATGTGGTCAGGTTGCCTCTTGCAGACATTTCTCTAGTTTAAGTCCTGAATCAACAATTTTGGACCTTGCGTTTAAATATCAAGTTGTTCAAATCTTTATTCAGACCGTGCACTGAGCTGGTATTTTATGTGTAAAGCATGCTAGCAGACAGCTGTGTCCTCCACAGGCTCCAAGGGCAGAACATTTGGGCTGTCATCTTCCTCTCCTCCTAAAGTGAAGGGCATGCGGCTGTGACTCACCACCTGTTTTGTTCCTCCCGAGGGCTCAGATATATCTAACTGAACACAGCTTTGTGGTTTAGGCCACGTCTCATAAGATAGGAGATGATTATTGATCAGGTGAACCTTATCAACACTTCTGAATCCTTCTTGAGTCGGGTGGTTTGTGAATATCAGGCCCTGCAGCATAATAACCAGTAGATTGGATCTTGGTGCCTGAGTCACCCCGCTGCTCATTACCAGCTCTCCAATGCTCACTGACAGACTGGAGAGGTGAAAGGGGGGAGATGAAACGCTTGTATGATATGGAGAGGAACAGATGTTGTCTTTGTTGCCCGTGTGTTTGTGTGGTGAGGAGCCCTGTGTCGAATCTACATAATGAGAGGTGCTTCGCTTGCTTTGCCCGTGTGCTGCTGAGAGGTGTGTACCTGCGGTAGTGAGCTCTAGATCTCTCTTCACAAACGCTTTTCTCTTCTCCTCGAGCAGCTGGCTGGGTATCAGACCTGCGCTGCCTCCCTCTATGTGACAGGCCTGTGGGGAGGATCATGCACATTACAAAAGAATGAGAACGCAAGATCATAACTGACACACAAAAAAGATGAATATTTGCATTTGTGGTCGGCACTTGAGCTGACCTGCCACCAGTTGAGGTCCTCCTGGTTGAAAATCTGCAGAATATCACCGCTGTTAAAGCTGAGCCCTGCTTCCTTACAGGGGATCAGGTTATCATGGGATGGATCGTAGTCAAAGTGACATTTAACAAAGGCCTGAACAGAGATAAAGGGAGACAAAGAAGAGTAAATATGTCAGTAAAACTGCAGAAAAATACACATTAAGCTAAATTAACCAGCTGGAGATGTAAACTTAACCTGCCAGGGCTGCGGTGTATGAAAAGTACATCATTATTGATGAATTAAGTGAATGTATGTCAATCACTACACAACAACCTTGAACATTTGAACACCACTCCATCTCTTTGCTCACTTTCCCGACATTTCAGGGATTCAGCGCTTAAACTAAACTGTGCATCCCAACCCCCACTGACAGGACAAGGAGGCTGAAAGACAGACAGACAGACAGGAAGAGAGGGAGGGAAAGGAAGAGAGAGGCAGAAATAAAGAGGGAGAGAGAGAGAGAATGAGGGAGAGAGACAAAATCTGTAGCCATGGCAACCATCCCCTCCCCCTAGCTGCACTTGACACTTTTCTCGTACTGAACTGATGCATGGAAATAAAAAAGACTGTCAGCCCTTACTGTACAGTGTGTGTCTGTGTGCACGCATGTGTGTGTGTGTGTGTGTGAAGACACAATAGGCACAAGCACACACTCATACACACACTCTGAGTCTCAAGTGGCCAAAGGGAGCTGTCAGCTGAGTTTAGTCACCATGCGATGACCAGGCCCAAGGCGTGAAACAGAGACAGCTGGATCACATTCAGAGAGAACTTTGGGGAACAACTCTAATCACTGCATCTCCTCAAACTATACAACATCCACCTACACAACTCCTTAAAGTGGAACCACAGTCAAATCATTCTTTAAGATCTCTGACAGACAGCCGCTGTTAAGTGTTGGAGTAGGCACTTTGATATCCAGAGCTGATGCCACTGAAAATGAAAACCAAACACTCGTGCTCTCTGGTTTCACAGAGCCAAGGATCTCCAGACAATTTACTGTAGAAATGTCTTCCCACAGAAAAGCCGGCATCTTTTTGAAATGTTGGAAAGAGCTGTGACTCAGAACCCACTCCTTTTAGTGAATAACCCTTAGAAATGGAGGGATATGAAGTTCTTTAACATGAAAGCAATTTTGGAGGATTTCTGCCAGATAGGTTGCTACACTTCAGAGGTTTCACCAGAGCAAAGTGAGGAAAAAAAATCTTTTTTTTTTCTCTTAAGATGTAAATTACTAATTTCTTGTGTAAACCTGCCAATTTGAGTCTGGTATTTTGCATGTGTTTGCTCTGATCTGTTGTGCTAATTTAAAGCCAACAGAATATTGTAACAAGAGTCTGCAGTCTTGCTAGCTGCTCAGAGCTAAATGCAAATGCCGGTCTGGAAACATGCCCAACATAACACTGTTAACATCAAAATTTTTCAGCAGTGGTTTTAATTATTTCGCTTCTCAGTTTAGTGTGCCAGCATGGTATCATTTGCAGAAGATCAAATGGTATCAAGCACTGCTGAGGCTAATGGAACAAATTAGTCATTAACTCAACAGACAAGCGAATGGTTTACCTGATGATGATGATGGTTCTAGAGGAAACATTGCAAACAGGAACATAGAATAAGCTCAGCCTTGATTTCTGCCACTGCATCACAACCTCTCTACTTGGCCTCTTCTTCCTCGGCAGAGGCTTATCAAAATGGGAGACCAGGAGTTATGAGGGCTCTCTTTGAAATCTGATTTGACACTACTAGTACCTTCAAAGAGGCAGCACTCATGTCATATTCAATCATTTAAGTGTGTTGCAACAGGCTGGTAGGAGCTAGTGTTAATTTTGACAGCAGATTTTAAAGTAGTAAGAGTCTCTGTCATTTTTAAATTGATGCTGATTTTAGTGATATTATTTCGTCTTGTGTTGTTTTAGTCAAATCAATTAAGTGGAACATTAAAATGAAGATTTAGTCAGAATTGACTTGAACAGTTTTATAACAGAAATGGGGACAAAAGAAATGAGAGTGACATACTTATCCCTAACACATCGAGTTCTGCTGCCTCATCAGTAACTACAACCACAAATTCAAATGTTCCCTTGAGGATCGCTGGGGATCACCGGTCGGCGATTGTGGTTAAAACCCCTTTACCCTAACGTAATCCTAACACAATTTTTTTTTTAAATGTGCTCCTAAATAGGTCCTGGGCAGTGATTTTAACCCTAACCCTGAACCCTGAACCTAAACATAACCCTAAACACTTGGAAAAACTGTGTCCGATTTTGCTATAAAGGGTAGCAGCCCCAGACAATCCCATTCAACGGGATTGTTTAAATTGCCCATAACTTTTGAATGCAACTTAGTAGAGATTTCATTCCAGTACTGCTGAACTCAGGGTACACGAAATAGGGTGCATTAGTCTTGATCCCAGATCTCTATCTCATTCCCTTGAGGATCACCGGTCAGCGGTCCATACTTACGATTATTACTATTCTGCTTTCTCTTATAACATTAATGATAATTATTTAACTCATTAAGGCATTAAGCAAAGGAGAATTAAAGTTACCACTCCATTGTGCAACAAGAAAAGGTAAAAAAAGAAACCCCCCACATTGATATATCATCTGCATGATTCTTACATAATTGCTGTTTGAGTAATTATAAATGGTTAACTCAGAGAGGGGAAGGAAGAGGTTAGCAGAAACTCCTCATTAAGACATGAATTGGCCCTGGGTAAACAGTGGGTCACACATCTGTGTTCTTTCCCCTCCCTCTGTAAAGAGCGCTTGTTAACAGTCCGTGCTTTCAAACACCACAAGCTGACAGCACACTGGGCCTCCAGCTCTCTAAAAACTTGCTTACCACCAGGCAAACAGATCTCTCCTGGGGAAACCCTGACCTGGAAAAGTCAAAGGTTCACTGAAGTCAGCGGAGGACATCCTCTGACTCTTTCAGAGATTACAAAATTTGATCCATTCAAAGTAGCACCATTTTGGAGATTCAATTTTTCAGCAAATATGCGACAATATGCCTGGAATGCATGTTTTTTTTTCTCTGCTCATGTTTTAAGCACATCAACCCTCTCTACATCATTTTCTTGAAGATTATGTTCCAGTATATTTCAGCCTGGTGCAGTGAATTCATTTGGCATGGCTCCTTCCAGTCCTAGTGTTCCTCTCTTCTTCTGCTGAGAGCGATCAGTCACAGCGCCTCGTGCCTCGCACTGCTCTTGCCGTACATGCTGGTTTGCTGTATCTACCAATCACACTGCCAAGATAACCCTCACAGTAAACTGGGTCACATTTTCAGTCTGACTGGCCTCCTGCGGCTCTTGGAAAGCTGGTGTTCATTAGCCAGTTAAACCCCTTAGAGATCCACAACCACTCCAAGAATTTTTCACCGAGTGTTTTTTAAGCTGCTATAAAACACTATCCTGACTTTTTACAACAAATATTGATCTCCAAAAACCTGATAATCTGATAGGAGTTTCACTGTCATGAGGAAGATCTTGAGTGGAGAAAAACTGACAAGGACTGCAGTGTCATGAGCCGTTTGTGGAGTCACTCTTTTTTATCTCTTGTAGGGGGTAGACTTGAGTTATTGATCCATTATGTATGAGCAGAAAAATGACTCTGCATTTGGATAAGTGACAAAATTGTAATGTTGGTACCACAGCCAAGTAGCCAATGTCATCTACAAAGTCCCTCTGTAGATCAGATATATGATTCCTGGCACAGCAAACAAGGTTACAGACGTAAGAGGGATGAGCGGAGGACAGCGAGTGCCACTTTAACTGATAAAAATGACAGTGTCCTTTCAAAGTAATAATAAAGTTTGGTACAATATACACCACAGGATCAGAAGTGAACTTTTTAAAGAGTGTAAGATTCAGCTGCCTGTGCTCACCTGTCTGGGTGTGTGTGGCTCCTGGTAGCTGGGCAGGATCTTCAGCACCACGCTGCCACTTGCCTCCTTCAGCATCTCCTGCAGCACTTTGGGGTCGTTGCCCACCTCCTTGCCGTTTACCTCCTTGATGATGTCGCCCACGTGGAGTAGACCCTGCTGGTCAATCATGCCGCCGTGGAGGATTCTGGCGATCACCAGCTCGCCGCTTTCCACTCGAAATGTTACTCCCTTTAAGACACAAGTTTAAGTAAACAATGTATCAAAAGATTGAGGCACTTCTTCATTAGCCTCACCTCACCAGGAGGTCACATCAGCTTCTCACAGTCATGATCACATGATTTTAAGACAGTCTGCCTTTTTTTAAACAGATCTAGCATGGCCATTCATTGCTAGTTACTTTCCCCACTTTCAGTTTGTTTGTGCTCATTATAAAAAGTTCCATTTTGTTGGATCTGTAACTTCTTACAGGTAGGCAGCACACTTAAAGTGAACACCTCAAGTACCCCCACAGAGAGCTTTGAATAACTTAACAGTTTGCAGAGACTTTGCGGTAGAAAGTGAGACAAACGAGCACCTGATAGAGATATTTCTGAGCGCTCAGTATTTAACGACAACATGTCAACCTTATTTTGAACTACAGCAGCGCAAATCCAACGTGTTCCTCTTTTTAACAATGCCACAAAAAGATCCCATTATACTGAGTGCACTCACGGCTCCGAAAACACAAATCAGATTTTTTATGGCTGAATTTTATCTCTTCAGAGTTTACAAGAGGACTCTATCCCGCCTTAGTGATTACAATGGCTTACTGTGCAGACTCACCAGGTGCTCTCCAGACACTTTTCTTATTCCCACCATCCTGACTGCATCTGGAGGAACAGGCTGGTTGTTGAGGGCTGCATCCATGAAGGAGCAGGGGCTGGGTGGAGGGGTCTCATAGTTTTTGGAAGCCACAGAGTCATGGGTCTCCAGGAGGGACTGTAAGCCAAAAAGCAGGTGAAACAAACAACAGGAAAAGCTTTTTTTTTCCTCACAAGAGCCCATAACATTGACTTGTGCAGTACAGCACAAAACAGGTGTACATGTCAGATAGTGCGTGGACTGAAACATAATCTTCCGGAGCTCCAAATCGATTTAATCCATGCTAGCACAGCATGCATCATTAAGCATGAACATCACTTTGAAAAAGTAATCAAAGGTTTTTAGCCTGAGTGCCTTTTAATCAAGGCTAGAGCTTGCAGTGAGCTGTGAGGCTTGTTCTCCTAACCTGAAAGTGAGGCTCCTTCAGGATGCGGACCAGCTCATCGGCCGCCTGGCTCCTGTGTGCAAGTGGGCTCAGCTCCTTCAGGATGTCCTGGACTAGCTCCACGTTGTTCTCCCGCACAGCCTCCAGCTTGGGTTCCTCAAACTGCTCATGAGCCTGGAATATAATAAATATGACACCAGATGATCTGTTAAAGTGTTTATTTCAAAAGGTTCTTGCTGTGAAAAGAAATTGATAACATTTAGATCTTTTATCATCCTTCCCCGTGGGCAGCTGAAGCACCAAGCTGAGTTATAATAAATCTTTTCTATTTGTTTTCATTCAGGGATACAGAAAAGGACGTGATAACAAACTGCAACTCTTGCTGAGAAAAACAGACAGCCTGTACTCATAAATCTTTTCAAACAGGCTTGAAAACTAAGAAAACTAAGAGCAAACATTAGCCGAACTTTGTGCCCTAGGATCTTTTTGGTGTTGCTACTAAACATCAATATTTCAGGGGAGATTTATTTTTTACTTTCTCCTCCTCTGCTGCCACGGTTCAGCAAGTATCGGGCATGAATTCCACCTCTCTGGTCGAGGGCAGAGATATCATGAAATGAAAAAAGGATTATTTTCCATCTGGTGCATTTTGGATAAGTTTTATCTGGCTGCTGCATATCAGTTGTTATTTTTCATGTTTTGTGTAAAACATCTGTCAATCGATAATAGACCACCACTTATAAATATCTTTGAACTTATAAAAACCAATGAATTCCACAAAAAGGCACCAATTCTGTACAAATAATTGAAATAAAAATTGAAACAGGCAACTCTATTAACATGTGTTTTTAATTTCATATAGTGGCATTACTTGACACTGACACTGCACCCCGAGCAGTCTTAATTCTAACTTTCCCATTGTCAGGCGATCCCTCGGAGGATTCCTCTGCTGGGACTGTTCTGGCAGCCACATTGTTTGTTTTCTGAGGAAGAGAGGAAGCATCCCGCCGAGGGACAGGATACAGCACTCACATACACACAAACAGATACTAACAAGTGACGACATGTAAACGGTCTTGCACAAAAACCGTTGTGTACTTTTGCACACACACATAAGTGCACACACAGGGGGTAAAAGCACTGCACACACACATCGAATCATTTGCACATGGACTAACATACAGGGAGGGAGATCTTTAGTCCTGTGCAGTGAAACAGCAGCAGGGCTTCGCTCAATTGCTGTTCTGGCAGGATTCTGTGTAACCTGATGGAGCGAGCTGTCAGTGTCTGGCTCTGGGTCAACATCACCGCATGGACACTGCGCAGTATAACTGTAGGGTTCTCAGTGCTGTGGACATTACCATTTACTTTCCTGAGGGGTGTGTTTATTTTGACAGCAGACAGAATTAAGAGCAGGTTTCTACGATGGCCTTTTGTCTTGTACATTCTACTGTATAATTGTTTTGAATATAACTTGCCAGGAGCCTCACAGTGCAAGTGCAGAGTAAATATAAACACATATTTGCTTAAAGATGCTTAAATTCTCATTCTGACAGCCAGGCAGTATTTCTTTAATAAGTATTTTCTGGTTGTACTTAATTCTGATCAGTCAATTCCCAGAAGAACAGTGTATTTCTCAACAGCCAAATGTTGCCGGGGACAAAAATAATTCTGCATGTCACCACTTCACAAGAAACTGACTCTTGTGCAGGCAGTGTGTGTTTATGTACGTGAAAACACAGGCGCGCGAGTCACAACACTGCTACTATCACAGATACATGCAAAAAGCTTGATCAAGTGAGATGGATTATCAAACAGTGTTTTTCCTCACATCTCAGTGCTTGTTAACTTTTGGGCAAACGTGTGGACTGCTAAACCAACAGGACCACAGGGTGTTTACTTTCAGCGCCTCCTCCTGCAGTGCATGTACATTATGGAAATCATACGCAGAAGACAGTGAGTCTTCATTTAAATAGATGCTGATTAAACAATTATTCTAACATCAGCAGAAATGTGTTTTTTAGTCCAGGTGAGTCAGTGTTTATCAGTGCGGTTTATGTATGTAGTGATGTGTTTGCTCTCCCCTTTTCCCCCTTTTCCCCTTCACTCTCTACTTCTCCATGCTGTGACAAAGCTGCTGTCAGAAGGCTGGACACTGTTATATGATTCGATTTGAAATAAACAAATGGACTGAAAGATCCAAATTATGTATAGTGTTATCCTGTTTATAACCACAAAAAAGACATCTGGTTTAAATTCCAGTATTTATCATATTTAAACAGGAAAAAAATATACTTTAGTTTGCTTTCAACATCACACAGTCCTATTGTGCTGTCTTAGGCTGGTCTTGAGATCAAGAAATGGTGATAATAACTGCACACAGATGCGAGAGCAGCCTGAGGAGCAACTATCTCTAAAAGGAAAAAGTAGAGCAAGACTCTGTCCTGCTTTCAAGGCTACAGCAGAGGAGCTAGTGAGTACAACTCTGGTACTGCTTAAGTTGGTAGCTAGGTAATAAGCTGGGTCATGTGCAGTAAAGGGGTGGTTATGCAAATGCTAATCCCCTCAGAGTGAGACAAGACCCATCTGCTTCGCTTCAGGGTCCTGTTCACCCTGTCGGGATTCTAATATGCATAACCACCCACTCATTATACACTATTCCTTCCCTAATAGGCCTCATGGCACAATTTCACTAAGACTACGGGGCATCATCACAGGGTGAGACAGAGGTTAATTTTGAAAGTAAAAGCATTATAGTTTGATGTATTAAAGCAAGTGTCTGCTTACTTGGCTGTCCTCAATTCCTCCACAGTCGTAATTGTTCAGTTCGATAAAGAGTCAAACACTGAATCAGTACTGCAGTCTGAAACGCTCTTTTTCTTTAACTCTCTTTGTCAACCAATCATGATTCACATTTATCATAGAAGGGAGGAGCAGGCTGATTGTATCATTTAGTAGCAAGTGTGGTGCTCACTATATGATTTACCTTATTCTGCTATTCCTACTCTCAGTCTGACCAATATGAAGGGTTTATAGATCCTCCTTAAGGGTCAAGAGAGGCTATCATCTTAAAGTCTTTCACACATCGTTCAGTGAGGTGTCTTTACCCAAAGCTTGCATCAGCAGATCTTTTATGAGAGTGCTCATCAATACACTGGTACCACCAAGCGCCCTCAGACAAGCTAACTCATACATAGGAAATCAATCCGTCTTTAGTGAAAGGAAACCAAGTACAGTATGAGGAATGGGTCTAGAGGGGAGCTGAAGCAGCTCTGTGTTCAGAAATATCGGAGGCTTTTGATGCAGTACTCCCTGCTGCTCTCTGTGGATAGTCCATCTCCACATTTCCTGAACAGGGCAGCCTCTGAATTACTGAAGCAGTCCACACAGCTTTTTACCTCTGGCTCTGCCCGAGTTTCAGAATCTGCCCACAGACTAATGCATCTCCACGGACAAAGAAACCTCATGGCCACAGCATCCACCTCGGCACAGTTCAGCTTACACTGACTGTGCAGAGTAAATGCTGGAGAGATAAATGTGGTAATCCATACTAATGACTGTTGACAGCATAAAGAAAAAGGATGAATCTCAGGATATGACTGCCTCTGTGGTTTAGCTTGCATACGTTTGCAGTGCACAGCAAAGTACTTTTTCCTTCTCTTGCACACACTTTAAAAAGGTTTGTGAAATTTTGCTCTTGGCAAGAAGAAGTGAAAGTGGGAGACTTCAGCAAAAGAAAAGAACAGGAGACACAGTGGGATGAAACTCTAAAAAGACTTTGTCACTCTTGAGCTCCTTCACTCTTCTTCCTCCACATCAAAAAGCGTCACTCTGCCAGAGCAAAACCAGTTTCCACCACGTGAGCGTAGAGAGCTACTGGGAGTTGCTTCATAAGATCAGCTTTGCACAAGGAAAACTAAAAAAAACTTTTTCTACAAAGTTAGTTCTGCAGAAAGTATACTTTTTAGGAATCAGTTGAAGTTTCATGAAGAAAAAAAAATATGCCTGTTTGTTTCTCATTATCTTTGGTATTGAACATGATCAGATACAGAGTAACAGAACAGTATCGTCTGCCTAACAACATATATTATGTTAAGTTATCAAAGAAATGGCATTATTCTATGAATGAAAAATAATACAGAGCTCAGAAGTGATCCTTGTGGAGCACCTTTGGTTGATACTAAAAACTCTTAGTGGATATTTTCAGCTTTGACATGCTAAAAACTACCAAAAGAGGCTATTCGAAAACTAATTAAGGAGTGGCATCAAACCAAGAATACTGCTTCCAATCCAACACAAGAGAAGATGTGAATTTTATCCAGAAAATTAATCTGTTTTAGAGTACAATATTTCATCAAGGTATGTGAGGGAAATAATCGCTGTATGCCATGATTGCTACCTGAACCAGTATCGGCCCTGAAAAACCAACTTACTTTTTCATAATCAGGACTCTGCACCAACTTAAGGGCCATTGGGTTCAGAATTAACAGTTAATATCATTTATTTTCAATCAAAACCTGGTTAAACTGAGGCTGGATACAGTCGACTGGTTTAATGTCTCAGAGGCACAGTGTCGGTGTTTCGGTGTAAAGTGTGACCCTTTAAACTGTTGACCTCCAGCTGAATCTCTAGGAGTCTCTTGCAGATGCCTTGAGTTTTTCATGGCTGAGGAGTTCATTGAAACGTTATGATACAAAAATGAACTTTGTTGCATTTTCAGGGATCCTGTTTGTTGAATGTCAACACGATCACCTTTTTTGGGGACAACCCATGTGGCTCTAAAACAGCGTTGAATGGTATAACCTGAGTCCATGGTTAGAATATTGATTCTGACAACTGACAGCCAAATACAAAGACATTTTAATGCCAATAATATTTTGATTCTGAGTCAAAAGCTTGCTTACTTGACTAAGTGAAAAGAGCAAATTGCTGCTTCCCATGCCAAAATGCTGCAAATGCCTGTCTTTGATGACATCAACCCACCAACAAAAGCCACCAGAGAGAAGACTGATTAAATCAATGTTATTTTATACGGCTGTCATTCCCGTCAAGGACAGGTATCAGATGATGAGCTCAACAGCATGTTGCCAAAAAGCCTTTTTAAAACCTTCATTGAGTTCAGCATGTCAGGCATTCATAAAAAAGGAGAGATTTTAGTCTCTGCTTTCACAAGTGAAGGACAAGATCAACGAAGTGTCAACCTGCTCCACACAGGGGGTCACCTGTATCATCAAAACCAGAAAGGGCCTCACGGGAGCTCTAGTGTAAACTATTTTTTTGTTGACTACAGCAGATTAATAACAGAGTTTGCTTGAATGAAAGACCCATAGCCTTGGAAAAACAACCTTGATTTGCAAAACCTGTGGTTCAGTGTGGTTCAGATGACCTACATTTTTTTATGGGTCATCTTTTGAAAATCTGCCACTTAATTATTTAATTTGATTCAGTTACAAACCTGTGATGAAGAGTAAAAAATGGAACTGACTAGGGCCCCATAAAGCCACCCAGGTTCAATTCCAGCTTGTAGCTCCTTTCCTGCATGTCTCTCTTTCCCCATTTCCTGCTCCATTCACTGTCCTGTCCTGTCAAATAAAGGCTAAAGTACATCTTTAAAAATATATGACAGCCCCGTTCAATACAAGCCTGTACATTTGCATCAAGCCCTCAGCTTGAACGTTCAGGAGGGTTTTTTCTATCTAATACGTTTAACATTATGGCTGTCGTTCATTCCTGGATCCTCCATTGATCAGGTGTTCTGCTGCTCCACCTGCACTTGTCAACTTGTCAGAAATGTCACGGGTCCTGTGCTGCTCACTGTCTGCTATTTCAATCTTTCTCTGTGATTGGCAGTGGAGATGTTGTGTTGCCTTGTTAAAATGACTGACAGCAGGGAAACAGTGGAAAATTTTTTACAGTCTTTCAAAAAGAAAAATGGGTTTTGTGCATGGCTCTACTTAAAAAAGAAAGCTTTATGCCAGTCGCAAAGCAAACACAATGGCAGGTATTTTTATTCAAAGTGAAAAACTTTTCAAATGTTTTTAATAACACAACCTCTGTCTGTGCAAGTGAAATTTCACTACACTGTTCTCTAAACTTTGGCTATCTGCTCTAACCATACACCAATATATTCACTAAGCCACAAACAGCAGTGTATTATATATTCTGGTGTGTACAGCATCCCTATCAGCATTACCTCTCTGCCGTCCACTTTATCAATAATACATCCATCATCAAGTCCAGCAAAGCTTTAACAGGGAGAGTCTGAATGTAAGCAAGGAAACACAGCAGCTTTTTGTCTCATCTGTTTCCAAGTTTAAACTTCATGTAAAAGTCTCATCATGCTTTTTATTGTAATGCTTTTAAAGTCATAATGTAAAGTTGGCTGGTGGTAATACAAATTAGCATTCCTTTAGGCATGGGAATTGTATTTTTTCTTCATAGCGCCAACCGTTTTTTGTGATGTGTTTGCCGCAGTGTTTGATCAAACTGCTTTCTGTAGTTGTCCCTGATGGAGATCAGGCTATACAGAATTAATCAGTGTTGTTCTGGGGTTTTGACAAATCAGAATCAGGTATTTATCACAGCTGGGAGATGTGTGAAAGAGCCAAGCCATTAGAGTGCTTTAAGCCTCTGAAATCTGCACCACTAGGTTAAAAAAAAGAAATAAAAAACATTAATATTCGACTCAGAGAGAAGTCACATCTTGATGCTTTACACTCGAGTCTTTGTGCATACAAATCAAAGAGCCAAAAAAATGCAACAACTTGTATCTCGTCCATTTCTCAGGCTGCTGATGAGAAAACAACAAAACAACACTGTAAACATGGTAATGTGATTGTGCTTGAAGAATTTTGAGCAGTATTTTAGTAAAATAATTGGAGGCTTAGATTTAAATTTAAAATGTAATAACAGCTTTGAATAATATGCTTCAATTTATGAGATCATTTCAATAAAACTTCTCATAACGCATGCAAATCTCTGAATAAATTGTCAGGCACTGAATATGATTGTTAATGCAGGGGAAAAGCGCATGCAAATGATGATATTCTAATCCCATTTCCTGTAATACAAACATTTTGGACGTTTCTCCAACTTTTTAGAAACACTTTGAAAATGTAAACGTGTGTACTTGCATAACCTCGATTTTGCAGCAGGTACACCAACAGGCATCAAAACAAATGCAGGTAGTGTTATGTTGCTGAAATTTAATTATATTATCTAAGGCTCTTATTCATTGACTTGTCCATTAGTGTGTCTGTCCCTGAGCACCATCCAATTACAATGCTTTGACCATACTGGACTGCATGTCACACACACACAAACAAACATAAATCCTCATACATATTAACTGTTCAGTGTCGAGTTGCTCTCTCACCACTGGGCTCTCCATGATGCCTTTGAGGAAGATGAGGTCCAGGTCATTGGCAGTCGTAGAGCTCGTGCTGTCGCTCAGTGTGTCCAGGGCCTGATGCATGGCTACAACCGCACAAACACACACCACAAACACACACAAACAACAAACGCACACAGACACAGAAAAAGAAAAAAAAAGTTATTTTCACTCCATCCCCCTCTCCATATGCTCCAGTTACCCATGGGAAACAGACTGAACAGATCGACTCAAAGAAAGGGAGGGAGGGAGAGATTGAGCACATTTACAGTAGCTGGCACCACATGGCTGAATGAGAGGAGGTTGGAGGAAAAGTAAAGGGGAGGGAGGAGGGAGGAGAAAGGGTGGGAAGCTGGCTTGCATCCTCTCCTTTGCAATTTCACCTCTGTCACTCACCCTCCCCTCTAAGTGACAGCATCTTTCTCCCACTACTCCCAACTCCTTCCCTCTCCCTCCTACACTTGTGTCAACAAATCACATAAAACACAAGGTGGGTAAACAACATTAGCTGCCACTGCTAAGAAAATGAAAAGTTTTGATAGTTTGCATGCCTAGATTGAAATACAGCACATAGTTTAGAAGATGGATTAGTCTAGACAGGAACAGAGTGAGAGACATTTTAGGTGTTTTGTTTTGTTTCTGGCAAAGTTTCCTGCCAAAGGACCCCTCGGCATGTGGGCGACTACCTATCTTCCATCTGGTCTACAACCAGCACTACCACTAAGTCAATGAGCCGCCCAGCTCTACCAAACAAACTTTTGAAGACCAACTTTTTGACATGGAAAAACAAACTTGAATTGGAAATGACAGTAAAACAAACACATTGCATCAAACGAGCACGTCGCCTTGAAAACAAACTCTTGTTTTCAGTGTTTTTTCAGGCTGTCAGATTAAAGTCACACACGCACATTGAAGACAATCTTTGTGTGCTTGTAGTCTTTGGACACACTGTGGGACACTTTGGTTGGTACAGAGCTGCCAAATGACTCTGATGTGCCGATAACCATTTTTCCCCAAATCAACATCATAAAGCCTCTGATGTCTGCTTACTTGTCCCATTATTGTGTCTTTGTGTCTCCTCAGCTTTTATCATGCTGGGGCTGTGGTTGTGAGTGAGGGGTGTATATGCTGATAAATAAAATCATGCCATCCACTGTTTTCACATCTTGACACTAAATCCTGACAATGACAAGTTTCCTTCAAACCTAATCTCATTCTATCTAATATTTGGGACAATGTAAGAATCAGAGCAGTGCCAGCTGTCAGTGTAAGTTCAGTAAAACTACCGGGATGCAGGAGATATCAGCTCTAACCCTTTACTGATAAATATTATATTTAATTAAAGCTGGTGAATCTATAAAATTGAGCTCTGTAATGTCAAATTTGTGGGTTCTTGGATGCTCTTAGATGGATGCAAGACTTTCGTGAATGCAATTCATTATCTTAGCTTGTTTTGTTACTTCATCATATCAGAGGCTGGCCCTAAAACAATTATCTTTGTTAAAGCTCATGTTCACCATTTGGTATTTACAAATCTGATAATTATAGTCTCATCCTGCTCGTCATAACAGGGTGCTCCATCCGGGTCAACTCACTAACCTCTGTCCTGGAATCGGCATCACAAAGGACAAAAATGGAACTGAACGCTCTCTAGTCCATGAAGCACAGAAGAAATCAAAGGCACTAAGCTTATCTTTGCAAGATGAAATCACAAGACTTAAACACAGGCATGACTCATCGGGACAACTAATAATATGCAGATGCAGAGCGATGACAGCAGGGAAGTCGGGAAAGGTTCATTCTACATCTGAAACGTCACTAATGAGACCGAATGTGACGTACGACAGCACCAAACACTAATAAATCACCAACTAAGAGGAATTTATCACAGCAGCAGACGTGACTGCCAGAGGAGTGGGCTTTTTTATTCACCGGGAACATTTATCTGCTGTAATTCACTCAACAAGTCTGTGCTAAAAATAAAACACTGGCTTTTGATTTTCTCAGGCAGATCGGTGGTCCATCAAAGATCCATCCTGCACGACACACGTCGCAGGTCTCATGTCCAAATAAGGGCATAACAGAGCTCTAAGAGGTGGTTGGTCCAATTAGAGGGCTGGAAATTTGTTTTGTTGGAAGAGAGTTAATGCAGGTTGCTTTCTGTGAGCTTCAATTACAGATAATCATGTTTAAGATGATCTGTACTTTAAAGAGTAAAGCTGTGAAATCACTGCTAATCACACTATATTTTAAACAACATTAGCAGTATCACTGGACTGTAGTGAAATGTGCAGAAATACTGTTTAGCTGAGCTTTGCTGTGAGAGTGGAGGCAGATAATATATGAAAATATTATTTCTACATGCACTCTGTTGGTTTATATAAAACACGCAGCCATGCACTTCAAGATTCTTTAAGAAGTTTTTAGCTGATTATGAAAAAGGCCGAGACCTAACTTTAAGTCTCTATATGACCTACAAAAGCAAAAGAAACCATCAGCACTAAGATGTATTATTTCTATGAAGTTAAAACTTTCCTGGGGTAGGTGTCAGACAAGAAGAATTAGCAGCAGGTTATGAAAATGGGCTTTGTTTAGATTTTATAGTGCACAGTTTAACAGCCAGCAGGACTAACTTTTCAGTGATAAACAACTCAATGGTGATGTTAGAGAGGCATTCAGGTTCAAGCATACTAACATGCTGAGCTTTCAGACTGCCAGCAAGAATCTATAAAGCCCTTATTATTAATCACAAGTGGTGCACATCTCTCGACAGGTTCTCAACCCTCCATAAACAATATTTGTGTCAACCACTGAAAGAAACTTTCCAGACATGAAATTTAAAACAAAGTTACTCTTCCTGGATGCTTTTTTAAATGAAAATCTCTTTTTCTATAAAGTGACTTTGTTTTTACACAATGCTTTTATTCTGAATGTGTATCCGAATGAGTGAGTTAACTTGAAAGCTCTTTGTTTGGGTCCCAGCTGAACTTTATTTCAATGTCATCCTTTCCCTTTGGCCTCAAAGTACCATACGGCACAAATTTTGGGGTCACATGACAATGATGATGGAGGGCGGGATGAGTGCAGCCATGGAGATCAGAATGTACGAGCACATGTACAACATTGACAATACAAGATGAACACAAAAATTCACACGTGGATCTGTGTGGTTATTCATATGTGCAGCAGTTAAGTCTGGAAACTTAAAGAGGAAACACATGCAAGCTGATGTTTAGCATACTATTCATCACTGACACTACATTTGAAGTAAACACAAAAAATCAGCTAAATCACGAGTTAAGTTATTACCTCTGCACTTATTTGTATTGAAATATAATTTGAGTTTACGCAGTGAGCATTTCTGTGAATCTGCCATTCTTTGTAATAACTGTGTAGTCTTCAAATTCAATACTGCTGTTAAAATAGACTTGTTAGTCTTTATTGTGCGTCAAATAGTCAGCAACTACTAGTCAAAGACTAGTCAATCGACTCAGCAGATGATCTTACGTCTATGTCAACACAAAGGCATTCTGGTCAAAATAAAGAATATCTTGGCCACTAACACACAGACACACACACACACACACACACATACACACACACACACACACACAGACACACACACACACACACACACACACACACACACACACACACACACACACACGCACGCGCACACACACACACACAGTGGCTGATGATCATTCAGGCATGAGCTTTCTGTCTTGGAAACACCAGCATCATTTTACCTCCTCCAGGGAAAGCACAGAGATGTAGTGACAGGTGTTGTCTATGTCCAGGAAGGAAAACCGTGTCGTCCACCGAGTCAAGTCATTCTGTTCTCACGAAGCACCAAACCAAACAACACGAGTCCACTAAGCTCAGCTGGTATCCTATGAGCAAGCATGGCAGACCAAGGAGGAACCACTTCATGTTAAGAGTCAAGGCTTGTTTTTGAATCACCACCAGCCTCACAACCTGCAAGTCAGGAAGGTCTAATCAGACTGTGAGCAAGGTGTGCTGTTTGAGGCCGTGCTTCACAAAATACCTGTTGAGTCTGCCGCTTTCAGAGAACCAGTTAGCAAAATACCAGCGAGAGGAGAGGCGGGATGCATTACTAAGAGTGCTGAAACAAAAACCAGTTATTCCAACATGCCAAGTAAAGCAGTAACTCAGTTAGTAATGGGCTGTATTTATGAAGTGCTCTGACCATTTAAAGTGCTTTTACATTAGATGAGAGATAGAGAGGAAAAATATAGACCACACACCAATCACTCACCTCAAATATGAACAAATTGCTGTTTCTTATCAGTACAGCAGACTCTCTTCTGACAATTGAATCATGGTTTTCTTGGTTATTCCCATAGACTGTATATACTATGGACAACTTGGTTCCGCCTCCCGCCAGTATACGGATTTGAAGCCAAAAAGCTCTCAGTATTTCCGCAATTTTTCTTCATTTTCTGAAACCAGCACTGCGCAGTAGCGTTGTGCGCATTCGGCGGAAGAGTCACTGAGAGTCGCTGTGATGACGCTCGGCCTAAACAGAGTTTCCCCGGGGTGAGCTATGTAATCCCTGAACGCCAATAGGCTGTATCAGGTGTCAATCAAAGAAAACATGAACCCCCAAAAAACTTTCAAAAATGGAGCTGCACAGAAAAAAGAGGACTTGAGCACAAACCAGTCTTACAATAACTACATGTCGACATCGCAAGCAGGGGGGAGAAAATTTTAAATTCTGTGTAATAAATTTCTAAAGTTTGTCCACAGCCCCATAAGCTTTGCTGGCGGAGGCGGGATTTATGACCTATACTGCAGCCCATCAACAGAGGGTGCTGTTCTTTGGAGTGGCTTCACCCAGCAAGGAGGCAGATGCTGTCCATTCTATATATAGTCTACGGTTATTCCATGGTAGGGCTAACAAAATAAGCCCTACCTACTACTCACTCATTCACATCACAATCTTTAACTAATGGCAGAGGTTGCTATGTAAAGCGTCAGCAATAATAACCAATCCCATTCACACCTGACAACTGACTCTACCTGTGAGCTTCAGTCAACTCCATTCAGTTCCTTGTTGATAGTCCAAGCCACTTGACACATTACTTATTTTCTGAAACATGTGAGACACTGTCTCCAAACTCACTTCTAGATCATAATCGATAGACAAGCAGAGTTGTTGAAGTCACCTGATACAGTGTATTCATTGTCGGCGCTGAATGTGGAGTAAGTGTTTTGTGTTTAACAAAAGCACAAGGTGTGTTATTCAGGTTTATCCTGATGCCGATGGATAATTGATGTTCCTTGATGGTTTTTTATGTTAAAGTGCTTAAAGAGAAGTAATGAGGTAATGGATATTTTAAGACTGAGCCAGAATCTATTTTCAGTCTTCTGCTGTGGAGTCTTGAAATGATTTGTTTTTGATAAAGACAAGAATCTTTCCTCCATGTTTCAATTAGAGGGTAAATATAAAAAGACAGAAGGAAATAAAAGCAAGAAGTCAAGAGGGAGAGGACTGGGATGATTACAGTGTCCATCCGCTCTGTGTCTGAATGATTTGATAAGTAAATTAAATAAATAATTACACGAATCTTGCGCAGTGAAGTCCTGTTTGTCTTCTATTTTCCCTTGAACAGCAGCTCTTTTCCAGCAGGAGGGTTGCCAGATTTGCGCCTGGCAGAGAATATCAGAGCAGCAGGCTCGGCTTACAGGTCCTGCATAATTCTCTTTAATCACTGCAACCGTACACCGGTGTTGTTGCCACGTCGGCACTTTTCCCAACGTTAGCCTGTCTATACTCACAGACCTATGTTGATTTTTCTCTCATTTTTTTCCCCTTTAAAATGTTCCCATTATACGCCATACTGAATTAATATTTTCATATTCTGAGTGTCACATATTATTTTCTCCTTTTCCTCTCCTCCTCAGCTCCAATCAGACTTTTCCATCCTGATAAAACTCAAGGCAAATCAGGGGAAAAAGAAATGGGCTTGATTCACATTAGATATTCCCTGATATCGTCACTGCCTGGCAGTAATAGCGGGATCATGAAGGTGTGAAAGGAGCTGGAGAATAATGGCCATTTTTCCACTGCTGAGTGTGCCTAAGGTCTTTCTATTATTCATGGGGATTATTAAAAATCCAACTTGTCCTCCTTCTCGGATTTTTCTGCCCTTCTTCTCCTAACATTCAGACATAAACGGGGTAACTTCTGCTGTTTTCACCAGATCAAAGGCCATGTCAGGTCAAAGGAGAAACAGGAGGAGGTTTCACATAGTGATATACAGTAACATTAACTTCATATTAAGATAACTGCAATCATGGCGTCCATCAGTTGTAATCTGATGACGACGACAATAGCTGTATTCTCTTTAGTTCTGGTGTAACCAACATTGAGTATTAATCAGCCTCAAGCCAGAGCTTCCTGTCTCTGTGTTGCATGCAGCTCACAGTTAAATCCTGACTTGAGAATTGACCATGTGTTCGGATGAAAAGCAAAGCAATAGTCACTTCTCCGGATATGTCTGCGAGATAAATGCTGTTACTTATCAATTCATTACACCCCCCTTAATAACACCTGTTTATCTGTTTCTGATGAGTCTCAGTTTTTCTGTAAATACTGAGTCAAACTGGCTTACTCCAGCTGTCAAACCTCCTAAAAAGTGGTTGTGATTTACTTGCAATCAAAAAGCATCAAATTTGAAAAAAAAAGAAAAAAAGTAAAAGGCAAATGTTTGTCATGTCTGCCCTCATGAAGAAGAGAAACTTTTAAAAGACTTTGTATTGAACTGAGTTTGGACTGATTCTCATCTCAACTAGGGCTGGGCGATACGGCCTCAAATCAATATCACGATATATTGAGCAGTTCACCTCGATAAGGACAAATGGATGAGAACTACTATGCAAGCTGCTCACCCCCTCCCACATTAACTTTGTCTACTTCAGCCCCACAACTTTTGAACTGTCCTCCATCTCCTCACCTGTCTTTCCCTTTTTGTTACAGACTGGATGTGGTGGAGTCACGTCTCCAACGTAGGACAACGTCTTTAAGGGACGTGAGACAATAGCCTACCTACACACATACAAAAACAACTTTTATTTATTTATTTATTTGATATCGAGTATGCCGATATGGGCAAAATGATGTCAGTTATTGTTGTAAATTTTGGTATAAGTAAATTTTTCGGTTTATCACCCAGCCCTAACCTCAATAATGTAAATGCTGATTGGCCTTTAAGACAAAGCTTCAGACAGACTTGCTGCTTAAGTTGTCATTTTTTATCCAAAGCAGGTTAAAAGGCTTGTTTTACATGCAGATCTCTGTTAAAAAGGAAAAAAAGGAATCAGCAGATTACCACTGTCCAAAGCTGTGATGTATTTGAGTTTTTTAACTGGGACATTATTATGAAAATTGTTCAGGATTACCTCATCATGTACAAAAAACTGGGAAAAAAAACTACAAACCAGGACCAAACTGCCTTTTTTCTTTCTTATTACCAAAAGCACTGATTATGTTCCCGCTCCTGTCTCATATTATATCTTCAAAGTTGCATGAAGACATCTGCTTAACAATGCACTCAAGTTTTTCCATCCTCTGAGCCTCTCCAGGTGAGAACTCAGGCGAAAGTCATTTCTCGCTTCAGTGAATCCAAATCCCTTATACAACGCACGGTAACTTGATACTATTAAAGGGCTCCATTTAGCAGATGAGGGTTTTAAGGTCACAACAAATGGACAAAAAAGGACTGAACCAACTTCATGTTCATCATGTGCTCTCTGGATACCATCTCTAAAGGGAAAAAATGAAAGCTCTTTACATGCTTGAGAGTTTTTTAAGTTATTTTATGTGGATTTAAGGTGTAAATGCCTGAGGACCTTATGTGAAGCAGAAAAAAGAGACAAATTTAATGTCCTTAGGAGACTGAGACAGTCAACACACATGAAGTAAACTGATTTACTTTGGCTTACACAGCTTTTAGAGCAATCCTTCAGGTACGATTATACCGAGCTATTCAGCTAGTACATATTAGCAATAATAACACACAGCAGTGGTCTCCTGCATCACCTCTCCACAAAGAGTACAAAATAACAAAAATGACAGCAGAGGACGTGTAATTACGAGGAACTCAAATTAAGGGTGCTTTTGTGGAGAAAAGTCTCATCAGAGCGGCTTCACCTCTAAGGAGAGTCACAATTAAACTCAATGTCACAGAGGCAGACAAACAATCTGGGCTGCTATTGTTTGTGGTCAGAGCACAGCGGGGGGATGTGAACCTCTCAGACGGCAGGTTGTTGTGTTGCCACGGAGCTGTGATTAGGGACAGCGAGATGAGCGAGCTGAGGTAGATGTGCTTGTGTTTGGGTTTTCTCAGCAGGCTTTAAACACAGGGGAGGACATTCGAGCTAACTCTTTCCTCTTCAAATAAGAGGTGAGAGAACAAGCTGGTTTGCAGAAATGTCTCCAGATGAACAATCTTTAAATGCTTTAAATGTCTTCCTGGGTAGATGTAAGTGTGTAAAAGAAGTTCTTGTTAACAGGTAATGTGCAAAACATAACTTAGTGCAATAAGTGTTTGTTTTGTTTTCCACTGACTCCAGAGGGAATCGTCTGGCTCCTTGGCTGCTAGCTGCTAACAGTGTCTGTGTCTGCCATTATGTGCTGAGAAAGTGGTGTACAGTTTTTTAGGCCTTTTTTTCACAGAAAATAGCTGCCTGTTGTGATCAAAAATTAGACTCTCAGTGCAGCGAAACTGAACCAAAATGATAAAGTTTGGGATTCAAGCTTAATGATGATCTGAAATTTTCTGCTCGGTTCCTTAGAGCTGAGAGGAGCTGCAGTTTGACATGAAAGATCTCTGTGGGTTTACCACCACAAACTAATAATTTCACATTATGAAGCTGTTTTTACCTTCTTATATGGTGAATCTATTGCAAAAATGTAAAAGTAATGTCCATGATCGTATGAGTATTTGCTTCTCAATGCAGTTCAGTGCAGTATTGTATAATGAGGGGCTGCTCTGGAGGATACAATGAGTAATGTTTGTGTCAAGGTAAAGACATTAATCCCATGTAGTAAAGAAAGTCTCAGCTAAAATTCATAACCACTGTCTACACCAGAATTACTGAAAACTTTGAGATTGGATCCTAGAGGCATATATCTCATTGCAGCTGTGGTCGATACTAAAACATGGCTGAACCAGGGGTTCTGAAATTGAGGTAAATATGATTGATGGACACCAAAATTGGATGTGTCTGGTACGCACACATACTCCATGCCCCCCTGCAATGACAGAGCTAGACAAATTAGTCAGGAAACCCCACTGCTAACCAACCCTAACCTTCGATATATCTGGTGGAAGCAGAGCAGTGTCTAATCGAAAAAAACTGAGATATGATGTTAGGCAATTAAAAAAGTTGCAAACATAACTCAACCTAAAAGCAACACAGATTCAGCCTCTAAATGCAGGAAAGACAGCTGGCATAAAGAAAGACCCATACTGAGTGAAAGCATAATTTAAGACTCATTATATCAGTGCTGCATCATTAGGGAACGACTGGACCTGCATTTGACGACATCTGCTGAGGTTATTCCATTAACTTGTTGTTCAGATTAATTCTTATGATTCTTATGTATAACAGTTTAGCATTATTCTGTGCTAAATTTTGAGTTACAAGCACTTTTAGTTCAGGATTTAAGTGTTTTAATCAGTCTGTGCTGATTAAAATTATGAGCGAAAAGCACAATGAAAATCTCTCTTTGTATTTGTACATTATGTACTGTACATACATATATCTAAAAACCTTTAGGTGAGTGTTTTGCTTATCTCAAAACATACTAACCCTACACTCCCCTCAAAAACCTTGACTCAGCTCTGGGATCATGAGACCTGATTGAAAAACAGGCAGCGCTTTTCTAATGGCTGATCTTTTATCTTGAACATTTCCTGCTCAAAAGCAGATCAGCAGTAGCTGACATGAAGTCACGGCCTCTTGAATAGTGAACCTTACTTACAGAGTATTGAAAACTCTGAGTTGAGTGAATACTTACAACTTGATCTCTTCAAATCTTGCTTTCTAGCAAAGGTTTTGGCTGATCAGCTTTCTTCACAAACCACCAGTGTTAAATTGTTTGGAGGTAACAAACCTGAGCCTACATGTTTCTACAACAGAAATATTCCATCCTGAAAATGGACTTAAAATTCACCCCATATAGCCAGAGTTGTGATGTGATAAAACGATGTAAGTCAGCAGAAGCAAAGCCCTGCAGGTGATTAATCAGGGTATGTTCAATGTTTAAGGTCAATGTTAAGCTTCTCAGTTTGCACAATGACTCTGCAGCACTAACACCAACTTCGTCCTGTGAAAACATGAACAGATTTCTGAGTAGTCCTCTCATCAAACGCTCATTTGTATTCTCATTGTTTCGCAGACCTGCTGTTTAAAGTTACTGCAGCCTTATTTCTCTGTCGCTCCATTAAAATGACAGAAAGGAGCATGTTGCGGGTGTCATGAAACTATTTCAAATTGCCAAAGTCACCTCTATGTAATAAAATACTCCCGGGCCTGGACAGACTTTATTAAATACTTTAAGGTTGCTGTTAGATTTGATTCGGCTCCCTGCTCTCCAGAAAAATATAATTACTATCAATCCCTCAGGTGGAGAACATGAATGTCTAAGATAGTGGTAGAGAATTAGATTGGAGGGAGTAAATTTCCGAGTGTATGACAGAACCGAGTCATTCATAACCTTAATGTATTATTAAGTTGTCTTTTTTATATACAGTATAGTTGATTTTTCCATCTCTCTGTCCTTGCAGGGCGTTATAAGTCAGACAACACACAGATTAAAACTGCTATGGATAAACTGTGGATACTGCTCTGTTGAATGTGAACAGGACTCAATATATTGACATCCGTAAATTGAACATCCCTGAAATAACAAGCAGCCTCATCCTGACAAGAAAGCATTGTGTACAGCACAGCATGAGTGGGCACATCCACAGTGTAATGCACTTGTGTAGTCAAACTGTTCATATGTGTATGAGTGTGTGAGTGTGCGCATGTGTCTGAGTGGGTGTTTCGTGTATAGGCTTGCCTTCGATCAAACAGCTCTCCCCATCTGTCAAGCATAATAATGGATAGAAGGAGAGATGCATTACTCTGCTAATCTACGGCAGAAATGTAAGGGCTAATCATACATAAGATCCTGAACACCCAAACAAATCTTTCCACTTGTGGCTTTTTAGTCCTCCGCTCAGGTTGAAGATAAGCAGAGCTACTCAGGTAGCAGAAACCTAAATTATCGAAGTCATCAGGGTTTAGTCTGACAGCTTATATTTGTGATTTTAAATGTTTGTCCGGCAGTCTAGACACCAACCTTATCAGTCCTCACAGATTTATTCAAAAGCAGAACTTTGAGGAGTGATGCAATAATATCTTTAACCACCACAACCAGAGCCTGTAGGTGACAGTATGACCAAAGTGTGATGGGGAAATATCAGACAAACTCTTTTGTCGTGTTATTTTATGGGAATTGTTGCCCTTTTCAATAGGACAGCTGAAGACAATTGGGAGGAGATGTCGAGTATGGAGAGCACAGGAAGACAAACAGCAGGACTGATTCATGTATTTTTCACTGTTACACCCCTAGTGTTCACACCTGCTAATTATCATATCTCTTATTTCTAAATCTGACATCAAGCAGTGATATTTAGAGCAGCCGGTAAATTACAAAAGCCAAAAGGATGAGGGCAGTGGAGGCGATGACAGAGCCGAGGAAAAGACCAGGAAAATGTTGCTGCTTGAATAAACTGCCAAATTGTGAGGATACATTTATCGATGGCAGTGGAGAATGACTCGTTTTATGTGTGAAATCAGTGCAGCTCGTGTCGCTTGTCTTCCAAAGCTCACAGGCGTTGCTCTATTTTTAAAGTGTATTTTAAGTTACAGATACGAAAACACAACTCTTGTTGATGTTCCTAAATCCAGTAATTGAGTCATCTTATTTGTGTGTTACCATCATTAGATTGTTGGTATTTCTTTAGTTCTTCCCACCATGTTAAAGTAACATTAACTTTGTGATAATCGTAATCCTCCCCACTGAGTTTAAGCACAAAGGCAGTTTTCCTGGTGTGCTCCATGTAAAGAGGCTTCAGACCTCAACCTGAGCAGCAGGCTCACATCAAACCTGCAGCCCTTTGCTGCTTGTCATTTCCTACTCTCTTTGCAGAAAGAGGTTAAGCCCGCAGTCTTACTCAACGCCGCAAGGAATCTATTGATTTACAGTGTTTCAACCTGTTGGTCATCTCCAGGTGAAAGTCTTTTCAAAGGTTCCCTACTCTTTTTCCCAGTTTCTTGCTCTACACAACGTCCTATCCTCTCAAAAAAGGTCAAAACTGGGCTGAGATGAAACAAGAAAACAGCTGCTATTGTTCATATTAGACTGAACATTTCCATTGAAAGTGGTGTGAGAAAAGGTGAATGTCTATCTTGTTTGGTTCCCCTCACTTTTTAGTGTTTGGTAACTCAAAGAAGAACTCACCACCTTGACCTTAACTCTGCCAAATTAATTATCCTATCTCTAATTCTGTTTATGGTGAGGATATCCCTCCCTTCACTGTTACTGGCAATTTCCACCGCATCCGGAACGGCTACGAAAAGTCCGTATCCGCTAATGGTAGCTGATCGTAACCATTCAAGTTAATGTGTTAGTTTCTTTCTGTTCTGCTGCGGATCGCCGGACTCTGCAGCTGATCGCAAGAGTTCTATTTTTTCCAGACGCCGGAGCATGCCAGATAAATTCTGTACAGATTAACCTGTGCTGGAGAGGAAGTCGGACACAGACACAAAAGAAAACATCCGGCTTCTTTTCAAAATAAAACACTCTGTGTTTCAGGCAGATCATATTTCACACCATGCAAACGGGCCGGGATGAACAAGCGAAAGGTTTATGAACAGCATTTCATCCCGATGGCACCATGGATGAGGCGATGCTGATTTTGTAAGTCTAGAAGCAGATTTGCTCCTCTGGAAGGACACAATCTACTGCTTATATGGTTAGCCTATGTGGCTAAAGACAACTTGTCATCGTGCGATTGCACGTGAACCCGCGGGCTCTTGTGAGTTCTCGCAATTTCTGCTGTCCATAATCCACCACGAAATTCGCCTCGGTTTCAGTAGCAATTGACGTACGGCAAAAATCACTGCCGTTCCGGATCGGAACCGTTTCGGATGCAGTGGAAATCTCAGGTTATGGGGATAGGACCCAACAAAATGAAGTATTTAACACAGAAAAATGATATGGATGCCAGGAGAGATATTTGGTCTACTCTCAATGTTAGGATTCGATTTTAAAGTAAACACTTTGAAGATCCAGTTTAGTGTCTTCTAAAAAGAAGGTGCAGATTCATTCAGGCCTTTCTGGTGATATTCAACATAGCGTAGTTTTGAAAATCTGGATGGTTATGATTATATCAGAACTTTAGAGTATGAGCAAGTTTGAAAACAGATTTCCCTCTAAAGTTTTCCAGCTTTGGTAAACACCATGGTTAGTGTAAGCTAGTAGGCTACTTCTAGATACCAGAGGTAGGATCTTGACTCTAATGCTGAGTTCCAGTTGTACTCGGAAGTCAGAATTTCCGAGAGTCGGAAATTCATCTGGAACGCACCCCTGAAGTGAGATTTCCGACTCAGAATATCAAACGATTCTCGCCAACCCCGACTTGACGGCTACGTCATAATCCAAGATGGCAGCGCAGTGCATCATCAATAAAGAGTAACAGAAAAAAGAAATTTATTATTTATTAGTGCTTCTGTTTTGTTTTTGTGAACTGAAATAAGTGGTATGTGTTGTACTGCCAAATGTTTAACTGTGAACACGGTGTTATGGTGTTTGTAAGAGTGAAATACCGTGTTATGCCTTGTTTACAACTGACAATGTCAACTAACAACAGCTGACAACGGCTAGCAACAGCTAATAATTGTAAACAACAGCTAACTGTAGGCGTCCCTCTTGGTTTCCTGACTTGTTAACTGGAATGCCGTCAATTCGGGTGTAGCGTCATTCCAAGCTCCAACATCCGACTTCCGAGGTAACTGGAAAACAGCATAAGAATACGCTACCCATGTTGACCTAATTTTCCCAAACTCTCTTATCAGACATGTTCAACCTCTCTGTTTTGTGTCACCTGCTCCTTCCAGCTAATATGATCATCTCAGTATTATCTTGTAGTGCAGTCATGTTTGAGATGAGACAAAAGGATACCTCTGAAATTTCTCCATGTGCATGATATAACTACATTTCTAAATCAGTTCAGATTTTAAAACTCCTGTTGTTTGAGCCCGGTCTAATAGGTTCAATAAAGCTAACAGGAGTGTGAGAGCAAGAGCCAATCAGCTGCAGTGTGTGCACACCCACACACAGTCCTAAGAGAAAACTTTTCAGCCAAAATAATCTAAATCAACTTGACTGAAGATGTGGGTGTACTGGGGATGTTCAAATATATACCAGGAAGCTGAAAAGAAACCAGAAAACCTGATTCTCTTGATCATTTGCTTTACTTCAGAGTCACCTCAGTGGAAAGCAGACCTTTATGCCACATGTAAAAGTGTCTTAGTACCCTTGAGTGTTGCCAAAGAACTTTCTGGAAGTCTTTTAAAACTATGAGATCTACTGAAACATGGTTATTACTCCCTGGGTGTTCATTTTAGTAGCAGCTAAACATAAAACAACCTCTCCTTGAAATAAAACTTTCAGGTTCTCATAATAAAATTCTGGCAATAACCACTTTTACTGTCTAGACAATTACCGGTGATTTCTTTTTCTTTTCTGTGTTTTTTGATAACAAAATTTGCCAAAAGCTGAAAGTTATAGAAGTGTCCAAGACTGTCTCATGAAAGAAAGCCTTTCCAGCAAAACCACTGTGACCCTGACCCCTCTCTTTGGTGGCTAATCAGAAGAATGCCATTTAAGCCACCACATCGCCATGGTGATGCTTGTTCCAAGCTGGCGTGAAAGAGACACAGGCTGGATCGCCTTATTAGCCTGCTGAAGGTCACCATTGGAAACAACACTTGTGATATTTGTTGACATTTTGCAAATGGACAGCCGCTCCCATTACACCCCCCACAGGGCCACAGTGTGGGGGCAAGGGGGGGGGGTTTTATGTGAAGTTTTTCAGGGGAAACCGATATGCTCCAACGGATCTTCCTGGGGCTAAAAATCTTTGGCTTTTACTTAACGTTGATTTTCACTATTGCGGTTAATAAAAGACGAAACTCAGATCCTCCGGGTGTGATAGGAATGAAATAATTGACAGTGTCACCGCATTATCCGAAACCCAGCGCCTGAACTGAATTAAATTGTCCCATTGTGTTAAAACCCGGCGATTATCTTTGACAGCATAATCCTACCAACATGCTCCACTCAATGATCCATCATCTGTGTTTGAACACTGCTTCATTAGTCCAGTAGGCACACAGAAAAGTCTTCTGATAGTACGAGGGTTTGTTGAGGAGTGTGTGTGTGTGTGTGTGTGTGTGTGTGTGTGTGTGTGTGTGTGTGTGTGTGTGTGTGGAGAGGGAGGCGAAAGTGAAGAGTTATTTGAAGGTTGTGAGTCTGACACTTCCAAGCGTGCTGTCTCTGATCTGAACACTGTTGCATATGAATGACCCCCTACCTACTCCTCGTGAATGCACAATGCACAGGAAGTCTCCCTCTCCCTCTCCTGGTCCTGTCTCTCTTTCTCTCTCTCACACACACACACACACACACACACACACACACACACACACACACACACACACACACACACACACACACACACACACACACACACACACACACACACACACACACACACACACACACACACACACACATATGAGCGGAGTAACAGGATTTGAACACTGACAGAAAATGTGATTCATCATGGCTGTCCCCCATGTCTTGTCAGGCTACATTACACAGCAGCAGAAATTTCACGACATGCTGCACTATGTGACATGCGGTAGACAGTCAATGATGTAATGATGCTTCTTACAGTGACTTATTCAACAAGACATCATTAAATAGTTGAACGTAAGTGAAAAGCGGTGCTACCTAAATAGATATGGACACACGCTCAGAAGATATTACAGTGTAGTATGCAACCACATGTAATATTAATGGACTGCCATGAAATATGGATAGGATGTATGGCGCTTCCCACTCCATGCTGTGAGAGCAAACATTATTCCGGGAGAATCATCCAATAACAAATACTTGGCTGCTTTGAGACTGATTTTTCCTCTCATTATGACTTCCAGTTTTTGGCTTTCTTGACTTTTCCCCGATCAGACTGAATATACAAAACAAAGTCGATCCAATAAACAAAAACATGGCTTGTTTTCATTGCAGCTTACTGTCTTCTCCCTCACTTTGTAGTCTCCTGCCTCAGATTCCTGCACGTCACACACTGCCCAGGGTCCTAATCTGTCTCCGCTCATCTTCATCACACTCTAGAGGTTTGAACCGGGGCGTCAGGAGCAGGTGCAATGCGAATTTATAACGCCAACTAGCCCTCAACCTGCCACTGGCGTGTGCACAAGCATATTTGCACCTGCTCAGTTGTGATTTTAACACTCGTTCCACATTAGCTTTTATGCGTTGTTTCTGTGCGCAAGAACTGTTCTCTAACCTGCGATGAAAAGAAAAAACAAATAGCTTCAAGAACTTATTTGTTTTAAAAACCTTCTGCATAGCTAACACACACACACAGCAGGTAGGGACTTGAGTTCTTACCTTCACCCCCCAGCTTGATTTCCAGGCCCTCCAGGGAGTTGGCTGAGTCGCCCTCCTCCAGGGAGAGTCTCCCAAACACACTGCCCGCCATGGTGAACAACACCTCTCTATAGTTACACACCCAGTACTGTATCTGAAGCAGACTGAGGGATCTACTTCCCTCTCTCTCTCTCTCTCTCCCTTTCTCCTTTTCCTCCTCTCACTGCCAAAGCAGCTCCCCGCTCTCTCCTCCCTCTTCACCTGCTCTTGACGTGAATGTGTATAAGCTCTGCCCGGCTGAGCGGCTCCTCCTTGCGCATGAATGAATGGAGACGAGAGGTGGTGTGTGTATGAGGCAAAGGAAAGGTGGGGGAAGAAAAGAGAGGGGAGGGAAGTGTGATGCTCTTACTGAGAGGAGGGAGGAGAGGAGGCATGGTGATTTTCCCCTCTGGGCTTTCCCTGAGGGGTTAACAGTGGGAAGGAGCAGCAGAGGGTTGGCTTGTTGGAAGGAGGATTGGTCATGGAGGTGGCATGGTGGGACTTGACACATAAACAAGTGATGACCTTCCATAAGTGGCCTCACAGACAGGTGAAAACACCTACAGCCTTGCTATGGAGGCTGAGCATACTTATCTAAATGTTTATATTTGTGTTCACTGCTCCTAAATCAAGTGAAACATTTATCAGAGTTGCCTCGCTGACAGGAGAGAAAAATATCTTATGTTCAAAATCAAACCTGACCCTTCTCTAACCCTTCCTCAAAGCCTGCACAAAAATAGCCTCACTAGAAATGCTGTTTCATAAAAAAAGAAGGACATGAATGAGTTTGAAGAAACAATTTACTGTGTGTTACTAAAAATGCCAGTCATCCAGCCTTAGCCCTTGGCTAGTGTACAAATCAAGCCTGACTGACATCCCATTACAAGAAAAGAAACTCGCATTTTAGCTCTTCCAGGAACTGCTTTTTCTCCATCTATTCTACGGCTGACTGATGCAATTTATGACGAGGCGATAAAATACAGAAAAGCTTTTGAGTTCTAGATTTGGTCATCTATTAACAAATACACTGAGGCTCTTAATTTCCCAGACATCTGGCCATGGCTTTTTTTAATCTTTTATGAGTCTGGATCGAGCGCCTGTAGCAATGAGAGAGGTGGAAATGCATGGAAGCACGGCTATGTGCCAGGGTAGAGTTTAATGCTGGCACCTTTTTTTCTGGCATTCAAACTAGGAAATATAATTCTGCTGCTGTCACAGAGCAACGTTTTCATCTTTGATACTGGCGCCAAGTTGTACATCTGAAAATTCACTGAGATGAAAAGCCAGCCATAGAGGGCATTAACATGACTTCAATTCTAGAAAAGATGTTGAGTCTTTTGCACAAGGGTATAAAACAATTTTTGTTATTTTGAACAAATATAATCACATACTTTGGTTCCTGGATTCATTTCTTTTTTGGCCTGGAGTCCAGTCTCAGATATGATGCAATTCTTTTGAGTACTGCACTGCAGTCTATTTTTTGTTGTCCATTTTTTATTATTACCAGAATTTCATGAATTTAAAAATACACTTCATGGAAAAATAATCAATCATCTTCAAATACAAGGTAATATATCAGGAACTTAACCCTAACCTGAACCTGCAGCACAAAAACTTGACGCCAAAGTAACTGCAACCTCTGCTAAACACTTAAAGACACTATAAGGAGTTTTTAACATTTCTGAAATGAGCTCATCAGCAACAAAACTACTCATGTCTTTGCAGTGCACCTGCTCTCGGTATGAAATGTATTCATATTTCATGTTGGCTACGTTAACATAAATACCCCTTTAAGCTAAGCTTTTTTACTTTCAGGGACACATGGTTCGATAAGGCGAAGAACATAAACACACGATAGTCTGTTGCATTAGCATTAGCAACCCTATGGCTAAAATGTCAGCAGTGCAGAAATATTTTAGACTACATAGTGAAAATAGCCGAACAGACTCCTGCAATAAACAGGATATGATCATTTTACAAGGCAGTGGCAGTAGAGCTGTGTTCCATTTATTTCCTCTGCTGTTAGTTTTACAACAAACAGTTAAAGCTCATGTCATTGCTGAGCCTTACTGCAGGACCCCAGGACTGATCCACCAGTGTTGAGAATCAGGAGATCCAGCTCTGTTGAAATTGTTATCAGGTTTGGTATTAGCAGATCCACAATATTGAAAAACTGAATCAGGAATAGGGGCCAAAATTGCTGATTGAGACATCCCTAACCTGTATGTCTGGTCACCTTTTGTTAGAAAAGCAACTCTAATAAACCAGAGTTGACAAAGTTGTAATGTTGTCATTGGTCACATTCATCAATTTTCAAGGTTGCACATCATAACACCCTGCAGAAAGTTATCTTCAACAATCTCTCAAACCTTATTTCACTCACTTTCTTCTGATACAAGTGCATGCTTTGGCAAGAACCACATTTGAAGGACACAGGGTGATAGTGCTCATGGGAAATGCAGTCTCCTTTCTGGAAAACTATTGCTGACTTTATCATAATCACCTCAATGTGAAAAATCGTCATAGAGAGTTCATACATTGATGGATTCTTTGGGTTTTCAAGATACTACTTCAGCTATCACTGTTTCATAATCAGTTCATAAGAAGAGACTTATTTTATATACATCCAAAGGGGACGTCATTGTGTTTGCATGTGTAAAACCAGACACTAGTGCAGATTAGACGTGCATGTGCGTTGAGTGGAGGGCTGCAGATAATACAACAGCTAATCCTTGGAGGCATGACTGATCTGAAGCTGAGTTTTAGCGCTCCATTAGCCAGCTCATTAAGTCACATTAGAACTCTGGAGATGAGATACATGTCCTGTGTGCTGGAGTTACCAAAGGCTGTTCACTATCTCCTCCATCCTCGCTCTCCATATCCCTCTCACTTACTGACACACACATATACACACACATACACACACACATACATCGTGGGAGTCGCAGCGGGACCAAGCCACTTACCAGAGTCAGAGCTGGATGTTGCCACGGGCATTTTAAAATTCCTCCCAGTATCCTCCAAAAACACTTGTTAAGTCAACTGCAATGAAAGAGAGATAACAGAGTTGCAGTGAAAACGCTAATGAAGTATTGATTGGTTGTATGAAAGCTAGAACTCTCAGTTGTCAGATCACAGACGCATGATAAAGGAGGAAAAAAAGCCCTATATTAGGCCAATGTTTCTGTGTGTTTTGAATATTTCATGGTTTGTTTTAATAGCTTTTTATAGAGTTAATAGCTGTAATCTTTGTTGTGAGGTTGAGGTCCTTCCAGTTCAACAAACAAAGATCAGTGGAAGTAGAAATCCAGCCATAACAAACAAAACAAATCTTTTTCTGTCATCTTGCCGTCCAATAGACTGATGTCCAAGCTCGACTCCTTCCTAATTCGTCCAAACAAGCTCCCACACAAGACAGAAGCTATCTAACTTTGTTAATAACCTTTAAATAGAACAGCCAGTTGCTCTGGTAACAGCCAAACAGTTTTAGCCGCCACATCCGAGGGGAAATACTATTAGCAACAGTTGGAAAGATTGAGTGCAGGGGGTGACTGAGTGGGCAGGGGAGCTAACATTAGCTCAGTGAGGATCTCCGAGGAGTCTAATTGATCTGCTCAAAAACAGGCTAAGAGGAAAAGTAATGTTACAAACAGAAGCAGGCAGACAAGGTGTGTGTAATTCTGAGATTTGCACCTGGCTAAATGTGTGTCAGAGAAGGAAGTAGAGAGGATCTACCTGTGAAAAAGAAGAAGAAGCAGAAAGAGACAGTGATGACTGAAAGAGAAAGAGAGAGGGGTAATAAGGTAAGAGTTACAGTAGAAGTAGAAGATGGAGGAGTCAGGGAAAGTGAAGCCAAGAGGTAAGAAAGGGTCGAGAAGAAAAGGATAAAATGTGGAAAACAGTGAGAGGGGGACAAATGGGACAGGTAAGGAGAAAAGAAAGAAGGAAAAAGAAGGAGGAGGAGGGGAGAGAGGGAGGTGGAGTACAAAGAGAAGGTGGGAGACAAGGTAGAAGGGAGAAAGAAAGACATTTAGGTGGGGACAGAAAGACAAATAGAAATGGAGGAGGAAAGTGAGAGAGATAGCCAGACAAAGAGGAGGGAAGGAGGAGAAAAAAAAAGAAAGAAGTGAGGGCGGAGGGGATAAACACTGAAGAAAGAGGGGGGAGGAAAGACAAACACGGGAGGAGGAGAAGGGAGTGGACGGAAAGACTGAGTAGAGGAAAGGGAGAGAAACCAGAAGAATAAGAGGAGGAGAAAGGAGAAAAGCACAGGGAAAAGAGAGTGGAGGATAGAGAGGAATGAGAAGGAAGAGAAGAAGAAATAGAGAAACAAGAGAAAGAGAAGGTAAGGGGTGTAGAGAGCAACAGGGGAGAAAGAGAGAGGAAAGGACGATGGAGAGGGGGGAATAAAGAGAAGAGTGAGAAATGAAGGTAGACAGAAAGAGAAGAAGAGGACAAAAGAATGAAAAGAACAAAATCTAAAAGGAGGTGAGGGCAAAAGAGAAAAGATGAGACAGAGAGGGAGATAAGAACAGAGAGGAGAGAAAAAAATAGGGAGAAGACTGGGAAAGAGAGAGAAGGGGAGAGCAAACAGGGATGAACGTGATGAAGAAAACACATCAGCTGATGAGGGAAAGACACTGGTATCCAAGGATGGTAATTTATGGTTGCCATGGCAATAGCTATCCATGGAGGAACAAGTGCACAGGCAAAAACCAACAATGTCACCTCAGGGTCAGTGTGTGAATTTGTACAATATAAATATACATATACAGTATATTTTAAGCTTCTTGTCTGTATCAAACACTTCCATTGTTAAAAAGAACTGAACGACAATAGAATGTCTTTATCACATCCTTCTCAAATGAAGTATTTGTCCAATAGAAGACTTTTTTAAAGAGAAGATTTATTTGTATCTCACTTTTGACTTTAGCTTTTAATTAACCAAGAACAAAAGTATAAATTTTTGCACATTTTTATGCAAGATTATCAGTTAAATACTCCTCTGAACTGGGGGAAAGTTAGGGTTTAAATGATCTTCAATGCTGTCACAATTCTCCAAACCTATAATACAACACTGAAATTGTAGGACTTGAAAGCAGTCCCTGTGGATTAAGTTTTCCCTCAATCATTCCAGATTAATTAATATATCATGAACACTCACGTTTTACTTGAACTTTCATGGAGTTAACTAAACAAAAGTCACGTGTTACATTGGAAATAAATAACTAAAAAGGTTAGTGTGTCTCTATGGTCCTCTTACCACTGTGTCTTAAGACTTTTCTGGGGAAACAGTGGACCTATTTGTTTCTAAGGAGGCAATTTTAACTCCAATGATGGTGAGCGACAAAATGAGAAATGCTGACTCCAATCGACTTCTGATACATTCTGATTCTGCAAACAGCTAAAAACATGCAAACATGTCCATCAACTGATCCACGCCCTTAATTATGCAAGTTTGTGTATAAATCTGAACCTTTGTATCATCTCAACAGATGTTTTATTTAAAAACTGTATCCCCTGACAGGTGGTTCAAATAAATTTTCTGTAACAGTTTAAATGCCTAATTGAGATTTCTTAGATTCTGGAGTCAGCCTTACGTGAGTTGAAGTGGAGTGAAGAGGAGAAATTTTGTTTTTTTTCACTCTTGTATTGGCTTCATTTTTTTAACAACGGCTGCAGTAGCTTACTACAGATGTAAGAGACTAGAGGGACATCAAACAAGAGGAGTGATTGGCCAATAGTGTCCTCTAACATTTAAAAAGGGTTCATATTTCCTCTCAACAATTTGACCTGTCTCTAGTATGTGCTGATTTTTATCTGTCTCGTGAGGTACTGTCATATGCCTGCTGTTTTCTTTCTATTTTAGAAACATTATCTGAATGTGTTGAGTACAATCCCCCAACACACACATAAATCATATTGTGGTTTATTTGAAGGGTAAAGAGTCTCACCTGTGTACTATAGGCTCTATAGGTTATAAGCACACGCATCTGTTTGTAAGTCAGGGGTTAAACTGAGTACACACTGCTGCATGTTTACAGGACTTTCAGTTGAATATTGATTTTTAGAAGCCATGTAAACAGCTCCAAAGAGATTTTGTCTTTCGAGATAACTGGATATTTTGTGCACATCAACATCGTCATTATACTGCCATTGTTTTTTGGTCGCAGCAGGAAGGTAAATGTTGTTACACCGAGTGACTTGGGGATTTCTTCAGTTCTGTTGAACATCTTTCTACAGTTTCTCCTTTATCTCTGACTCCTGCTGTGAACATTGCATCTGTAGGCCAGTGGTAAGCTGCACTGTGTGGTCTTTGAAGCGTTTGTGCATAAATCGACAAAGATGGAGACAATAATAAGATGAAAGAAACGCTGAACGAGCTTTTTTTCAGAGATTACAAAACTATGTGTCTTTTTTTTATGTTTTCTTCAACAACTAATATTATGACACCCCCAATCATTGTTCCAAAATTAATTTACACCTGTATAATCACTTTCTAGACCTCCCTTGAGAGTCCTGTATTTGAAACCATTTGACACACTTCATTACACAAATAGCATCACAAATTAAATTTATTCTTCCATAAATCTATTATCCATCATGCATAAATTTTCGCAGGAACCGGGTTTATTCATTCATACGTTTGAATACTGTCCATTGTTTGGCCGTCTATATTTAACTCCCACTCTCTACCTTATGTAATTGATCTATTTCTCCTTACCCACGGACATGTCATGATGTATTTGGAACAATACCACCTGATTTCACTGTTACACTCCCACATGAAAGTATTCCTCAATTTTTTTCAAGTTCATTACTCTATTTATATTCATAATGGTTGAGTAACAGTAGCTTAATAATGATTTCAGGTTGCATACTTCTTTTGGTTTAATGTTTTAATTGACATTTTTCTTTTATTTTGTGTGCTTGTGGGTGTTTATAGAGTATATCCATGTACAAGCCATTGCCAAGAACAACATACGTATCAGCTGTAATTCTCCTGTGACATTGAAACACATTCTTCAACGCTGAAGGGTCATGCTCTTGTAAAACTCCGATCTATGCGGATCAGGTCCCTAATACCACATACTTTTCCCTCCTGGCTTATGAGTGCGATCCCGTGTTTCCACTGTGAAATGACAGAGCTTGTTAAAAGTGTTCAGTGGCCACACAGCTGCTGAGAAGTCAAAGCCGATTGCTGCAGAGCTCAGCCATGCTCCAGCAGCGGGGGTTGGGTCAGGGTAGGAGGGCTGTTCACGCTGCCTTTTGCCTTCTCTCTTTTTTTTCTCTGATGGGGAATAATTGGCTGAGATCTAATGATAGTGCTGGCGTCACTAATTGTGACATTCCCTGTTAATTGGTGGCATTTTCTAGCTGAACCATGTCAGGGTCTGGCAACCAGTAATCAATCCCTACTGTCAAGGATTAAAAAGGAAAACTGAAGTTGAAAATTGTGTTTTTAAGTGGTACTTCAGTGAGTAAATACTGAGTGTTTTCTTTTTTAGTGGAGGTGTAGAGGAGCCTGCAGCTTCCACTCTGATGCTGAAATTATATCTTGGTATGTAAACTGTCTCTGCTGGCTGAGTGATGCTTCATCTTTCACGCTCTCTATTTGTCAACACACAGACACACACACACACACACACACACACACACACACACACTTGCACACACAGACACACACACACAAAACTCTTCATCTTCATGTTGTGGGAAAAGAGCAGCTCAATAGCACAGCTGTCATGATATCACATTTGCAGACCTGCCATCATCTCTCCACTGTTGATCTATTTAAACAAGAGACCAGCTGGATGTATGTGTGAGCGCGCACGTGTGTGTGCATGTGATTTTCATTCACAATTACATACTTTCTGACCTTTTTAATGCTCTCTATGAAATGATGCTTTTATAGAAAAATAACAATGTCACTTGAAACCTCTACATTTCAGAAATCTTACATAAACAGTAAAGAGGTCAAAGGTCAGAGGTCAAGGCTTTGGTGGTTTAAAAATATCTCTAGCTCAAGAAAATAAGCACTTTTGGCCATTTTTGAAAACTTAAACTGGGATATGCCGGTCTCTCCTCTTCAAGTGTTTTGAGTTTTTGATTTAATTTGCACAAAATTGTCTTTATTTGTTTCTGAAGGTTTGCATGTCTTTGCCTTCAAATGAAATTTCTCAAGAGGTGTATGATGACCCCATCCTGCATATTTCCTAATCAGCATGGACCAAAAGATGACGGAGGATGAGTCAATTTTTCCTTTTAACAATTTTAACATTTTAAAATTTAAAACTGTGGCTAAAAGTTGCACCCACGTGAGCATTTTTTGGTTAAATTTTATCTTCCTGCACATTTCATCCAAAAGCAGTGACTCAAGCAGTGACCCAGGTGTTTCTATGCCAAGTGTAAAACGCCCTGAGCCATTCCCACAGTGAGGCTGCATTAAAGCTTGTAAACACGCGCGCGCACACACACACACATACACCCATACACACATACACACGCACCAGCGACCAAACAAGTCTTAATCCACACATGCAGGCTGGCGTCAGGCCTAAAAATAACCCTGTGCTCCCACAGGTTCAGCTTCTCTCATTACTTGACAAGGGAAAACTGTCGTATCCAAGACAACCATGAGCAGCTCTTCAGCTTTTTCCCCGGCGCTTCGCCATGGCAACAAGGGAAAATGCGTAAAATAATAATAAGTTGGAGCTAAAATTGGGTCTACTAAAAGGTCTGAGCAACACGTCAATACAGAGCTGTTCACTTCAAAATGAAGGGTCATGATTTTTCTTGCACACATTTAAACATTACTGTGTTACTTGATTGAAAAATATTGGAGCTGATGGTTTTCTTCAAGGCTATATCCAAAAGTTAAATATAAATATGGGGGATCAGTTTTGCACATTCAAATAGCCCTGTTGGTTTGTAATCATGTATATGGATTGAATTCATGAACATAATCTGCCACCTAAATACAATAATTCAAGTTTCATATTGTAGCTTTAAGAATAGAATATGTATCTCTTTAAAAGAAGCTCAATATATTCAAATTTAGCACTATTCTTACAAGGGAGTTAGCTTAAAAGTCTCCATGTGGAGCTTCTTTGAGTGTATACCCTTGAGAGTCTTTTAGAAAGCACCTCTTTGTTTATGCTTGTAAAACTAAAAGCTAAACTCTTCCTCTACAGACATTATTAAAGCAGTTCCTTCATTCTGACTTTCTGGGGCTCATATCAACAATAATATCAAAACAAAAGCACAGAGGTCTTTTGAAGGAGAAAATCAATTCAAGTGCACTTTAGAGCTGTATGCATGGTTGACTGGCTACAAAAATAAAAGGTGTGTCTTCCTGCCGGCATGCATATTAACACAATGTGCCACTGCTACAGCAAGGACACAGATAAGGCACGGGGTCAGTTTGATGTTAAAGGATACGAGAATAACCAAAAACAATCACTTATTCAACAGACTTAAAAATCTTTCAATCTTTACAGTTTCTGAATAGTAGAGAGTCTGTGAGAAGGGGTCTGGATTTTAGTGTGGATGGTGTTTTGGTTTCCATGAAGAGATAAAGAAGACCTGATCATTAATGTATGCCACTGTGAATTGCAAATCAATTTCAAGAAAGCAGTTTCCCTTTCAGGATTCTCACAACTGTGGTCAGACTAAGAAGCCTCTCTGAAACTATTACTTGAGAAGATGAGACTCTCTAGGAGGAGATGGAAAGAGGATACTGTATGGGATATAAGGAATGAAGAGATGACAGCATCAATTTTGCAGACTTATGTTTCTATAGATTTATGAACTGTTCATTATGTCAGAGGCAGGACAGTGGATGGCGTGAGAAACATGGAGAACATGGAGCAAAGAGTCCCAGGTCTGATTTAAATATTTGGATCTGAACTGATCTGAAGTTGTGAGCTGGTGTAAACCGTGTCGCACACAATCGGGACAGGTTTGTCAAGTCACAACCCTCTGGCTTCACTGGGCTATACTTTTCATTAGCCAATGGGTCCAAGATTGGGTCTCATTTGCCTACATTACTCAGCTCAGGTATTCCCAAAATGTGTGAAATCAAGAATCAAAATCATTATGCTTTTGTTACTAAAGGTGTTAATGTGTGCTGACTTCTGAATGATGAAGTTACTACAAGTACAACAAATCCATCTGAAAACAGCATTATGAAACAGCAGTTTCTATCTTTAGATGCCACTTGTTGCTCTCTTTTCCCTCAGCTGATGAGGTCTGTAATTAAAGTTTAATAATTAAATGTCAAATAGATAACACTCAAAGGCTAAAAGATTCAGGTCAGTGCCAAGAGCTACCTCGGGGGTCATATATAATCCCCCCCTGCAGGGATTTCATTAAAGAGCCCCACTTTTCAACAGGAGGAGCTATGAGGGTATAACCAAAGCTTGTGTCACAAAAATTACTCCTGAGAAAAACTGTGGAGGTCACAGCTGGAATATGACACAACAATCCTGAGCTTTAGGGCCGGTCCTAACATGCTTGGCACTTTTGAAGTGCAAAATTATTATTTCTATCTAATAGTGCCTCCATGCACAACTACATGAAACACAAAATATCTGCAAAGGATTAAAAAGCTATAACACATGCAAAAACAAGGGAGGCACACACAACTGGTAAGGTCTTAGTTTTGCATGATTGACTTGGTGTTTCACAGCTTATGTGAAAATGAAGCTCACAGTGTTTTATTTACAGTCTGGTGAGCTGTGAAAAAATATATGTTAACAGTGCTCAGACTGGTTTGTGGGCCAAAAGAAACTCTTATGCGGAACATATCCTGTTTATACCTTTTAAAGGTGTAAACAGCCACTGTCATTGGCCAAAAGTCAAACATTCTCCTCCAGTATTATGATAATGAAGTTAGTGATACAGACAAGATTTAATCCTCTGCATGTAATCCAACCTCTCAGACCAAAGCTACATTTGAGAACCTTTTCTGAAGCAATTAATGAATATTAAAGCAAAGGGAAAAAATACAGGTAAGATCCTCCACTGCCGTCCCATAAAAGTCTACTGCACCCTCAGCTATGTGAGGTACTACTGATGCTCAACAAAGCTGGGTAACATAATGTACAGAATGTGTATATCTGGATGAGCTGTCTGCTAAATACTGAGAGCGAAAAATTCTAATTGTGGGACTGAGCCAGATCAGACGTCAAGGGATAAACAGAGTGAGGAAAAGCGAATGTCAGTATCAAACTTCAATATTATTATTAAACTGATTAAAATTCTGGATCATCTAAATCAACCACCATCCTTTACAGTCACATTGGAATTGGACTACAAATGCATGAAAATAGTCCATAATATGAAGAATAATCATGAGACTGGAGGCTGTAGTCTTGTGAATGAGGTGGCAGGTTTGTAAGCAAATGAAGTGATCAGTTTTATGAATGACACCACAAAGGTTGAATAAAGATGCTGAGGTGATGTGAGCTGCTGCAGATGAACACTCTTGGGGAAACTGAGTGTTGATGGGTCTGACTCCTCTCAGCCTCCCTCTGCAAGATACTGTAGATTTTCTGTTTTATATAGTTGTTAATTACTCCGTTTATCAAAGCACGACTGCACAGCAATAATCAAAAGTATTTGTATGCGACATAAAATAACCAAGACCCTGCCTTTGTCCATCAATATAATACAATGTGTGAATATCAGGGGTCAGGAGGTCTTTCAGGAGGAACTCTTTGATTTTTTTTTAACTCAAATTTTGGTAATTTTGTTCTTATTTGAACCAATTTAAGTTTTCTTGAAAATGTGTTAAACTGTTTCGGATAGGTCTGAGTGAAAGGGATGTTTTTTCAAATGAAATAAATACTTAAAGCATGTTTTCAGAGGTAAACTGAATGCATGGGGAAAAAAATCTGGAGGCCATTTTGACCTTTCCTTAAGACACAGTGAGACTGGGAATCTATGCATGAATGAAGTGCTGGGTTATGCTTAAAAGATAAGGCTTTAGACTCCTTCATTCACCTGTTTGGATATTTATTCTTCTCACTCTTCCTTATGCAGCAATAGAAATTTTTGGTTCTTCACCCTGATGATTAATATTGCCACTACAGTGCTCATTTTGGAGTTGATGCCAGCAACACGTTTCAAAAGAAGGTTGAAACAGGGGTCATGTTTACCTCTCCGTTTTTTCACCTCCTCCCTCCTCAGTTCCCAAACACTCTAAGTAATTGGGAACTAATGAGATCATATGCTGTCATTTTGAGAGGGAGAGTGTTTACCCATCACTGCTGAATACAAGATTCCAGCTGCTCAACAGAGGTCTCTTTAGTCTTATTTTATGTTTCACAATGCACCAAAGTTTCAACGGGTGACCAGCTAGGATTGCAAACAGGCTAGTTGAGCATCTGGACTCTCTTATTTTACGGCCAGGCTGTTAAAATCAGAATGGGATTTGGCATCGTCTTGCTACAGTGTAGATGAAGACATCATCTACCTTGCAGCATATGTTACCAAAAAACCTGTATCAGTCAGCATTAATGGTGTCCTTATGCTCTAATGCACCACTGTACAACCAGGAGTGTTGACATTTGAGCTGTGGTGAAAAAAAAAAGTCAAATGGTCTTTCTGTTCTTTAGCCTCGAGGACACAACATCTCTCTTACCAAAAACAATTCAAAAATTTGACTTTAAGGAATTCCTCACTTTGCCTCAGCCCATCTTAAATGAGCAAGCTATTTCTGGATTATGTTTCTATGTGGCCTCTTCTTCGGATTATACAGTTTTCACCTGTATTTATGGATGAAACTGAACTGTGTTGACTGCTTATGCTTTCAAAAGTGTTCTGGAGCTCATGCAGTGATTTATACTACAGAGTGCAGTGTGATATTGATTTCAGAGGGCCTAACAATCACAGCTGGATTAAAATAGTTTTTGGTCTTGTCCCTCAGGCACTGAGATTTCTTCAAATTCTCAGAATCTTTTAAAAGTATTTCATCATTCAGATGATGAAACCAATTATTCCATTGAGACACATTATTCTTGCCAGCTCAGCCTCTAAGACTGGTGAATCTCCCCCCAACTCCACTTTCAACCAAGTCAGCCTCTTAGACACTCCCTTTACACCTAAACTGTTAATTACCTGCTACAGTTTAACCTATCTGACAGTGAGATATTCCACTAAAAGTTTTCTTTTACTAACTTTGATGTTGTCACGATTACAACTTTTTTTAAAAACTTGTTGCTGGTATCAACATTAATACAAGCATATAACTTCTAAAGAAAATACCTTGAATTTCACAGATTGGAAATGTCTGGTCTTTATATTTTTTTGAATACGTGTTTTTTTGTCTTATCTCTTCTCATCCTGATCACTTTTTTTAATTTATTTTTTTGGCATTTTACACAGCACCCCACTTTTTCAGGATACAGGGATATACATCAAATGACTTAAAAAGACAAACCAGTTTACGTAGGTGGGGGAAATTACTTGTTGCAGAAATGTACTGAATGTTGCTCCAGTTTCAATATATGTAGTCATTTATAAGTATAGTTACAAGAATTACAGAGTCTTTCTCTATCCAATATTTAGTGCATTCACACCTTGCATACTTGCGAAAAATAACATTTCTTCTTCATTTCTGAGAGGGAACAGAATGGCTCTCCCTTATTTATCATCCCCTAGCCTGCACGTCAAACCCTCTCCAGCACACACACACACACACACACACACACACACACCTCTATTGGTCCCAAGGCGCTCAAACGTCTTGTGCTTGTGCTTGTGGGCATGCGCAATAGCAACGAACAGGTGCATGACGTCTATCCAGCCGTTGTTATTAGGATAACCGTGTTCTTCAATTTCCTCTCCTACTTTCATTTACACGTTGTATAGGAATTAAACACACAGTAGAGGAGTAAGGCTGTTATTTTACTTGTAAATAGCCTATACGTACAGGTATAAATAACCCGAGGGTAATTAAACTAGCCAAATGAAAATTACACGTGACGATAGATTGGAGCACGAGATTGTAAACGAGGTAATGCGTCTCGCGCTAGATGTGCGCGTTACCAGCGTAGGATGTTTATGTTGGTGTCATTGATAAACGTACCTAGACTTCATCATCCTCGGAGTCGTTAAATTTAAAGCGTACGTGAAATAACACATTACAGTGGGAACTGACACCCACCTGGCAACTGGCGAAGGTGGACCATATTCGTGGAAAAGCCTTTGCCAGAGAACAACAATCATTTTGACCATCAAACTACACCAAAAACCACGTTTTCACACAGACAAACAACCAAAGGTCGAAACGCTCACCTGTACGGTCACCTTTATCCGGATGTCTCCTCGGTCTAAGACGCAGTAAAGATGTTTTGAGCTCTATCCGCCGGTCCACTCGGTGTAGTTAGAGCTCTGTAGGTCTGGTTTAATCTGTGCAGTCACTTTCACTACACCGAAGCTGACTGCAACCCACACAAACTGCTATCTTTACCGAGCCCTCACCTTAAACGGCTCGCGTGCTCTCATAAATAGCTCCATCGATTAAAAGCCAATTGGCTGCTCTGTAAGCGCTTATCCCGTCTCCAAAAGGATTTACAGGGAGGTTTTTGTAAAACAGAAGCGTCTCTGTATGGAGTATCCCGATGTGAAGTTGAAGCGTGTCTGCTACCGTCGATAAAACCCCTGACAAGGGCAGTAATAAGGGCTCTTACTCACTGCAGAAACAGTGATATACTGACATCTAGTGGTAGGAAGAGGACATGCATTTAATTAACTAATTAAAAATAAATAAATAGAGGCACCATTTCATTTTTGACTATTTAATACTTTTATTCCACTGAAATTCTTTATTGTAAAGTGATTGATTTTTATATAAATTATTTACATTTTTGGCCAAGGAACAAACAGGTTTACTGAGAGAGGAAGACAAACAGAAAAAAGGAGATTTGCATGCACATTAAATAATCAAATGTGGAGAGTCCTGGAGTCAGGTGCAGGTTGTCTTTGAAGCCTTGTAGCATTTTTGGATTGTTGGCAAATCAAAAGATCTGGGGTGAAGTCATCTGGGTAAGGGTTAACACTGGGTTCATTTACCACTGATCACCATAGTCGGAGCTGTAGGAAAAGGGAAAGAGAAATCATAAACTAATGGATTGATTTAAACTTGACTGTCATGTCCTAATATGTGGTTGATTTTGGCTCCAACAGAAGTCATGCTGACCATTTAATAGTGACATCACATTGATGACATAATCAATACCCCGTTTGAATCTACAGCTAAATAAATGCGAATCAATACTCACTTGAAGTGGAAAATTATATTTTCAAGTACTTCACGAAGTGCATCATAAAGCAGGGAGGTTCATAGTGATTAAACAATATGTCACTTTGTAGAGCCGTTATTGGTTGTGCCATGCCACAGATATTTTATAAAATATAAGATATTTTATAAAATATCTGTCATTCTACATTCATGCAGTCATATGTGCAACTTTTACTAAAGACTACTGGCAAGTTAAAACAGATTTTTAATCTTGATACATTTTTGAAGTTTCTTTTACTGACTTCATTTAACCGGGATGATGCATCCATAGTCCAAAGGCAGGTACTCAGATAAAACAGACAAAATAATAGTATGTGCTATTCTTCGTATCGAATTACAGCTTCAAATGTCAGTCTGTCAAAGTCCAATGTGATGAAGCCAGACATGTGAAAACAGCTTTTAGATCTGCAATGTCTTTTTCTTCATTTCTTTGTTTGACAAAGTAAAAGGAATTGGTTTATCTTTAAAGACTTTTCCTATCTTTAGAATGTTAAAAATTCTTGGCACACAAATGATGTTTTGTGCCAATTTAAGCAACCGACACTAGTATTAGTATGAATATTACTATTATTAGTAGTATTGACCTTTAGAAGCTCATCATGATCGTACCGGACATGTTTTCTTTTACCTTGGTTCAGTGTCTTGGTTTGTATCACCACCAAACAGCAGCCAAGCCATCGCCTGCTCTGGGGTCGACCTCTTCCCATACCTGCAGAAAATGAAAAGCCCTGCAGGTAAATGCTAGTTGGAGATATATATTCATGTAGAACCCCCTCTCTGCTCAACAGCCATCACTCTGTCTGCATTTTACCAAGAGCTCCAGAGTCCATCAGCCTTGCAATGAATTTTAACAATGGGCCATCTTGCCTTTTCTTCTCTTTTTTCTTAGAATCATCAAGCTGTGAACAAGGTGAAATGGTGTCACACACCCTGCTGAGTTTATCAGAAATCTTCCCTCTCCTATGTCTGGATGCTCCAATCACAAATCAGCAGAGCAATTATCTGAGAAAAGAGGAGATTTTTCAAGTTCACAGCCCGAGGTCCAGCCAAGTAAACCCATTGTGCTCCTCAGACTTTGTCTTTTCGAGCGTCTTTGCTAAAATCAATGTCTGGCCACTAAAGAATAAACTTGTCTTTGTTTAAGCACCAAACTGGGAGTGGGTTAAGCCCAATAACCAATCCAGACGGTTTAATTACAGAACAGGAGCATCAGTATGGCTGTACATGGTAAAAATACACCTTTCAGTTTGCCCACCTGGAAACTTAGTTATTTCATGTTACACACTTCTTGCACCAATCTGCTACAAATTTTAACCAGCAATACGAGCTTGTCATATTCTGGAGATTAAGAACTACAAACAAAAATTGTACAAACCATCCTCTTTGCTGCATTCACAGGGTGAACAAAACCTCTTCCCATTAAATCTTCTCTATCAGGATTTCAGGTGTTAAAGTACGTCTGTGACTAAAATGAAGGGTGTCACAAAACAACTGCAAGATCTTATCTGGTCCGGAAATGTGTACATTTCGAGACAACCAAGCTCTATTCTCAAATAGAACTTATTATGTATTGTAACAAGTCTAACAATGTATTGTTAGAATAAAGCTATTAAGAGTTTTCATTTGTGATAGAAGCCTTTTCTTGTAAAAGTAAAGTCCTATCATAAGGTGAGGTGCTTCTCCCTTTTCTAACTTGGATTTCAACCATTCATGTCTCAACCATCTCAAGGTTTGTGCAGCACTGCCCCACCTCCAGTGAGTCATGTAGGTTAACTGAACACTGCTTGACTTCTTATGCCCCTGAGATGTTCACACACTGTTGATTCAACTCTGATCAAAGTACTCTGCTGAAGAAATTCGCGCACTATCTGGTAAAAAAGCAGCATTAGGAAAGCAAAGATGAGTTTCTGATGTGCACTAAACGAGATTTGTAGAGCAGGCTTACCTCTGTCTAGTGATAAGGTTGACATAGTGTCTGACAGCTGCGTGGTATTTGGCCCAGTCCTCCGGAGACGCGTTGTTTCCCGGACTCTCCGGTTTGGGAGGATAAGCGTCCGCAAAGCTGCTCAGACACACCAGCAGACAGAGCACGAGCGCTGAAAGCATCACCCACGATCTCAGCAAGTTGGCCATCTGAGGAGAGAGAGAGAGACACACACGCCAAGGTAGGATCTCTCCGGAAAATTCACATTTGAAGAAAAGAAGAACTTTTGTTATGTCAGAAAGTCCATGTAGATTTTACTTCAATGCACCAAAGTCCTAATATATGAAAATACAACAATGGATGTGAAGTTTAAGATATATCCTGTAAAAAATCTCTCAAGAATACGAAACGATCAGACCTTGGCTGTATTCAAGTGACAGAAAAGTAGGAGAACTTACTTTGTTGGATAGTTGCGTCGTGTTGTAGTCACCTAGGCTGTCCCCCTGTCTTTCTGCTCTGCTCTGGTCTCTCAGGGTTTTATAGAGGGAGACGGATACCTGATGCGCACTGAGCAACAGTTAACCACACCCCTTACTCCAGCAGGAGCGCGTGATGGGGAACTTATCTCTGAAAAATAAATAAAAGTCAATTAAGATTAGTCTAGTCTCTGGTCCAATTATTGACTAAAGCCAAATCCGGATGTTCATTTTCATGTAAATACATTGAGAGCTAAATGACGCAGATTTCACAGGTTTAAAAAGTGAAGGCTACTTTATGTGTTGAGGGTAGATTATGCCGGTTTGAAGCCTGCATTGTTTTTCAATTTATCAGCTGCCTTTCTATGAGTGGTTTATTTTTCGTAGTACACATAGAGAGCATTTGAGAAAGATAAAAAATAAAAATAGAAATAAAATTGAAAAGAGAGAGAAAGAAGAAGAATAGAGGCAGACACTGGGATGTCTTTGCTGCCTCTTCAGCACCACGAACAGCGCCATGAGCCCATAAAATAGTCCCCACTATGTTTACGACCTCAAATCCCACAGGTTAAAGGCAGCATAAGCTGCAGCCCAGTGAGCGCCATGTCTGCTACTGTAAATCTTATGGTTTACTAGCTTATTTATTTTATACCTGGTCTGAGTCAATATCTATTCTATGGAGACATCAAGTAACCACATCAGCAGAGGAAACGTTTAGATACAGAGTGAGAGGGATGAGCAACTTATCTCGTAATACTACGAAAAAAGCATGCAGTAGGCTATTTACAAGAAAATATGTTGGCATAGTCCTGTATTCGGCCTCGATGTAATCATTTCTCCAATCAAGCTTTTAAAAAGGGCCATCTCATTTTCTGGAAGAAGGAATAGCTCAGGTTTCAACAATATCAACGATTTCAGTTTGTCAAGAATGAGAACAAATTGCAGTAAATCTAAAATGGATGAATGTTTCAACTGTGTATATTTCATCTCTATTATGCTTTAATATTCCTAACAAAAATGCACCTTTCATATGGAAAATACCGTAGTGTGCTTACTATCATTTAACTACAGGATAATAATAGCAATCTTGACAAAAACACACAATGCAAACTCACTGAAAACAATCATGTAATTTAAATTACAACATCCATTTACTTCATGACAAAACAAAAAGAAGCTAATGTTCTGACATGTTGCTAATTTTGCTAATATCATGAATATTAACTTTAAAACATACAATTCTTTATTTAAAAAAGAGGTTTACCAAATGCATGCTTATAAAATAAATCTGTCCTCCTAGCTGATTTGGTCCATACTGGCTACCGATGATATATTAAGGGTTAACTCATCGAATAAAGTCAGAATGTCTTTATTTAGTTCATTAAGTTTGTAAATCTTCAAAATATCGAGCCCCTTTTCACATAAGTTAGGCGAGAACAACAGAACCTGCAAAGACTGCTATTCGTCAGTTTTTTTCCAAGTTTTCACACAAATAAAAATTTCTAAGTGAACCCAGAATGCAAAGTTAAAGTCACATGACAGTGATATCATCGTGACTTATTGGTCGATTGACTTCTTGGGTTTTTTTAAATTAATTAATTCTGGTGAATCTTTTGCAGTGCATGGAGACTCTTTTAATCAGTATCAGCCAATAGTTTTATTGACTTCAATCTGCTCTGTTCTCTGGTAGTTAATGAACAGGCGCGCCAAAGATGGAGTGGATATCAGTTTGTGCAGCAACCTAAATCAAAGCTGGGCTCATCTAAAACGGTTTCACAACTTTTTCTCTTCAGTATTTATTCAAAAGAAAACAGACGAACAGCATACATTGTTCATATGAAGTATATTTCCCAGGGATGACGTGGGTTAACTTGTCCGACCACTGGCCCTTTCACCTTTGGCCCTCCATGCTCTCATCATTCTTGCATGTATTATTCAGATGGTGATAAAACCATTATCATGATGTGGAGGTGGAGGTCATAAGCTGCAGCATCCATGAATCAATAATGCCATTGTGGTTCACACTCTTGTGTTTTCACAGCAGTAACTCTCTTACCATCGAATTCAGTGATTCATGGAGGTGTTGCTGAACCAAATATGATTTTTATCACCAGATCCATAACCCCGCGGAGGCTCTGAGGGTGTGTTTGATGCTGGGTTGACATGAGACACACTCTAACAGAGACATCATGTGCACAAACAGCTTTTAGTCCTCCAGTGCTAAAGCTGACTTTAATGTAATTTTATGGCCTGTGCAGTGGCTCCTGTTTATCTTGTATCTTTACGGTCTGCTGTACACTTCATGAAGCTTGAAGTTGTCTCTTATCCAACAGTACAGGTGCAGTGATCTCTTTTATGTCGTGTGTGTGTGTGTGTGTGTGTGTGTGTGTGTGTGTGTGTGTGTGTGTGTGTGTGTGTGTGTGTGTGTGTGGCACATGCTGAGGGGCACATGCATTGTCCTTGTCAGTATGTATACACACAGGACACAGTTTAATGTCTGTAGTAAAACTAAAATGAGTATTTTGTTTCCTTTGGACTGCATTATTAAATTGTTCTGCATAATGATTTTTGGGCCAAGTTTCTCCTAGTTTATGTTTCCTCTATGGAAGCACAGTGACACCAGCCAACTGTTTGTCTGGACACTAATGCTGTGCGGTCTGCTTCATAGTTTTTTTCCCTGCTGAGACAGATTTTTTATTCCTTTTTAATTCAACAAGTAATCCAATACTGTGGCTTTTTCCCAAATCTGTTTGTTTTATGTTGCAGCAAGTGTTTTAATGGTAACACACCTGTGTAGTTCCAAATAAGGCAGCTAGACTGGCTTTTTCTAACACAAGTAAATGTGTCTCCTAGTGCCTCTAAAAAACATGGGTCTTGGTATCAAAGAGGGATTAGATCATGGACTCTGGAGCTTTAGCTCCTTGAGTTAAAGCTATTTTTCCAGCCAACTTCTTAAAGCCAAAAGAGTCTCCACATTGCAAAATTTCCCCAGAAGTGATAATTCACCAAATTTACATAGCAGTCACATCCCTCCAATAACTCAAGTGTAAAATTATTGAAATGCAATACAAAGTTGCTATCATCTTCCCACCATTTGGTTAATCAAAGTCTCAAATGACACTAAAAAGTGGATGTCTGGTATGTTAGCCACATTTCAAGATAAAAACAGTTTACTTGATAACCCATGAGCTACTAAGCAAAAGCAACCCGTAGTATTAAAACCCATTATACCAGCTACCTGTACAAGCTGAACTGAACTAGATGCTTTACAGTTGAAAACTGATAAAAGAAACGAAAAGAAAAGCACAAATTTCTCAGACAACTGGCACATTTATGTTGGCTAGACATTAGGTGGATCCCAACATTGAAAAAATCAAAATATTTGGCTACTCGTGAGTTCTCACTGCTGAGACACATCAGCCTTCGTTCAGATTCCTCACTTAACCTTACTGTTAGCAAAAAAATGAATGCCTTCCTTATCATATTATGTAGAATTACCAAATTATCATGTTTGTTAGGAAGTGGGTGATTGCCAAAGCTAGCTGTTGTCTTAAATTAGCCAATAACTTTTTAAATATTATAATTTACCCCAACATAAGACCAGATAGGCCTCCAGACTTTCACTACACCTGTTTATAATCGAGGAGCGTTAAAATGAAGACAACATTGAAGATTTACAGCCTTAAACAAATCTGTATGATCAGATCAGGATTGTGTTTTCCCACTCTGAGCCCAACATTTGAGGAATACTGTTTGTGATCTGTTACACTTAGGCCTCTTATGATGCGCCAAGTTTTTAACACATATCAACCAAAGTAATAAAATGTCTTTAAATATGGCCTTTTTTCTTACTGCTGGACAGGGCCAAAATATGTCCATTATAAACAGTAACTGACTTTCACTTTAGAGTTCCAGGCAGTCAGATTATCTTCATGGTGGTCAGTTCAATGTGAAAGAAAAAAAAAACATTATTTGGTGTTGAGCTATCATTCCTCTTAAAAATGTACAACATCATTAAATAATTTACTCTGTCTTTTTAAATATTTCCTTATTTTGTGGAAAGTGTAGTTTGACTCTGTTTAGCTCATGATAAATTTTACAGGTTGTAAAATTCACTTCAATATTCATTCAATTTTTGCAACAAAAACAGTTTAAAATGTTTAGAAGACAAAAAGGAAGGAAGGCAGAAGGCATACATCAGCGATGTATGAGATTAATTAAAGAAACTGTCAGGGTGCCCTATAGCATAGCAGCACACTACCTGTTGTCCTGTTGGCCCCCTCAGGGAAACTATGACCTCTCGTCTCAACTGCTGTTTACAGCGTCGTAAAAACAATGCTTTTTCTTTGTCCGTCCCTAAGCCCTTGTCAAAAACACACCTTGATTTGGACATAAATCCCCGCTGACAGCCTCTGCAGAGCTGCTGCAGCCGTGGACAATAAACAGGCTGTTAAATTGTGTGCACTTTAGAGGCTGGGAACGGATTGTGGTATTACAAATTGATTGGGCTGACCATTTCTGTGCAATTATTGTACCATAATTCAAACTGATATTTAAGGATAATTACTAAATGGTAAAAAGGAAATAGAAGTGGAAATGAATGAATGTACGATGGCTTTGACGTTCTGTTGAGTTGGGTTTAAGTGGGGGATAGCTTAAAGTTGTTAAATAATGGATGAATAATCTTCCATTCAAGGTAACTGATATGTTTCCCCTCCGATGTAATCACAGCTAACAGTGGCTATCCTGAACATTTAGTTAATTCTGCCTCAGTAACCAGCCTCTCTTTCTTCACTCTACAGGCAATAAAAGTCAATGACAAGAAACAACAATATGCACAAGAAAAACTCATTAGCTATCTCCAGTGTTTTGAAGGCAAACACTGGGAAAATAACAGGGCCCAGATAAGGGAAAGGGCAGACAGTTAAGGTTTTTCACAGTCCAATAAAACCCAGCTAATGCACTCCTGAAGAGCAGTTTGGGCCCCTGTAGAGGAAGAAGTGTTTGAGTTGCCATCAAGGTGAAGATAATGAGACCGGTAGGAGGCTACTGATTTAAAAAACTTTTTTCTCTCCTACCAATGAGTTTGACCAACTTTTCCTACACACACACTGCTCATGTCCATCACTTTGAGTTAGGAAAACGGAAAAATTATATAACTTCTATTTTCTTGCATAGAGCTCTAACTTGAACAAATCATGGTGTTAGAAGTCTACCTATCAGCCGCATCTACCTAACTCAGATGGAGCTCTAAAAGCCTTTTTCCTAAACCTGCCTTCACTTTAAACCAGCACCCTTTCCATTTGCATGACACATGCTGCCTAGTCCAAATATGAAAAGACGATTACACACACACGTACAAAAAGTCCACTCCAGTGTAAGAGCAATCTCCCAGGAGGATGTCTGACTCCTTCCTGCCATCATGGACAGAAAGGGGGAAATGATGATGCGTTTTTATTTAGCCTTATCTCCAGAGTGGGGGAGCCACTAATATGAGCAGAGTGCTTTCCAGGCAGGCAGACCAGTCTGTTTGCACAGTACAGGAGGAAAAAATGGGGGTTGATGGATTCCTACTACTACAGTGTGGTAATTCATGTGCATATAAATGACTCCAAAAGGGTCTATTGTCAGTCAGATGCTGGAGATGCCTAATTAGAAAAGAATGATACACTAAACGAGTATTGCAGTCATGCTTGTGCTGGTGTACTGAACATCAGTGTGGCTTTGACCTCTGGTAGAAGGTAATGATTGTCATGCTAGTAGGGCTGGGCGATATGGGAAAAGTTTATCACGATATTTTTTTTTCATATCAGTCGATATGTATCATGATATAAAAAATGAAATTTAACAGTGCTCATTGGTAGCATGTCTTTTGCAAAACAATAAGTTACTGCATCTGTGAGGTCTTTGTGTCTCTTCGGCGTTTTGTTGTGAGGCATTGGACTAGAGAAAACGGACTGAATGGTCGGCTGTTTCTGCTGCACAGGCACCATAGGCTCCTTGCTCTGCTTGGGGTTTGCGACCTTTTGCATTGCGCCTGTTCTGCCGCAGAGCACTTCTTCAGATGGTGAAAAAGATTTGAGGTATTCCCCAACTTTGTGAGAACATATACTCCACACAATTTACAATGCACATTACTCTGCTTCATGTCCGACCTCAAAAAAACAAAATACCTCCACACCACTGATGTTTTTGTGCCATTGTTGTCAACAATGTCATCATCTGTTGAGTCTTTATCTGCATTTCTGCACTCAGTTTCTTTTTTTTCACCAACAGTGCTGTCGGCTTCATGTGTTTCAGTGCTATGGTTGCGTGTTGCTGCTGCCTGCTACTACGCAGTTGTTTGCATCTTGGTTCTAACTCAGCACACGATTGGTGCTGAACCAACCATGCCCTTTTCATTAGCTATTATCGTAGTCTACCAAAACATGGCAGAATGCCGACTATTGAAAAGGATATTGACCATGTTTTATATTGATATTGAGGGGAAATTAATTTTCGGTATATTTCGTTATTGTTTTATTGCCCTGCCCTACATGCTAGTATTTAGTATAACACCACAACCTTGAGTAATATTGCTCTAATGCAACAATTCTACAAGTGTCATAATGAACAAGGTTAAGATTAGTCATTTTTAAAATATTTTTTATCCTTCAATTGTGATCTAAGAACACAACTGGTTTAGCTCCTTGACCAGGACTAGACAATCATCAGACAGCCCAAACCTTCTCTGCAGACTTTCTATATCATGTATATGATGCATAAGGGGGAATAAGACTTGGATCATCAATCCTGAGGCAGTGTGAAACATTAACTTTAAAGTAACAGTGCTGTCATACTGTGTATCAGCATGAATGGAGTGCACCGTGTCTTGTCCAATCAAATTACTCAGTGTGCGATTAACACATACCAAGTCTTTGTGAAGAGTCAGGGATTCTTTTAATGTCCCTCAAGCCTTAATACCTCACGTGGTTGTGTGCTGCTAACAGCATCACTTCAGCTATTTACAGTAATATCCCACAGTCTGATGTATTTATGAGTGAGCTTGCAATAGCAGCTTTAGGTAACTCTGATGGATAGTGTGACAAGCGTCAATAGCTCAAGGAATGATTCAGGCCATGATATTTACGTCACAACAAAAAAGGCAAGCCACACCGGGATTTGGTGAGCATCCCTTCACTATCCCCTGTGTATTCTCTCTTTTCCCTCCAGTTAATCAATAACATTAATTTAAAACTAAGAGGAGCTGATGGGGAATGACGTTGGGGTTTCCAACTTATTACATGATTGTCATTGTCAGAAATCTCTCAGGTTTTATTCAATAGGTTGAATATTTTTAGCTACTATTTCATTACAGGTTGTCTTTTTTTTTTTTTTTTTGGACATTTGCTTCCAGTTCGATAAATATTATTACTTCACCTCTTTTTCTGGAAAAAGTTTCATACTACACTTAAATTTTTATAGTTTCAATTCAAATTAAAGAAAATTATTGTCACTTCTTTGGTTCCCTTTTACCACCTCAAAAGGTCCATGATACCGGTGTCTTTTTTTAGTGACTCAGTGAGACCTTTCAAATATCTAATGACTGTCCTGAGGCATACGTTTATGAAAAAGGGGGCGGATGACGACAAATACCATAAAGTGAAATCATCACTCCTTAAGAGAAGCAGAAAGCATGATGCCATACTAGAGGTGACTCAATGAGGACTCCATAGTGGGGGCAAACAGCTGACTTTAGCTGCAGGCTGTGGAGCCATCAAGTCTCAGGGGGGTTGACTCAGGACCGCCTCCCAATAGACGCCAATTAAACAGAACATGAAATTGGCATTTTTTCTTTCCTCTAACATCTTCCAAAGACTAAATGAAAAATGGGCTCAGTGGTCCAACAGACCCAGTGCACATACAAATTCCCGACAGAATCAATTCCAATTGTAATTAAGGCAAATGAGCAGCGTGTAACTGAAGTGTTTAGTCATCAATAACTGATGAAACCATTTCTCACTGTAGAGACCAGAGCTGTGTTTATGTTGCTGTCCACTTTTACAAAGATTCACAACAGATAGCTTACGTTTACCACAGGAAACCTGAGGGAAATATAGCCTATATGAGTCGTATAAGAATAACAAGTAATGTGTTGTTTTCTAGTTTTAGGCTGACAGCAAACACCCCTCTAGTTTTGATATCAATCACTTTGATTCTAGGGCTTAAAGCTGTGTCGAGGAGAGAGGCCATATATCAGCAACACCTTGAAAAACAAGGGATGGGGGTACTGGAGTAGCCTGGAGTGTCAGTTAAAGTAAATGGCTGCTGGGAGGTGATACGCTACCTAAACATCAGGGAAATAAGCACATCAATGAAAACAGAGAGTGTTGAAGCCCAAAAAACAAACAAAACCAAAAAGAAGAAGCATCGAACAAACAAATCTGGATCAACACTATGACAACAGAGTGATTAGGGGTTAGAGGTGCCAACATATGATGCTAACGAGCAGAAAAAAACAGCTGAGGCTAATTAGAACTGGTTTAGCAGTTGTGTAAAACATGGATGAAAAACAGTTTTGAAGCCTGACAGTGGTTCATAACATAATGGAGACGCTGACTGATCTAAACATCAGATCAGTCTAAACCCCTTCTAGTCAACTCCTGTCATCAGGTTTATTGCTATTATTTCGGTTTCCGCTGCTGTTAACAGGTTTTTTCACAACAGACAATAGCACCTTTTCAGTGTTTTTAAATGTTTTTAAAAGCAAAAAAAAACTATCTTCCACTAGGACTGACTTTGTAAAAAGGCAGAGTTGAATAATATTGCACTGCTTTCTATAGTTTAACACTGCACCTATTTTAAGCTGTTGGAAGTACTAAACTTTAAGTATTTTTGCTTAAGACGTCAACAAGACCTGTGGTTTTATGCTTCTTAACTTTATGATTTACATTTGCAAGTCACTGAGTGGCGGGATAAAAGGAGCCCTCTGATTGGTCAGATAAAAGGGGCCTCTCTTCCCTGTCTCTTAGGGGTGGATGTGTTTTTCCCTGTACTTCAGTTATTGTTAAATTTTTTCCTCCTCTTTTCGTCTTCTTTCACTCTTTCTCCCCAACTTCATCCTTCATCTCTCCTTGCTTGAACCAGGTTCTCATCCTGTACTGGAATCAAACCCAGAACCATTTCACTGACAGTCAGCAGTCTTTATCATTTCACCACAGGACTGGTTGACAGTGTTTCCTTTGTTCTTTTCATTTCACCATATGATCATCCTTTTTTAAAAGCATTTATCAAACAACATTTAAGGAAAGGGTTTCTTTGGTGCGTTACATGGGCACTCCAGGATTTGAAACTAGGATCTTTCAGGCAGAGATCTTCACCACTACGTCAGAGTAAAATCTGTTCCTGTGTGGTTTTAGGGTCTTTTGATTTCACCTTTCATTAAGCACAGCTTGACAGGTAATGTGAGGACAACAATTTACCCCATGAAGCACGGCTGTCCTTGATCCAAACCCAGAATCTTTTCATAGAGGGGCAGCAACCTCCACCATTAAACTACAAGTTTGCCTGTCAGAGTTTGCTTTTGTAGGTTCCTATTACCTCTGCTTTTGACTGTGGAAGTTCAAAATTGCGATTGAAAGCACAGCTCAAACTACACGTGAAGAAAACAATTGTTCCTGACTGACAAAGTGCCTCTATCCTGGATTTGAACAAAGATTCCTTTCTTGAAGAGGCACTACAGGTTAACCTCAAAACACTTACCTTTCAAGGAGCTTTTTACTTACATTTTCTGATAATGCCCATAAAAAACAAAGCTAAAGATAGATGTTTGTGAAAATGTATATTTTGGTTTACAAGAAGCACCATTAAATGACTGTCCAGATTTTAAAACAAGAATCTTTGATGTAGAGGGCATCAGCTTTAACCACTACAGCCCTTATAACCTCTACTTTTTGACTGAGGGAGTTTAAAGAAATGTGGTCCTGTGGTTAATCAGAGGACTTCAAGATGCTGATTTCAACAGGCCAATGAGAACACTCCTTTCATTCAGCCAGTCAGAGGGTTTCTTTTATTTCATTCAGCTGGGAAAATTTTAAAATTACCGTAATTATCAGGGAAGATGAGAAACCTTTAAATTGTGGACCTGACAGGCAGCTTACTGGTGTAGTGGTCAAGGTTGCCGCCTTAAAATCAAGATGGTTCGAATCCAAGCTGGAGCTCATCTGTTAGGAGTTGAGAAAAAGCTTTGAAATTTCAAGACTGAACAGAAAAGTAGAAGAAAATTGAAAACATGAAAACAGATAGTCACCTGTGTGGTGTAGAGTTTAAGCCCACTGCCTTACAATAAGAGAGTCCTGGGTTGAAATCCAGACTGGAATGGGCTCCATGCACTGCTCCAATACTTCCTGAACTTAAAGCAGCTCCTTTATTTCTTTTCCTACAATATTGGACAAACTGATAAATCCAGGTGTGACTGATTATTGTGACTAGTCAGACACACCTGGATTAATCAGTTTGTCCAATAATGTAAGACAGGAAATAAAGAAGCAGCCTTAAGTTCAGGAAGAAGTGGATCGCTGCATAGAGCCCATAGGAGCCCTTTATGTGGGATGAAAATGAAAAGATTGTCTCACACTGGGCTTTGCTTTTGAACAACATCAACAAAATGCTAAAATGAGAAGACCTAGAAAAGAAAGTGCAGCAAGGCAGGCATGTGGTGTGATGGATATAACTGCTTCCTTTAAATTAAATGGTCCTTGGTTCAAATCCAAGAAAGTGAAAGTTTGATGAAGAGGTGAGTAAAAAAACAAGAAATGAAGAAAAAGAAAAACAGCTTCAGATTGTGCCGTTTCATGACTCCATTTTAAAACCTCTGTTAAATTAAATCACTTAAAGTTAGTTACTTCATTTCATTAAATAAAATTAAACAAATTACAGGAATTTACAATTATTTTAATGACCAAAATTGAGTTGTAACCTCTTACATTAGGATACGAAGAATTCTGTAGTCTGTGATGTTTTGTTAAGAATCCAGTTAGTGATCACTCCCATATAAAAGAAACTAATCCTGGACCTTAAATCTGTCGAATTTCCTGTCTCTTTGTTGGTTTAATCTGTAGCCCATGTAATCTGACATGAGATTAACATGTAGTGAGTGGCCTCAAATGTATTATCACCACAGCCTTCTCCCTCCACAGCTCCTTCTAACCTGTTGGCTGCCTGTTTTTCCCCTTTAAAACAGAGATGAATGATGTTAATCAGCACACGGAGCTCTGTGCATCCCTCAGCTCCTGCCTGCCTTGCTGTAATAAAGCAGTCTGCCTGCCTCAGTAATTACTCTCATCCGTCTCAGCCATATGAAAGAAGACGCAACTAGATAAAAGATCCACTCAACAGCTCCCTTTACCAGCATACAAGTTTAACCACAGCTCTGCCACATTCCTGCATTTTTTTTTATTCCTGATTGTTTGAAATATGATTGAAGAGGATGCTGAAAGACAAAAAAAATTAAAGGCAAAATAAATGTGTGTTTAATGTCTGTCTTATCACAATCTTTAAGCGGGACAATGCTCAACAAAGACATTTTTAATCATATTGCAGACAGCATGAGATTTGTACAGCAAGCATCTGCCACTGAATAGAGCTTTATCACGTTAGTTATTTTCTTAACAGAAATGTAAGAAAACCAGGAAACTTCACAAACACAACAGGAGGCTTATTGAGGAACAATCTATTGGGGACAAACACAAACAGCATACTCAAAAATAGAATAAATGTATGTTCTCCAAAGCCTAATTTTCAAAATATAACACATGGTTCCTGGTTCATAGAAAGTAATATCTACTTTTATCTACAAGGGACATTATTGTCAACTTTGATTCAAACTAACAAAACCAAAACTTTTGAATTTTACAGACTGACATGTGAAACTTGACTCTCCTCAAGTGCTTTGGGCTTGTTTCTCCAGCAGTGTGTCCACCATCTTCAGTAAGAAGGCCTCCAGGAAATGATAGAAGTCCTGAAAAACTCCTGCCTTGTCGCTGGTTGGCTCAAACTTGAGCACTGCCTTTGTGCTTTCAGTACCACCCACCATCTGAGGCCAAACCTTGAACTCCATGGGCTCCTTGAGCTCTGGTTCTTTCTCCATGATGTGAGCTGTGACCTTGGACTCCAGCTCCACACAGCTGCCTTCTGGCCTTGAGTCTGTGTCTTTAATCAGCTCCCGTCTCACTTTCCTCCTGCCGGCCCACACTTTGTGCTTTAACACACAGGTCCAGTGAGGAAGGTCAGGCCTACCCCTTTTTGCCAGTCTTGGTTTTTTACCTTGAGGTGACACAGAAGTATCACTGCTAGAGGACAGGGACCTTTTCACACCGACCGCAGCTGCACTAGGAGGGTCCGCTCCAGGTTGGGATGTGTTTATGGATGTGTTCAGAGACGCTGCGGAAGTGTCCATTTCCTCTGGAACACTGACAGTGGACTCTTCACCGAAGACTGCGTCTGTGGGAGTGAGGTGACACCTGAGAACAGTTTGAAAGACTCCTTCCACGGCAGAGCAAACCTTCTGAAACCACAGCAGCCGGAAACCATCACCTGCCATGTGCAGCTGATTGCGCAGCACCTCAGGAAGTGCGACTGATTTGAAGGGGACACTGATGGTGAGCTGCTCTGTCTTGGTGTGTGAAACATCTCCATGGGGGGTGAACAAGCGCACCAAACCCCAGGACTTGCCCTTGGTGGATTTGCGCTGGTACTGCAGACAGTGACAGTACTTGTCAGCCTCCTGGCACTCCCTCTGGAAGCTGCGCTGGGAGCGTTCACTTAGGTTTCCAGCTACGTTGTGGGTAAGTTCAAAAGGGTCCAAGAGATTTAGAGCGCCCAATTTGGGACCGTGGTGTTGGGTCTTAGAGGGCTTCTCCTCTTGCATGGCCTCCTCCTCTTTGTTCTGGCTGAGGAAATCTGTGATTGGGAGTGCACGCCCCTCCCTGACGGAAATAACACTGCTGGCAAAATCGAACTTTGCATAAAATGAGAAGAAGCCAGCGAGCAGGGAGCCTGGGTAGAGAGACACAGACATGAGTACACTGAGGGGCATTTAAGGTCTGCAGAACATTTGCACTGTATAAAGACAATATGCAAGGTTGTGTACGGATTTGATGCAGCTAGGTTGTAACCATGTCCCTTGAAATCTCTGGTACATCACACTTTTTAATTCTTACTCTCACTTACAGAGGTCCTGTGTGTTCTCGCTAGGTGGGATAGCGATAGACTGGCTGGGGAAAGTGCAGTCCCAGCTCTCAATCACACACTCTTCCTCCTCACCTGGAAGGAAGCCAACACATATGAGGATCAGTTTCCACTAAGAAACAGGCATCGCAAATAAACACGGGCAACACTGAGTTGTAAGATAACACTTTCGAACTAAGCCCTGTACAAATAGGAAGAGATAAGTGCATAATATCAAACCCAGATGCAATGTGGGTATCATCTTTGCTCATTTACAATATGAAACTATTTCTAATCATTTTGCAAAGTTCGGTTAAACTCTCTTCAAATCACAAAAGTAAGGGTTTATGTTCACAATGGGACAAGTGTTTAAGACCTGCAGCACTTACAGGCCATGTCTCTGAGCTGGTTCACTGTGTGGAGGACAGCAGGCTCACAGTTCTGCAGGTAGAAGATGACCAGGAGTGTCAGAGCATAGTTATTCAGCAGAGAACCAGCACCACCGGGATTACCTAAAAAATCACAACAGATCAGTCTCTTTAGAAAGTTGGGACTTCTCCAAGGCTACATTCACACACACCACACACACACACACACACACACACACCTCTAACTTGTGCGAGCAATTAAAGGTCCCAACTCTTATCCGTACACTGTGTGCACAATTATAAGGCAAGTTGTATTTTTAAGGATAAATTTTAGTTTTGAACAACTGCAGTGCTCTCTGCTTAAGGGAGTAAAAGTGAGATTTTGGCTTCCTTAGGAGAATATCTGTGTGTGCACAATTATTGGGCAACTATGAGTGTGCAGAATTATTATGCAACTAAATTAAAAATGAAAAATTTTCCATCTCACTTGTTTATTTTCACTTGTTAAAGTAAGAATGATAAACAAACAACTCAATTTACAAATAAAAATTGTTGAAATTAAAAAAAAAAAAATCAATGACCAATGTAACTACCCTTCTTTTCAATAACAGTCATAAGCCTTCCATTCATGGAGTCTTTCAGTTTCTTGATCTGTTGACGATCAACTTTTTGTGTTGCAGCAACCAAAGCCTTCCAGACACTGTTCAGAGAGGTGTACTGTCTTCCTTCACTGTAAATTTCCCGTTTAAGAAGGGCTCACAAGTTCTCAACAGGGTTTAGGTCAGGTGAAGAAGGAGGCCACGTCATTATTCTTTCATTTTTAAGGCCTTTACTGGCAAGCCACATAGTGGAGTACTTCGATGCATGTGATGGAGCATTGTCCTGCATAAAAATCATGGTTTTCTTGAAAGATGCAGACTTTTGCCTGTACCACTGCTTGAAGAAAGTGTCTTCTAAAAGTTGGCAGTAGGTTTGGGAGTTGATTTTAAGTCCATTTTTAACCCAAAAGGTCCAGCTAGCTCATCTTTAATAATACCAGCCCATACCAGTACCCCGCCTCCACCTTGCTGGTGTCTGATTCGAAGTGGAGCTCTGTGCCCATTACTGATCCAGCCACGGGTCCATCCATCTGGTCCGTCAAGAGTCACTCTCATCCCATCAGTCCATAAAACCTTTGAAGAATCTCTCTTCAGATATTTCTTGGCCCAGTCTTGACGTTTCAACTTGTGTGTCTTGTTCAGTGGTGGTCAGATTTCAGCCGTCCTTACTTTGGCCATGTCTCTGAGCACTGATCATCTTGTACTTCTGGGCACTCCAGGTAGGTTGCAGTTCTGGAATATGACAGCACTGGAGGATAATGGGTTCCTGGTAGCTTTACGTTCGCGTCTTCTCAAATCTCTGGAAGTTAATTTGCGTCTTTTTTTCTTAACACATTTCTTGCGACCCTGTTGACTATTTGCATCAAAATGTTTGCTGGTTCTGTGATCACGCCCCAATATTTAAGTAATTTCAAGAGTGCTGCATCCCTCTGAAAGACTTTTTACAATTTTTGACTTTTCAGAGTCACTTAAATCTCTTTTTTGGCCCATTTTACCTGAGGGAAAGAAGCGGCCTAATAATTATGCACACCTTGATATAGGGTGTTGATCTCCTTAGGCCCCAGCCTCCCTCATTACACTAATACACATTACCTGATATGCTTATATCCAATAAGCATTCAAGTTTATACAGCTTGGAGTTGGAAAATATGCATAAAAATTATGATATGATCAAAATACTCATTTGCCAAATAATTGTGCACACAGTGTCTATGAGTTTTCTAGGTGAGTTTTCAGACCCCTCTATCGATTAATTAAGAAACTTAAAAAAAAAAAAAACCTTGGTAACTCCGCCAAATTGTCTCAATTGAGTCATTTTTGCCGGTCCCCAGCCCAGATAAAGGAGGAGTGCTGGAGATGTTGTCTCTCATGTCTCTCTGTTAAAGGAATGGACTGTGAAGAAGATGAGTTACAGATATCCACTACAAAAGCAGAGAAACTTCTCTGCATTTCTAAGGTGATCAGCTATCAATCATCTTCTTCAGAGTCTGTGCTCTCAACAGGGAGAGCAACACTGCCGCCATGTGTATGGGAGAGGCGGTGTTCTCCACACGTGAATATCCTCAACTTGTGTGTGTGTGTGTGTGTGTGTGTGTGTGTGTGTGTGTGTGTGTGTGTGTGTGTGTGTGTATCTTGAAAACTGTGTGATGTTTGTCTCAAAAATAAATCATCCACAAACACATTTTTCAACAATTCACAAGCAAAATTTAAGATTTTCAAATGATGATAAATGCACGCACACATACAATTCAAAAACAAATGTGAAAATCATGGTGACCTAAAAATGAGGCCCAAAAGCTGCAAAACCACTGTTAGTGGACACATGCAGGTGTCACTGCATTCAAAGGTGTTAAAACACGCAAGCAACACAACAACATCATGTCATCCCCTCCCATCAACTCATGATGCAACCATTGCTTTAGAGACCACCTATGCATCCAATCAAAACTGTATAGAAAAGATTTACTGCAGTTTGACTGAGATCAAGTCTGTCATGATTGCAGATTTTGATAGGCATTTTTTAAAAATTGAATGGAGTGTCCTCCTGCACTGCATTTTTTAAAATTGAAAAAGGTGATGTCACCGAGCATGACTTATGACATCAGAGGTTAGCCAGTAATTGAAACAGAAGTCTCTTCACCTCCAGACGGAAGCAGGATAGCCAACGTCTAGCAAGCAAGCGAGCGCGACAAAGTTTGAAGAATATTTCAGCCGAGTCAGCAAAGTTAAAGAGAAGAAGAGCAGCTTTCTTCAACCATGACAACTCCACCACCAACATACCAGGCTGGTTTTGAGTTGAACAACCCCCCTCACCCAGCAGACAGTTCCAGTGAAGAGGCTATGGCGCTCACATCTGAAGATGGAATCAAGCTCTTAAATGTACAGGGCCTATGGCACAGTCCCATCACAGCGTTTGAGACGCTGTGTGAAGATCGTGACCCCCTGACAGACAAGATGCTGTTTGAGGCAAACCACCTCACGGCGCAGAGCCAGACCACCGACACTCTGCCTTCATTTTCAACTCCACCTCCATCACCAACGTACCCTGCGGGTTTGGGGTTTAACACCCCCCCTTCCGCAGCAAAAAGTTCCAATGGAGATTTTGAGGAGTTAACATTTGAAGATCTACTCGAGCTTGATCTACAGAGCCCATTGGACAGTCCCCACACAGGGTTCAAGACACTGTGTGACAACATGCTCTTTGAGTCAAACCACCTTACAACGCAGAGCCAGACCACTGATCCTCTGCCTTCTTTTTCACCTCTACCTTCATCACCAACACACCCTGCTGGTTTTGGGTTTAACACCCCCCCTCATTCAGCAGAAAGTTCCGATGAAGAGGCTATGGAGTTCACATCTGAAGATGTACTCGAGCTTTTTGACCTAGAGAGCCCATTGGACAGTCCCCGCACAGTGTTAAAGACGCTGGCTGAAGATGGTGACCTGCTGACAGATGACATGCTCCAGATCCTGTACACTGACCCTCTGCCTTCCTTTTCACCTCCACCTCCATCCCCAACATACTCTGCTGGTTTGGGGTTTAACACCACCCCTCACCCAGCAAACAGTGGGGCTGGACAGTTTGCAGAGGTCACAAGTGTTGAAGATGCTCTTCAGCTCTTTGACCATCAGCGTGCATGTGCCAGTCCCGCTGTTTCTCTTCCCACAGCCTCCAACTCAAGGTAAGTATTGATTCGAATTACTCAAACTTTATTTTATTCATAAACGATCATGATAATAAGCAAAGAGAATGGAAATGACATTAGGCATACCTTAACATTTATTCAATTAAAAAAGTTTGATAGAGCAACAACATTAACTTTCTCTCTGATTTTGACCAACAGGAAAAGAAAAGGGGAAATGGAGCAGGAGGACAGCTCGTACATCAAAAAGCCACCATATGCCTTCATGATGTTTATGAGGATGTACAGAGAAGATGTACCAGCTGAAGTTGCAGAGAAAGGGAGCGCAGAGATGAATGCTTTCCTCGGCCAGTGGGTAAGTGTGTCAGGACATGGTTCGTGTTGTTCATGCGCAAGTGGATGATCCAGTTTGGAAATAAGTGTGTTTCTGACAATATGTTTTTGTCTGTTTACAGTGGAAGGAGCTTACAGACGAACAGCGAGGGGACTTTAAAGAAATGGCCAGAGTGGAAAAGGAAGAACACAGTCGGCTGTACCCTGGTTGGTCAGCCATCAACAACTATGTAAGTACACAATCTATGCACAGCAGCATCACAAATGTTGTGATGTGAGATTTCAAAAGCAGCTTTATACTACTGACACTGCGTAGTCTGGTGTTACCAGGTCAGAAAAATAATAATGTTATGTTGTTTTTCAGGGCAAGAAAAAGAAAAGGATGAGGAAAAGTGCACCAGCTGCAACTGAACCATTTAACCAGTACCCATACCAGCAGCAAAAAATATATTAAAAAAATCAAATAAAGAAAAAGAAAAAACATTTAAAAAACAATAAAAAGAAATAAAAAATAAAAAACAGTAACTCCGCCAAATTGTCTCAATTGAGTCAATTTTGCCGGTCCCCAGCCCGGATAAAGGAGGAGGGCTGAAGTTGTGACATTAAAAAAAGAAGAATCAACAGAATAAAGTTCATTTGTTGTTCTAAACATATTTGGGGTGTTTTTTACTCACTTTTTTACTTACTTTTATCTCTCCCATGACATTGTTCCTCTCCCTTACAGCGTTCATTACAATTTTAGGCTAAGGGCCAGAGGCCAGAATTTCACTATTTAGTACACCTCAGGGTGGCAAAGGTTCATCATGTTTTTTGACAAGATACATGTCTGTAGAATTATGAACAGGCTTCATTTAGCGATTGAAGCAATAATGATGAGCTCATTCTAGCTTACACAGCTTGCATGTAGTATCAGTATTTTTTCCGCCTACCCTGTCTGCCCAAAATCTGAAGAATCTGAAGTTTTCTTTTTTTTTAGTTTTTCTTCCATTCAGTTTTTTCCCCCACTGTTTATTTAATATTCAAATATTAATTTTCACATTCGAATCTTGATTTTTTTTAAAACATTTGAATATATATTTGAATTTAGAATATTCGTTGACAGCCCTGCTTCACAGTGACCTTTATCAGATTTTTTAAGACTCATATCTGATCTTTTTGGGGCAGTGTGAACAACACAAGACGTATTGAATCTGATTCTTTTTAAATCAGATTTGTGCCACTTCCACATGTGGTACCAAATCAGGTACAGATTGCACCACACTCTGAACAGCCGGGTTGGAAATGTATCTCATGCTCCAAGAAAACAAACAGAGAAGACAGCTGTGCCGAGGTCGTCAGCGGAGGGACAGTGAGGTCTTAGACACCCATGAATATATGCCAAGAAAGAATATACTAGAAAAAATATAAATAATAGCTGTGGGAAAATATACCTGCATAATTTCTCCACTGTGGTTGAAGGTAAATGTTTCATTTAAGAACCTGATAAATTTATGAGCAAAAACAAAAGACCCCTGAAATCTCACATTTGGATTACAATCGCAGACTTGTACGCAACTGATTCTATCCGACTGTGACAGTCAGGGAGCACAAGTGCCTCAGTGAGCGCTGTCTTGGTAGTGTGGAGGATACAAGTCAAAAGGAATAAACAGTTAACCTCCCAGGAGTAAAGGTAATCAGTTAGCTCATCAATAAAAAAAGACTTTCACAGAGATTTAAGTTTACAGAAAAACAGCCTAGAATATAATCATCTATATGTTTTACAAACTGATCTGATGGAGCTCTAGTGACATCTGCTGACTGAGAAAGAAAACTACTACCTACATGACAAAGACACCCTACACACTCAATTCAAATCAGTACTGTGTGTGATGTTGACAGTCATCTTGACTTACCGGCTAACTGCTTCTGCTTGGCCCAGTATCTGATGGTGTACACCAGAGGTCTCAGTCTGTCCTCCTTCCCTGTGCACAGCTGGAGGAAACGAGTGTTCCTCACTGCTAGTCTAGTGAAGGACACAGGAAGCCATACGATGATTCTGCTCACCGTACAAAAAAAATAAAAACTCTCACTACATTTAATGTTGCATCTCGACTGACCTGTTGTTAATGGTGATATCTCCCTGCAGGTTCAGCTTGCGGTGATGGAATTTGACCACAGGGAGACGAGCGCTGCTGACAACATTGACTTTGTGCACACTGGGGACACAGCGTCTGAGGATCGCTGCCACCAGTTCCAGGATTTCTACAGGGGATGCAGTGGAGAGGTCAATATCAGAGAGGATGGAGTCCTCTGAGCGGCCGTCGTCTGACATGCCCTCCCCTGTCTGAAAAATGAAGGACAATGAGTTGAATGAATCATCAAACTCACTTCATGTTACATCATTTCTGGTTATAAACATTGTGGAACCTAAAATATATTTTTGGTCATAACTTGCACTTTACACCAAAAGTGTTGTATTTAAAAGCTTTGTACCTGTTCTATGGTTGACTTGGCACGAGCCTGAAACACCTTAGTGTTTTCCAAATCTAGGAACAGGTCCAGGTCACAGTTGTGGATGCCAAAAGTGTTGACAGATGAACCAAAAGGCAGAATCTGGCTGTCTGTAACCAAATCCAGAGTATTATTAAAAAATCTGTTGAATGCAGTTATCTCTCTGTGGGACAAGATTTCATGTTTGATTCTCTGCAAGTTTGATTGTAAAGGTCACCTGGGAAAAATTCCACAAAGACTTCTTGCAGGAGCTGAACCACCAAGCCTCGAGCCTTCTTTTCATTTTCTCCCAGCTGAAACTGTTGAACAACATGCAGCATCTGCGCATCCACCTGGATGATGAAGGCCAAAACACAAATGTTTTTTCCTAATGAGCTAGTTTGACACTAAACCTAGGCATTATGATAAACTGGCGCAGCACCATTAAAGGGATATTCCAGCGTAAAATTAATTTAAGGTCAAACACACCGTAACACCAAGTTAGACACCCCATCAAGAGATGAATGTTGCCGACCACTTGCTTCTCTAGTTATACCAACTTTAGTGACGACCGCAGGATAGTAATACACAGAGAGCCACGCGTTAAACCAAAAAGCCGCTCTATAGCCACAAATAATGTTCAGAACAGCACCTAACTTCATCAACAGTACATATAGGGTCCTAGCTACAGCACTAGACACCAAACATCTTTTTAGCTTTGCCTAATTTCTTTAGCAAAGAGACTAAACACAACTCACCCACTCTCTTCCGCTTGTTTGTACAGAGACCTCTGGCGAGTCCATCGACTGCAGCGGGGTGACGCAGCTCAAGGAAGAACATTTATTATCATTTCTTCATGGAAATGCGATCAGACCGAGACGCTAAGGCAGAAAACTACCGTGTCTGCAAAAATGAGTAATATGATTTTTACTTCAAGGAAATAATAAATTAATGATCATAAATTTTCTTCCTTGAGCTGTGTCCCCCGCTGTTTGGTGGCTAGTGCTATGGCTGGGACCCTATATGTACTGTTGATGAAGTTAGGTGCTGTTTTGAGCATTATGTGTGGCTCTATAGTGGCGCTTTGGTTAAGGTTTGTCTTTGGCTCCTTAGACCGCTGTGTATTGCTATCGTGCGGTCATTACTAAAGTTGGTATAACTCGAGAAGCAAGTGGTCGGCAACATTTATCTCATGAGGGGGGTGTCAAACTCGGTGTTATGGTGTGTTTGACCCTGACTTAATTTTATGCCAGAATATCTCATTAAGTGAATAGAAGATGAGCAGAAATGTAAAAACAACTGGCTACTCGCAGTATCGTAGCGAAAAAAGTGACCAAAATGAGCCCCTAAAAGGCTGTAACCCCCTCTTTTAATGATCAAGCATATTTGCCTTTCAGATGCACACTTTTATCTGCAGACACCAGGATTTAAAAAACTTACAGTCGCCTGCTGACACAGCTGAGGTTTAAGACGTTCAAGCACTTGTTGTGGGTCACAAGTCTTCTTGTCAATCAACTTGAACGCTCTCTTTTCCCGAGGTTTGACCCGCAGCTTCAAGCCCTTCATCCGGTGTTCAATACAGGACAGAGTCGACTCAACGCTGTCAGTCTCATCAAACTGCACAATGGCAAATACACCCTGAGAGAGCAGAGAGAAACACCACAGTCAAGGTTCACTGTGATTTGGGAGTAGTGTTGCAAAGGGGCGTGAAATTTCCGGTAAATTTCCAGAAACTTTTCATGGAAAGTTAACTTCCCATAGAAAGTTAAACTGGGGAATTTTGGAAATATCCAAATTGGAAACTCCATGGGAATATGGGAATTAACTGGAAATTTGGGGTAATCTAAACAAACTGCATCATATCTAAACATAAATGTAAATATTTTTTGGCACTTTGCAATATGCTGCTGCATTTTTGCATTCTTCGCGGATGTCTTTCCACAATATTTACACATTTACAAAGACTTTCCTTCAACATTAGCTTGTGTGAAATGCTTCCACACATCAGATGGTGAACATGGCATTTCTCTGTAGAATAAAATAATGAAAAAGCTTGTAAAAACACTAATGCAACATCATGAACAGAAATATAGTTGGGTAAACAACTGGAATGGTGTTCAAAATATTTGACAATTGATGTATAAATTATTGTATGGTTACAGAAAACTGTCTTGCAGTATATTAATACTACTATAGATCAAATATATTTACCCCATAATGTTATCAAAACTTACTTGACTTTATATAGTCTGTGGGTCTCGAATGTCTTGTGCTTTGGGTTTAAAAGTGTGGCCTCAAGGGTTCGGAAAATCATCTGTGCGTGTGATGGAGGAATGCACAGTGTATGTAGGGGGTATGGTCTCAATAGCCCTGCAGTAAGCAGTGTACTTGCATTAAATATGGTTGTTTTAGCCAAGATTATGCTGCAATATATTTTCCCCAACTATATTTGAGTTCCCTGATATGGGCCAACCTTCACTTTAGTAAATTTCAGATTTATTCCTGTTAATCCCCAAGGAAAGTTTCCAACTTTGAAAGTTCCAGGAATTTTACAACCCTGTTCATGAATCACTTTCCATGTGCTGCAGGAAGACTGTATGGCAGCAGGATAATGCTGAAATTAGTGACTGACCTTGTCTTTATCCATAATGACATTTGAGATTGGCCCAAACTGCTCAAAGTACTCAGCTATGTCAGTCTGAGAGATTTCAGGCTTGATGCCACTGACAAACACACTGTGCTCTTCCTGAGTCTTCCTTGTAGCTCTCACAGAGCTCAGCGTTTTGTGTTTCTTCCCTTTGACATGCTGCTCCAGGCTGGGCACTGCAGGAAACATTCAAGCAACACTGCGTCAGGAAAAACTATCTCAGAGAGAGACCATCGTTTTATTATTGTCATTTTTTATGTGACAGTGCTGTTAGCAATCCAACAGAGACAGTGGGTAAACATAAAAAGTGAAACTAGTAACACAATTTCAAAGTTTAACAACGCACGTGCAGCTAACGCTAGCTCCAACACTTACTGTTTGGTAAGTTGACTTTACACAGAGTGCAGTGAAACCCTCTAGGCGTCGTTTTAATGTCACTGTCTGTTTCCATGGTGACAAATGAAATGTTTAATTAAGGTAGTAATCAAAAGGTAAAGTTGTCAGCGTAATTGGACGGCAGTAGCTTCTCGCTCGCCCCTCAAATCTCCCTCCAACGTTGAACCTTCGTTTGTTTCGGGTACGACTCTCAAATGCGTCCGTGTTAACGTCGAGACTTCCTAATAGTTCCGGTGAATCAATGTAATTCACTTGTACACCAACCCCTAAATGCATGATTTACTGAGTTTGCAAAGAAGTATTTTTAATATGCAAATAAAATGGACTTTTAAGATATTATGTTTCAGTGTTCCACAGTGAAGATTTCAAGCATTTACTCAGATTACAAATAAAGACTAACCTTATTGAAAAACTGTATTGTGGGTGTGTATATTTTATATTTATACACAAAAGACATCTACAAGCAATAACACACAGTTAGACAAGATTTCCGTTGTACAAAAAATTTAATATCCATTTTTTAACCATAAAAAAATCTGCAAAACATCAAGGAAATAAAATACAACTTTTCATAACCGAAATGGAACAAAAATTCCCTGCAGATACATAAAAGAGCAGTGCTTTACTTTCAGTCTATGAATCTACCATTTAAAATGCCACAGCATGTAAAACCTGAAGAGTACAAAAATGATTTTAAAACAGAAAAGCATCAAAGTTAAGACTATATACACATGTTTTTACTTCTTTGCCGATCTTCCTTTGCGTGTTTTTGGCTGTGTCTCAGCTTCAACGCTTCCCCCTGTGCTGGTGGACTCAGCTTCCACAGGTGTTGCATCAGCAACCTTCGCCCCTCGCTTGGCTCTCTTGAGAGGCAGAGCTTTGACAGCCGTGTCTGAGAGATCTTTCTCTTCAGGTTTGCTTTCATCCTTTGATGCACTTTTGCTTTCAGCGTCACCTGGGTCTGCAGGTTTTGCCCTCCTGCCTCGTACTGCCTTCACAGGTGTAGCTTTTGGAATCTCAATAACTTTAACGTCTGACTTCCACCTCACAGACCTTTTGGACACTTTGTCTTCCACAGCAATGTTGCTCGAATCGTCAGTGGGAGTTTCTTGCTTGCTGGCCTCCTGAGCGTCTTCTGTTGTGGGCTTTGGCGCTGCTCGTCTCCCCCTTTTTGCTGGCTCTACAGAAATAGATGCGGGCTCTGAGGCTTCAGCTGCAGGTTCTGTGTGGGTCTCCTCTTGGGTAACAGCTGCTGCTGCTCCTCGTCTGGCTCTCTTTGCTGGAACAGCCTGTGGAGCCTTTAACTTCCGCGCCCTTCCTCGACTCGGTTTGATGACTGCAGCCTCTGGCTCAGCTTCATCCTTCTCCTCAGCCTCTGGTTTTTCCTCTGGTACTTCTGCAGGGACTTCAGCCTCCTCAGTCACTGGTTTTCCTCTCCTTCCACGTTTGGGTTTGTCTGTTGTGCTGACAGAAAGGTTCTCTTGGACCTCAGTGGACTCAACAGGGATTTCAATCTCTGTGTCCTGTTTTGCTTTTCGTCCTCTCCTGGGTTTTGCAGCAGCTGCAGTCTGCTCTTTTACCGTTACTGGTTCCTCAACAACTGCTGCTTCAACCTCATCTGGGGAAACCGTTTCAACAGGTTGGACTTCTTCCTTTGGTTCCTCAGCGGTTTGCTCTGCCTTTCTGGTTCTTCTTACTTTTCTAGCTGGTTCCTGTGACTCAGAAGTCTCGGCTGAAGTTGACTTATGCTTCTCTTCCTTCTCTTTGATGTTTCTTCCCCTCTTAGCCCGGACTGGAGGCTGAGCTGGCTGTTTAGTCTCAACAGTGACGGCAGGGTCCTCTGCCTCCTCATTTTGTTCAGGGGTATCAGGTTTGGTTTTCCTTCCTCTTCTGGGTTTTCCAACAGTAGGAACAGACTTTTGAGATTCAGCATCAGCTGTTAGCTGCTCATCAGGAACTTCATGTTTCTGCGGCTCTGGCTGTTCTACAGGTGTTTGTTTGGCTCTTCTTCCTCTGGTAGGCTTCACTGCGACTTCCTCTGCAGGTGGTGCTGAATCACTTTCCTCTTTTGCACCAGTGTCCTCAGTCACTGTCTCTGCGGGAACTTCAGGGACAGGTGATGCTTCCACAGGTTGCTCTGGCACCACCTCAGGTTGGTCATCAGAGGTGCTTTCTTGAGACTTTGTATTTCTACCTCTTGTCGTTTTTCTACCAGCAGCTGGTGCAGCAGCTTCAGTTTTCTTTCCCCTTCTTGCCCTGACTGGAGCAGAGACGACGACAGGCTCCTCGGGATGTTCGACTACCTCTTGTTCAACCTCAACTTTCGATTCGACCATTTTAGGCCTTCTGCCACGAGCAGGTTTCTTCTGAACCACAGCTGCATCCTTCTCTGCGTCTTTGCAAGCCTCTGCCTCAGGTAAACTCTCGGAAACAGGGGCCTCATTAGGAACTGCTTCATCTGCATCTGATGGTTTACATTCCTCAGTTTCACAAGGAACCACCTCCAGCCTCTCACTGCAGACCTCATCGACTTCTTGAATATTAGGAGAAATTAAAAGAGAGAAGTTTGTTGTTAGAATACAAGCAGAAGCGGTCAAATTCAAAATCTTGAAATCCAAAACTAGAGCAGCAATAATGTTTAAAATCAATGAAATTTATTAAGACTCTGTGTGTTTGATTTCACTCTAATGGTTTTTGTTCAAACCAGTAATGTAAAAAAAAAAACATACCTTTCACCACATCAGTCTGGGGCTCCTCTCTGGGAGTGGACACTGCCGCCTGCTGCTCTACAGCTGCTTGTTTAGGTTGTTTAGCTTTCTGTCCTCGCTTGGGCTTGACCACGGCCTTCTCTACTGATGCTGCAATGACATTTGCATCTTGGTCTTCTTCAGCCGGGGGACTCACTTCACTCTCTGGTGTAGGCACGATTTCAGTTTCAGCCACTTTGACGATCTCAGCCTGATCATTAGAAGCCTTTTTAGCATTTCTTCCTCTTTTAGGCTTAGCAACAGCAGCTTCAGAAGGCAGAGCTTCGCTTTCCTCAACTGCAGACTCAGCATCCGTGTTTTCTGCGGTCTTTCTGCCTCTGGTTGTTTGTCTAACAGCGGGGGCCGCAGGAGCCTCGTTTTTCCTCCCTCTTCTTCCTCTGACTGGAGCAGAGATGATCGGTTCTTCAGTTTTCTCGGTTGGTTCTTGTTTCTCCTCTGCTGCTTTGGTCTCCACTGCTTTTGCTCTTCTGCCTCTTACTGGCTTCTTCTGAACGACAGGATCTTCAGCGGTTGTTTCCATTTCTGTGGATTTGCAAGTTGCTTCTTCCACCTCAGGTGCACTCTCACTCGCAGGAGCTTGGGGCTCAGGATCTGAGGTGGTTGTTTCCATTTCTGTGGCGTTGCAAGTTTCAGTCTCGACTTCTGGTTGTTCTTCGGACAGATTTTCGTCAACAGTGTCCACTGTAAGTTGTTCTTTAGACAGGTTCTCCTCAACTGTGGGTTGTTCTTCAGACAGATTCTCGTCTACAGTATCCACTGTGGGTTGTTCTTCAGGGGCCATCTCTTCTACCTGTCCTTCACAAACGTTTCCTGTAGCATCTGATGCTTCATTGTCAACGTTTGTTTTTGGTGCCTCCTCCAAGATGTCTTCAGCGATAACTTCCTTTATATTAGCATCTGAAAAACAGAAAAAGAGTAAAATATGACAAACAGGTTAAATTTGCATTTAAGCTGCTCTGGTTTTCACATCAGGATTGGGATTTTTTTCAAGAAGCTGCTGTGGTCCAGCGCTAGTTCATCATCACTCATTTACAAAGTCCTGGAGTTTGATCTTAGGGGGTAAGTGCCTTGCCAAAGACACCTCCACATGTGGAAAGTAGGACCTGATTGTCCCTTAGTGCTGCAGCATCAGCATTAGTTAATTCTAATGGGCGTTCACATAGCTCACATGCTTGGTAGTCAGAAGACAAGAACTATATTGACACTGTCCGTTTAAAATATGATGCAGCAAGGATTATACACTTAAATCAACATCTTCTAAATTATTTGAGTGCGTTTGGATGTTTATATTTGTGCTCTGATGACACTAAATATGAGACATTCTGTGACTGAATCTAAATGCTGTATTTCTTATCCACCGAGATGAAGTTTAACGGGGTACAAACAATCCGCTTAATTTGCCAATGAACATTCCTTGAAGTCTTGAATTATTTCAGGTGTTATGCCTTCAATAAAACTCAAGAATGAGTAGGAAACACACCTTTCTCCATATCAGTTGGGAGAGCGTCGATCTCATCTGATGGGGCATCTTGTTGTGTCTCTGATGAAACTTCAAGTTCTGCTCAAAAGAGAGAAAACAAAAGCTATCTCATCACTTCATGCACATATTAAAAACCATGCAGCGCAGTATTTATGTCTTGTTTGTCTTGCGAACCTTTTGCAACTTCTTCACCATCATCATTGCAGGACTGATCTTCAACCTTAAAAATATAAACGACAGAAAGACAGTTTAGATTATGAGCTCCAACTTTAAAAAGCAGCATGCTGACAACAAATATTTAGTAGAGGGTGGTTTTGCTGTGACGTAAAATCAGCTGACTGAAGCATTAAAGACCACACTGGAGCAAACCTGGATGAACTATAAAAGGTCTCCGTCATTACCTCCTTTGTCTCCTGCTCTTCTGCTGGATCACTCAGTGGCTCCTCCATGAGCTCTTGAAGTCCCTCAAAGTCTTCCACAGGTGCGGTCTCTCTCAGTCTTGGCGTTTTCATGAGCGTCTGAATTCCAAAGTTCTCCTCCACAGGTCCACTCTTCTCTTTTGGGGTCTTCAGGAGCCTCTCCACACCTATCATGTCTTCAACTGGAGCACCTGTCTCCTTTGGCGTCTGTGGGGCGCTCTTCACCTTTGGAGTTTTCATTTCTGTCTCTTCAAAGACATCTTCAGATTCTTGCTCTTGGATCGCTGTCTCTGCCAGATCCTCAACCGCATCCACACCTGCATCACTCGCCTCTGGAGCTTTGGGGGTTTCCAGAAGTTTGACACTGAGGTCTTCAAGAGATTCAGCCTCCTGTTGTGGGGTCTGCATGATCCTCTTGATTCCAGACAGACACTCCAGCTGTTCAGGCTTCTGTTTTGGCGTCATCAGCAGATTTCCTCTGATGTCCTCAACAGGTTCGACCTTCTGTTTTGGAGTCTTCAGGATTCTTTTCACTCCACTGAGGCACTCTTGCTCTTCAGGTTTCTGCTTTGGAGTCTTCAAAATCTTTCCCCTTAGGTCCTCAATGGGCTCTGCTTTCTGTTTTGGTGTCTTCATGATCCTCTTCACCCCGGTGAGACACTCTTGTTGTTCCAGCTTCTGTTTGGGAGTCTTCAGAAGTCTTCCTCTCAGGTCTTCAACGGGTTCTGCCGTCTGCTTTGGCGTCTTCATGATCCTCTTCACTCCAGTCAGGCAGTCTGGTAATTCAAGCTTCTGCTTGGGAGTTGACACAGAAGTGGTCTCTGAATCTGTGCACTGCTGTTCATCAGAGTGATTCTCCATGGTAGGGGCGTCACTGACGAAGCTGGATTCTTCCTCTCCGTCTAGGAGGCGTTTGACTGCCTCGCTGTTGTACTGTCTGTTTTTAACTGTGGATGAAACACTAAGTGGAGACACCATCATTTCACCTGTGAAAAAACACAACACATTTTATAAGACACACAAGCCTCATTTCTCAGTTTTACTGATTATGTAGGATTTCATTTTTGTGCTTCAGGTTGAGTTTTTACCTGGCTCCTCTGGTGTGCTCAGCACTGAAGGTTCAACTAAAGGTGTTTCCAGATCTCTCATTGGGGTCTTCATAGCACTGCTTTCACTGATTAAAGATCTCGTCTTCCTCTCATGTGCAGGAGTTTTAAACATCTCAGAAACTCCTTAAAAAAAAAAAAACAGCAACAACATGGTATGAGTAAGTGGTATCTTGAAGTCAAAAATGCACTGCCAAGAATGAGGGTTCCCATTTTCGTCAATAAAAAGGAGGTTTTCACCTGATAGGTCCTCGTCCATCTTCAGGTTCTTTTTCAGGACAGCAATGTTGGTGACCAGACGTGGTGCAGCTCCAGATGGTTGGACCAGCTTTTGTGCCTGGGCTCTGCTAACTACAATGGTCACAGGTGAGCATGCGTGTCCAGTGCTGACATGACCGGGAAGCGCTCTCGCTGGAGTCTGAGAAAACAGAGGTAATCAGAGTTAAAAACTATACAGCCATTAGGGAATACATTCAGGATAAGAAAAACAAAAAACAAAAACAAAAACAAATAAAGTATATGTTTCATGTTCGATCAGTTAAGGCAAGGCAAAAGTAGTTCATATTTGAATGTATCTCATACCTGTGGTTTGGACACAGCTGTCTTTTTCTTTGTCTTCCTGATGACGGCTCTTTTTGTTGGAGCAACCACTTGAGTCTTGGGTTGTCCAAATTTCACAATCTCTGCCCACAAGTTTTTAGCTAAAAATAAAGAAAAAAAGGAAATGTGACCTAATATATATATATATTTTTTTTACTTAACCCACAGCTGAAATCATGTCAAACTCTGTCTGTGAGGCTCACAATAACTAAAATGATTTTAGAGTCACACATACCTTTCAAAGAGGCCCGTGAAATGCCACTCCTTCTAGCCATCACTTTTACAGCACTCTTAGTTAACTTCGGAGTTTTCCGTACAATACTCTTCCTCTTCTGGGACATTTTAGGAGTTACATCAGGAACACACTCCTCCGCGACAGGGGATGGTGTGCTGATGCGCGACACTGAAAAACGCCCCTGAACTGTGGGGGTCTGTTTGGTGCTCTTAGGAGTTTCCATTTTGTCAGTAGATGGGGACTTGGATCTTGGAGTTTGTGCTTTTGGAGATGCAGATCTGGATTTGGGAGACACCTTTGCTGGAGTTGCTGCCTTGGGAGAAGGGGATGTGGATTTAGGAGATTTCTTCGCAGGCGTTGCTGCTTTTGGAGAGGGAGACTTGGATTTGGGAGACTGCTTTGCAGGAGTAGCTGCCTTGGGTGATGGAGACCTGGATTTGGGTGATTTCTGAGCAGACTTAGGAGACACACCCTTGGGGCTTGCTGACTTCTTAGGTGATTGAGTTTTCTTTTTAGCAGGGCTTTTCTCTGACAGCTCCTGGGGGGAAAAAAACAAGATCCAATATGAAACAAACACATAACTAATACAGAACCACGATCAGAACAGAAGTCAGTTCTTGAATCAGAACCCTCTGCTCAAGTCTTACCTCTAGCAGGCCAATAACCGATGCTCGCCGAAGGAGAGACTGTTTGGGCTTTAAAAGACCCAAGCTCCTGCGAGGAGCGGCTCCTTTGCGTAATGGAGAATCAGGAGGAAGTCGTTTGTCAAATAACTCGGGACTCAGATGACCCCCAAAGGAGACCCGTTTCCTCTTCATTTCTGATATTGGCAAGTCAGATGGAAGTTCTCCACTCTTGCGTTTCTTGGAGGTCCCTTTAACTGATGAACAAATTGATAATAATAAAAAAAAATGCACATCAGTAATGAGAGAAAACACCATAACCATGCTTGAGGAAGTACTGGAAGTACTGCTTTATGTGCAGCAGGCTTAGATTCAATGACACATCAAAGCTAGTACCTTTTTCAGCAGTCCTTGGGCTTTTTGGTGACGCCTTCAGGATGCGTTCTGCTTTAGGTGAAGTCACAGCAGATTTGACTGGTGTAGCCTCCTTACTTCTCCTCCTTGGCGATGACTTGGAGCAAATTTGATCAACTACTTCGCCCGCAGTAAACCTCTGGGGTGGTGTGCGGTTTCTCCTCTGGGGTGAAGGTGTCTCGGACTTTGCAGCATTTCCAGTTTCTGGCTCGGCTTCTGCTGTAGAGGGAGTCTGGGAAGACCTCCTCTGCTTCTTGACAGACTTCGGGGTCCCACTGGTTTTATTCTCTTCCTCCATTTTAACCTCATCAGCTGCTGGGGGGACCTGAGCTTCATCCTTTTTAGGAGTGCTTTTCTCTCCAGTTGAAATAACTGGTTTTGGAGTGCAAAACCTTGAGGTTGGTGTTTGGAGCAGACTGGCAGAAGATTTCCTTGGGGTCTTGACATCCAAAGATTTTTTGATCATTTGATACAGGTCATTGAAAGGGGAGGTGGTCTTGTTCTGCAGCTGGCTATCGTCTGACCTGGACTCAACCGCTGTGGTTTTTTCCACGGGTCGCTGGATGTTGTCATGGTTGGTTCCATCTTTAAGGTGAGGGTCTATTGAGGAGCAAAAACCAGAGGTGTCAGATCAGAAGAATCAAACTGTGCCCAACCCAGTCTGACCCATTGGACGCAGTCATCTTAAGGTAGACTACATAATTTTTGCTGATGTTAGATGTTAAAGAAACCCATCTTGATATGCATATACAGTAACTGCCAGACATAGGAGATTCATAGCCAGTAAAGTCAGTTAGAGTGTTGCTATTTTATAAACTAATCATTTAATTTAAAATTCAAGTCCTTAAATGTGATGCCTCTGATGACCAACAGACATGGACGATTCATCCTGCAACATTTAAGTTATGAAAGGCTCATTCAGGACAACTTGAATCACATCATCTCACCTGTGGACACTCCAGAGATCTCAGAGGTCACCAAGTCTACCACCTGCTGGTCTTGAAGAACCTGAGCAAACAATAATTTCTTTAATGCATTTACTAAATAATAAAACTCTGCAAGGTTTAGGCAGCAATGTTTTAATAGATGAGTGAATTACTTTGAGAGTCTCAGACTTTCCACCTGTGGAGGACCTCTTCTTTGGCGTGGGCGCTGGAGGGTACTCAAACCTGAAATCATTAATATGCAAATAAGATGAAGTAAAATAGTCTTGATATATCATGACATATATGGAGTGTGGCAGCAACTCAAACTAATGGTGACTTTGGAAGGCAACAAAAAGGAAAAAATGTTAAACTACACACTGACCTGAAAGAACGATCAATGATAGTTATCACATCTCCATGTTTCAAACGCTCAGACTGCTGCAGAGCTTCCCCGTTCACACGTGTTGGATTCACTGAGCTCAGATTAGTCAATATAACCTGAGAAAGACAAACAAAGATCCTAAAACACAGCCCAAGCAAAGCAAGGCAAAACTAAAGCAGCAACTCAGCAGCTCCAACTTAATCCATTTCAAGATTTTGCAGTGAGTTCAACACTTATTTAAGCTATTGGACGTGATCATTTTGGTTAAATTAACTATGTTACCTCTTTATTTTCGTTTAAGTCAATCCTGCAGTGCTCCTTGGAAACTTGAGGAAGCTGAATACGAATGTCACAGTCAGGCTTCCTGTATGATCACAAAAACGCATTTTAGGTCAAAAGGTTTACATGCAATCTCAACTCAAATGTTCATTAAACATTTTTTGATGGTTTGCAAATCATTTGACAACATTTATTTCATTGAAAATAGCACAAAGAAAACATATTGAATGGGGGAAAAAAACTAGAAAAAGGCTCTTTAAGATTTATGCCCGCAGCACATTTCAAAACAGTTAGACTAAGGTATGTTTCCCATTTTTTAACGACGCTGTAAATGTTTGAGAACCTAGAAGACCAGTTTTGAAAGTTAAATATTGTTTTGTTTCTATTTATAAAAGGACTCTGCTCATGAGTTTGGAGCCTCTTAATGTAACTTTTGTCTCATGATGATGTCAAGTCAAGACTAATACAGGCACACAAGATTAGCATCGGGACTCTTCTATTGTGGAACCATGCTGTTGTGACTTGTGCGAAATGTTGACCAAATACTCTCCATCTAGCAATCAAATTTTCAGGTTCAACATTCGACACGCTGTCTTTTGCAACTACACATAAACTTTAAGTGAATAGAAGACCATCAAATTCTGTTTCTTATTCTAATATGGCTGAATTAAATTAGACAATACCAGTTCACTGCTGCTAAAGTAGTCAGCTGTGTTTGTTGTTAATGCAGGAGCAGACATGAATGTAAGATTGACGTCAGTAAAGGATGGTCCGCCCCAAACCAAATAGGGGATTTATATGAGATCAAGAAGGTCTGCTAGTAATAAATAAAACTAGCATTGCATGTACGTTTGTTTACTCATGAAAGAGACGTATATTTGATGATCCACCGTGGAAAATTCACGTGATTTCACGTGGAACAGTGACATGACAAACCATCTGTTGAACTTAATCGATCTCACCTTCCAAATAAGCATGTTGCAGTAAGAGGAAACTCAGTCCCATCTCCTCCACTCCTCTTGATCACGACTATTTTCCCATGTAAAGGCATTTTTGTTACGTTACCTGGAACACAACAGAAACTATGCGATAAAACTGGCTTAAGGTTACAAATGCTATAGTGACAACAGGAAGATTGACTACCGTAAAACACTAGAATTTCAATAATAATAAGTTCACTATTAAATATGCAGTAAAGTGTAGTCTAGTGTTTGACAAAAATGTGTGAAAGGCTTAGCGAAAAGTAATGAGCATGTGACAAAGTGAAACAAACAGTGTTTAAGGCTTTTATTCATTCATTTACTTTTCAAAATGCACGCAGGAGTTTAGTGTTGAGTAATGTTAAACCATGAGGACATTATCTTTTCCACTCGTTTTAAGTCCTCGTAATTTTACTCTGCCGACAACTCCACGACAGCCCACGTGCAATTTAGTTTCGACAGTAACGTGCATGTCTTTAAGGAATCTTATAAAAAACGACATAATTTAAGATTCTGTACAAACATAAGGATTAATCGTTTCGATGTAAAACGTGTCAACGAGGTCAGCGAAACCTTGAATAGTTCAGCGTTGAAGCCGAAGAGGACAAACAGAAATATATTTGCAAGCGTCGTGATATTATCCTTACCTGGAAGTCCCTTTAAAGAGTCGTCAGATTCTGTCAATCCATAAATATCGACCGGAATGCGGCGAAAAGTATTTTAACAATAGTACAATACCAGACTTAAAGCACTGTCGACATCTTACCTTACACTACAAACATCAACGTATGGCTAACGGAAGCTAACTTTAACAGCCGTCATTTGTCGCCCTTCGCTTCTTCCCAAAAGCACCGTGGTATCGTTCCGCCGCAATACTCCGACACAGACGTGAAATTAAAACAACGTAACTTTTCGTGTTCCGGTATATGTTATTTGTCTTTTAGTATGCATGTTTCTATTATTCCGAAATTTTGACTGGGTTCGACTTATTTTTTTAAAACTTCAGTTCACACAAAGGAACTATTTTGTTTACCTCTTTTGCGGAGGAGTATCGCACTGGTGCAGGGAACTAGATTTGAAAATGTTTGAAATTCCGCGCGAAGGAATCTGATTGGTCGTATGCCACACTTTAAATTAGGGGGGCGGAGTATGTACATGGAGGCGTTTCCGTAGTCACACCAGTTCAAAGAGGAACGAGCTGTCCTGAGGAAAAACAGGATCGTAGTCAAGCGTCTGAAGTCAGTAACATCAGGTTGTTTAGATGATTAGCGTAAAGGTCAGAACTTTACAGCATTAAGTTACCATTATTCTACCTTTTAACGAACCATTGAAGAATTTATTGCAAGAAAAGTTTACATAACCAATCGAATTAATTGTCTACAAATGGTCTCTCTAGCTTGGATTCCAGAGCTAGCTATTATATTCATTATTTTGTAACTAACAACATGAGTGTCCCTTGCAAAAATGTTTTAGAATTTAACTGTAAGTGCATACCTTTACCACTGTTAATCTTAGAATAAGTCTGGTCACACGTGTCAAATGAGACAACACATTATTCAGCTGTGATACTCTTTGTGGCTTAGTGTCAGTGTTTTTATTTTGTTATTTTTTTGTGGGTCCTCCAAAGTGCTGTAATCTTATAAGATTACATGCCACATAGTTTGGAAGTTATCCATTTCAGTCAAAAAGTCAGGTGTATCAATGTAGCTGTCTGATCTTAATTATCTTTGTCTAGATGTAACTTTTGGTAGAAGGCATCAGTCTAGCATTCAACACCACCATTAAGAATCTGGGGGTTTGCTCCGATCGGGCTGTATTCTTGAACTCCCACATCCAACAAATCTACTGAGCTGCCTTACTGTGCAGTATGTCAAAAATCAGACACTTACTGTCTCAGAATGATGCAGAATTAACTAAACTTGTCCTCTCTCCATTGGATTACTGAACTTACCTTTTATCAGGCTGACCTGATAAGTCTTTAAAGACTCTTTGGCTGGTTCAAAATGCTACAGCCAGGATACTGACCAGAATCAGGAGAAGAGAGCACACTCTCCTGGATTAGCTTCTCTATAGTGGTTTCCCATTAAATTTAGGATAGAAATTAAAATTCGTCTGACCTACAAAGCTCTTCATAAGCTCCTAGAACACAACAGTCCCAACATGGAGGCCTGCTCATCGTAAGTCTCTAAATGTGATCTGGGTGGGAGAGGAATCATCTACCAGTCGTGGTGCGAGGAGCAGACACCTTCACTACCTCTAAGAGTGGGCTCAATATTTTCCTTTCTGATAAAGCTCCAGTTGGGTCAGGCCCTGGCCAGCTCTTAGTTATGCTGCTAGATTCAGACTGCCCAGGCCACTGGCCCATTGACCACCCTTGGCTCCTTCTTCATCCTCTGTCTGTCCTTGTCATTAACTTTGGATCATCATGTCCCATTAGAATCCTTTATACACAGTGTTTTCTGGGAGTCCCTGAGCTCTGTCCTCTGGATCACTGCTTTAGATGTTTCGCTGCTGTAGACCTGCTTGTTTTCCAGCTGCTATTGCTACATGTGTCAGTCTTATCTCTGTCCATCTACATCTCTCTCTATCCCTTTTCTAAATCCAATGCAATAGCAGCAGATGACTGTCTTACATGAGTCTGGTCCTGCTCGAGGTTTCTGCCTGTTAAAATCTAGTTTTTGCTCTTCACCGTAAATTGCTAAATGCTGCAAAGTGTTACACTCATGTGGTTGAAGATGGGATGGGAGTGGGTCTGATCTTATTAGATTGGGCTCAATCTTATCCCATCTTTACACTAGGTCTTTGTAAATAGAGTATGGTCTACACCAGCTTTTTAAGCATCTCAGGATAAGACATGAGGCAAAGTAGGACAATATAAATAAAGATTGATTGATTAGAATTGCTGATGAGTGCAACTGTTAACTGGAATAGTGTAATTCATTAATCTAAGTTAAATTATTCTCTTATATTCTTCTTTCCATATTTATGATGCATGAAAAGCTAATGTGGACATCCTTATGAGAGTGAAGAACAAAAGAATGACACACCTGAACAACACAAACACATTTCATAATTATTAAATGTTGGTTTTATTTTTGATCTTTTTTTGTTGTTTTCTTTTTTTTCCAAAGTCGCTTGATAATCTTGACAAAAAATTGCAACATATTCCATACTTCTCAAACTGACGCTGTGTCTGTTGCTATTCCAGATTAGCTGTGGAGGGAAAAAGTTGTGCGCTGTTCTGGACAGGTGAAGTCCTACTGTAAAATGATGAAAAGCAGCTTTGACCATACAAATAAAATGAACACATGAACAACGATTTAGAGAGACTCCACACTGGCATCCTATGTCGTAACGTTTGCAGGGGGGGTCAGGGTCAGGGTCTCTCTTGCACAAGTCCTGGTCTGCATGGTTTAAAAAAAAGAGAAAAAAAAAAAGAAAAAGGAGGAAGTGACCGAAAAAAAAGAAAAAAAAAAAAAAAACTCAGGGGCTCAGTAGCAGATGTGTGTGTGTGTTTGTGCATCCGTGATAGGAGGGGTAAGGAGGTGCAGCACAGAACAAATACAAAGAACAGGCCAAGCACACAAAATGATTCCTTCCTGAGACATTGGCGTGTGTACAGTAACGATGGTTTTAGATGACATGTGTTAGCGGTGAAGGCGTTTTGGCGTAAAAGTGAGTCACAGGGTGTGAGGTTTGCTCTAGAGTCTGCAAAAAAGTCACATATTTGTTTCTACCACAGGTTTCCGGGGGGGGGGGGGGGGGGGTCTGTGAGGGTTTGGTTGACAAACATCACATTTGGGACCTTCACTTGCCTGACCACCGACGGAGCAGAGAGGTCTCTACATTCTAGTCCTTTCTCATCCAGTACAGATTATGAATCCTTTCAGAGACGACAGAGAATCTCTTGTGTTTAATACAGTGCGTATGTACACCATTCTTCACATTTTAACTCTTTGAAGCAGAGCTGTCTTTGCTCACTTGAAACCTGGCATCCAGCTCGCCATTTTTCACCATCTCTTTCTGCTACATGGCCAAAAAAAGCTATGCCCCGACTGGAGTGCTACTTTGTTATCTACTGTTTGTAAAAAAAAAAAAAAAAAAAAAGTTTTTTAAAGTGAACAGAGGGAAGGGGTAAAAAGTTGAAATTGTTTGTGACAGCCACATTCTGAACAGCCAGTGATTGGTTAAGGGTCTGTCCAGTATTTAGTAGGACACAAAACATGAAAGACCATCCTTCAGTAAAATGTGCTCAAAAATGTTTTTGCTTTCATCACAAACCTATAAACAAAAAACGTAAAAGGTATTCTTAAAAAAAATTATAATCAGGTGAAGCCTAAAACTCTTCATAGTTTTAAAGAAATGAATACAGCTTATATACACAAACTCAAAGGCTACTTAAAATACACCTTAATAATGAATCTTCATTAATTTGATTTCTTGAAAGGACCTGTGACCATATCATACAACCAAGTTCATACAATCATTTTTTTCCATTCTCTTGGAAGCAAAAAAAAAAAAGAAGAAAAAGGAAAACAAATCCAACCTGGAATAGTCGGTGATATTCATTGCGACTTGTTTTCTGTGCACATTTGTGTGTGTTTGTCTGCGTGTGTGTGTGTGTTTGCATGTGTAGACTGGAGAGAAACATCTTTTGCTTTTATGTTAATTAGAATAATGTACAAATGTGATAAAACTGAAACTTCTCTCTCAATACTCTTGATGTGTATGAAAAGATTGAAACAGTGAAGGAGTACGACAAGTTCTAATCTCAAAACACGTCCTCATGTCGACCTGTCATCCCGCTCCGGACATGTCAATCACAATAGTTCCTTAACTTTTTCTATATATATTTATATATCTTTTTGTACGAAATCTGTTTTTTTTTCTTTTAGGTTGGAAAAAGAGAAAAGACCCAGAGTCTGTGAGGAGGGGGGATCTTTTCGAGTCCCAAGCTTGCAGTCTGCCTCGGAGTTCAACGAAAAAAAGTGTCTGGTGTTTGTCAAGTCAGTCTGTTCGCATTTGTCTTTGTTCATACATCCATCCAACGGTAGTCAACCCGCTCTTGCTTCCATTCAAAACTGGTCTCCATTGCATCCAGATTTGTTTCCATGAGTTTTATGGAGAAGAGGGGAGGAGCAGTGGAGGAGGGGAGAAGGAGAAGGAGGAGGAGTCATCAGCAGTGTTTTCCATGTGGTCTCTTGGAGGTCCCCCATGTCCTGGCCCGGCCTCACCTTCCCTCACATCAGGACGGATCTCCAGAGTGAGGAGATCAAGAGTGGGGTATGTGTCGTAGGAGAGGAGAAGGAGGTGGAGGAGGTTGCCTCTTTCCTGTGTTTAGCAGTCAGGTTCAAACCCCCTAAACTCCTTGGCCCTCCTCCTCTTAAGATCGTCAAAGAAGGAGGCAAAGAGCATCGTGAGGGGAAAATTAAAAAGAGAGGCCGTTGCTACTACGGCGATTGTGTGGCTGGACTGCTTTGGGCGGAGCTAGGGGACAGGCTGGGGCTGCAGCTCCCTGGTGGGGCGCCGCTGGGCCGACCGCCTGCCGCCCCACTTTCCAGACCTTCTGAGTTCTCCAGCATCTCCTGGATAAGAGGCGGCATGGAGCCGGGGATCTCCATCTTCAGGGTGATGACACGCTCCGCTCCTGCAGAGAGAAATAAAGAGCCCATGGTGATTTGAAGAACTCTCAGATGGTCATTCATTTTGTCTACTAGAAAGTTTTAATCTGATATGAAACGAAACCAAGAAGAGAGTCAGTAAGCACAATAGATGCAACACTGAGAACAGCAGCACTGGAATGGAGCACAGACCTTTAGCGCTGATGCTTCTCAGATCTGTGATCTTCAT